GAAATATCTTGATAAAGACAGTTTATCAAGGTATCTGGCATGGAGTTACGTCTGAGGGCGTAGCAATTTTGGAATTACTGTATTTTGTGTCTATTGTATTTTATCTACTGCAGTTAGAGAACTTGGAATACAAAATTATATAGCTATATTCTTATAAAAAAATTTGCAGATGGATTACTATCGATGGATGTATTTAACAGTGTTGATATTTGATATCAATATTTCAAGATAACCGACTCATCAACTCCTCTGAAGATGAATTCTAAATCCTGTGAACAAATTTGTAATAAATCAAAATATAAAAAAAAATAATAGAGACAAATTAAATTAAATTAAAACAAAAAAAATAAAATAACTTAAAAGACATTTGCTCTCAATTTATATTAAGACTTTTTTCATGATATTATGTTAAGGCATTTTAAGGAAGCATTTAATGAAAGCGTCTTAATTAGACGTGCCGCTCTACTAATTCATAAAGTTTGTAAACTTTTCTAATGCGGCGCTCCGACCACTTGAATTTCTGCCAACTAACTTCTAATAATAATAATAATTTTAATTGCCAAACGGCAGCACTTGCCTATTATGCCGTAAACGCAGTCAAAGTTCACGACTCGCTTCGTTTTCCTAGTCTTTTCCTATGTGTAGGTATATTTTAAAGAACTTGGCGCTCAGAACGGCTCGCAGACGGCAATAGAATTTAATATACAATTAAATGCAAACATCATGCTGACTAAGGGGAATTTTTAAATGTGGTACTTTTCTTGCGGCCACTTTGCCTGCCCGCCAAGGGGAAAACCAAACTTTCCATTGGGTCGACGATTTGCAGATGACGCTCCAGAACCACTGAGCACCTAATGGGCTTATAAGGCATATAACACAAATATATATATATATATATATATATATATATATATATGTGCACAGACTACTTGTCCCAATTTATGATAGACTACAAATATATGACGGACTCTTACAATTGGGCTTGAATCGGATTGAATAAAAAATCACAATTTAATTTGAATTTGAAGTTGAATATCTTAAAGACTTCACACCAAAGTTGACTTTAAAGTAAGTTTACTTAAGGCATGACTACTCTATATATATACAAATATGTTTACAAATGTATACATTTACAATGAATGTTTCGTTGATTTTTGTAGTAATTGTCATAAACTTGCTGCGCAGCCATAAATTCACAGTTATTATTGCCGGAATTGTGAATTGTTCAGAGTTGTAAACAACAATAAAAGCATGCGAATATTATCTAAAAACCAATAACTTTTTCTATTTGTGTTTTGATAATAAAATTATGGATATATTAGAGAAATTTTGTTTTTACATTGACAGCAATAAAATTGAAATTCAAATTGAAATGGAAATTTTTAAAGAATTTATTATGAAATCAATTTGGAAATATACATTTTTGCTAGCTTGAACAATTGTATAATTGTTCGAATTATTCTATTATTCATAAGGACATATATGTATAATAAATTATACAACAAACTTATTAGCATATGAAAATGTTCTGATTCTAATTGTTAATTGTTGAGCATCTAAGGAAATTCTGAGCTGGCCATCAGCACAAGTTCTGAGAAAATTGAATATTTTTTAAAAATGGCTAAAAGCTGCCTGGGAATGCGACAGTTGCCAGCTTTAAAACGCGCTGCGACATCCGTAAAGTTTGCGCTTGTACAGGCTGTGAGTTGTTGAAGGAGAGAGAGTGAGAGGGACCTTCGCAGCCGTCTAATTGAACTAATAGAATTTGTTTTTTATTCACACCCGCACGCGTCAGATAAGAGCAGCTTTGCAACATGATTTTTTAGGGGGTGGTCCGGTCGTGCTTCGAGCACACGAAAAAAATATGCTGCAGCAAATGGTGGCTCTACCCCAACGTGCCAGCATGCTGTTCGCATTAAAAATTATGATTTTTCTTGCCACATTTTTGCAGAGGGCAGTGTCGAAATGATGCCAAATGTAATCATTGCTGCTTTTAGCTGGGTGGCAAGTGCCCCGGGCGTGGCTCCATGGCGTACTTAACTGATTTCCTGGAATCCCTAGCTGTGAACACACACAAACACACAAACATACAAACATGCACAGTGTGTCCTTTTCGAATTTAAGCTGCGATTGAGCTCACAGGATGTTGCCTTGGCAACCAGCAGAGAGCAATCAGTTTAAAGCTGTCAGAAATTCGGAGAAGAGCCAATAAAACGAAAAAATTGCCAGCAATAATGCGTTGCAGCAGGCTATTTGGAACTTGCATGTACATGTCAGTAGGACCACTTTAATCGGAGCAAATATACTTGGGCACAGAAAAACAGCAGCCCACACTGTTGGTGTTTCTTATTTGGTGCGTCTCAAAAATGGCTGAGCCTCAGGCGAGGCTTAAAAACCGCAAAGGCGCCACGAGGCAATGTTGCTAGCAGAACGATCCCAAGACCCAACGCGCCAATACCTCACATAGCCCAACGTACCACTTGGTGGTCTGGCGCCTTCGGCTCTTCAAGGCGGCAGCAACAGCAGAACCGCAGTATAAGCAGCATAAGCAGCATAAGGTCGTCATAGGCACACTCGAGCAGTCAAGAGCAGCACCAAATGCCGGCGCATTTGTGGCAAGAGCCGAACCGATTTGCTATTTGTGTAGTTAGTGCCAGTCGCAGCTAGACGACGAGTCGGAGGCACATCCAGATGGGGGAGGTGGAGCAGCTGAAGGCACTCAACTTGTTATTTCAACTGTTTGTTGTTGCTGCTTATCCCAATGCTCTGGTTGTTGTTGCTGTTGTTGTGGCAGCCAAGTAATGCTGCTTGAGATGTCAAATAGCAAAGCGGCAGGCAGCAAATACAGCAACAAATGCAAAAAACAGGAAGCACTTGAATATTGAAATCAAACGCGGGGCGCCACCAACGCAACAGCAACAATAACCACAAGAAGCAACAACAGCAACAACAAAAATAACAATAATAATAAGTCTGCTTACCCAAAAAATAAAGCAAAAACAAACCATTAACAACAAAAGCAACACAGCTGAGCCCAAAAGGTCCTCCAACGCAATTTGCATATGAATATGGAGGGCTCAGAGGCAGCTTTTGGGTTGCTATGCGGCACGCAGCCTGCAACAACAGCCACAACAGCAACAACAGCAACAACAGCAGCAGCAGCGCCACATGATATGTTGTTTGCTATACATGAATAAGCCAGCAACAACAACAGCAGCCAAGATTCATGATGTGAGAGCTGCTGTACCAATAGCTTATGTTGTAGTTATTTGCCGCCGGTAAAAAAACAAAGCAACAAAAACTGTAAATAAGAGTGAGTTCACAACGAGTGCTCGACAAAAAGATATCCCTTAAATGGTTGAAATATATATAAATAATATTATCCAATATTATAAAACTTCAAATTTCTAAGACTTTTTTTAACTGATTCGATTTTCATAGATTAAAAAAAATATATAAATTATATAACTGCAATATAGCTTTAAACAATGTATTTTGGATGGGTTTTTGTCGTAAGTTTTTACTAACTACTCTGAGGATGTGTAACTATTGTGTATTATATTACAAAACTGTTTCAAATACTTTAAATTAAGAATTAGAAACTTCAAACAAACATCGGATATAAAATTTCCTTCCAGCTTTACTACTTGTATATACAACAAATATAAAATCAATTTGTTCGACGAATTTGTGTATTAGTTTAAGAGCAGTCTTGAGCAGACATATGGTCCATATCTAATTCCAAACTTGGATTTCTATCTAAATACTTTTGAAGACAATAACCTTTCGATTTCCATAAAGAATTTGGCATATTTTGTTCGTCAACTAAGTTATATATAAAGGTTGAGCAATTTATAAGAATTCAGTTTATATTTATTATATGATTTTTAAAAAATACAGGGTATAAAATGCTTGTTTTTCTTTGTGCTCTGGTTGCCTAACACTAGCGGCGCTAGATGGCGCCACACGCCAGTGCTAAATTGAATAAGCGGCCTCCCAGGACATACAGGAAGCAACACAACAACGTACACCCACGCGCCCTGGGACACCCGGCCATGCACACGTGTGGCTACATGCCTGTGAGTGTGTGTGTGTCTTAGTGTATCTGTGTAGAAGAGGCAAAAGTTATGTAGTGTACTCGACGCTACCTTCCTTTATGCGCGCTTGTTTTTCTTGCCATTTCCCGCTTCATCTTTTTTTTACGTTTTTGGGTTGCTTTGAATTTAATGGAAAATTTATTGACGACATGCCGCTTAGTCGTTTGACTTAGACTTGGACTTTTGCCACACAGCATTTCCTCAGCCCCAAAGTACGCCATGGCTGCTCTATCATGTGTGCAAAAGTTTTCGCATTGGGGTTTTATGAACTTGTCCATGCCCTCACTCGACATAACTAAATAGTTACGAACATTCGTGTGAGTGTGTGTGTGTGTGACATGAAAGGGGAAATTATGTGAAATTGTTTGCATTGATTGATTGTTAAATGCTTTTAGCAATACCATTTGAGCTTCAAAGCAAATACCCACAATAAATCTGTACAGCTGGGTCGTGTGAATCGGACAGGCTGCGATAAGTTGAAATTTGGCTAAAGTCGTGTTGCCTATGAACTTGTTCACTTACCATAAATTAGAATTATAATTTCGCTTAGCCAAATCAACGACGCAATAAGTTCGCAATGGCACACACATGCGAAAGGGCTATTCGAAAGTCAAAGAGCGCAGCAGAACGGATCAACCCCCAAAGGAAGCATATAGCCAAGGGTGGATGTGGCCAAAAACTTTTCTCGCGTGTTTTGCCAACTTTAATATTTTATACTCCCGATTTTCTTTATGGGATGCGGCCTGCCGAGCGCCTCTTCCCGCCTACCCAAATTCTTTAAGGACTCTGAGAACTCAACAAGTTCTCAGGCTTTTGGCTAAGGACACGCCCGCACGTTTGGCCATTAGTTTATGATTATGGCAGTTGGGCAAGGGAGTTTCATACACTGTAGAAGTAACTCACCTGTTGTCGGCAACTTGGTCAGCGTTGGTTGTCCATTGTCATCGCTCAGCAGCAGCAGTAGAAATTCAATTAATATAATGACAAAAATGCGTCGATTGTAAAACAAAAACATTGCAATCTGGCGTTAATTTCCGGTGGTTTTTCCAGTTTCGGGCAGCTGACCGCAAATGCTATTATCTCGTTTTTGGTGTGATTATTATAACGAACTGGATTCCCTGCTCGTTGTCTTCAATTACTTCGTGATTTCTTAATGTTTCTCTTAAGTGCATCTTCTCATTGTTACTTGCATTTTATGCATGCACACAAACTCACACATTTACATTGTTTATGTGCGTGTTTTCACGACTCTTCCTTGCCTTTTCAATCTAAAAGTCAACAAATTCGAATCTCTTAAGTCCTATACACACACACATACACACTCACACACACAAAGACGACGAGATTTGCTGTGGCACGCACACAAAAGTATGCTAATATATTTTAGCTACGCTTATGAAATGTACATAAATATTTTACGTGTGCACCAGTGCGTATGCGTAATTTGTGTAATAGGCCGCAAAACACTGGCGCCGCTAACGGCGCCAACATCAAAATATCATTTGTCGTCAACGTTGGGTATTCTTAAATTAATGGCAATGGGCTTTACTTTATCGCAACTTGAGTGCTGGTCAGTCAAAGTACTTTATTCTCGAACCGCAAAGACAAATGAGATAAAGCAAATTCACCGAATCGACTATTTACTATAAAATAAAAGCTTGAAATAATAGATTGTGTCTCTGAAAGATTTCCCTAACAAACTGAAACAATTTCTTATAAACATATATTTGAAAATTTTCCGAAATATTTATCGTCGGCAATATTCATTAGAAGTAAACTTTATGTGTTATTAATAAAATATAAAAATATAATATAACTGAAACATGGAAACTACAAATTAATATGCTAATTGTTTAACAAAAATAGTATTTACTGCAAATTTATGTAACGAAAATACTAAACGATAAATTAGCTTTTTTTATAAACATATATATTTAAATGCTTCAGCATGAATTTGACGTTACTCTGACTCAATGATTAGTATTTGGTTTTCATTCTAGAACACACTAATATATAATACTTAATGGAAAACCTAATTCGCAAAGTAAGCTGAAATTTCTGTTCCGTTATCCTTGCTTTTTACTACTTGATGGACATTACTATGACAGTTCACTCTATGTGCTAACGATTAAAACCTTTGCCAATCTTTGCTTCTGATTCACCCACTTCTGGCGTTTCATTGTCATCATCATAATAACTGTGCGGCGTCGTCTGATGATGCCATAACAGATGGGTTATACTATATTTGTGTATTTCAATTTCAGAAGCAATACTTAAGACAACAAGTACTCGAAATGCGCGTCTATAAGAAAGATTTCTAGCTAGAGTGCACGAATTCGCGCGGCAAAAAAATAAAAAAAAGTAAAGTAAGAAGAAAACGTCGCATAAATGAATGCTAAAATATATTTCGGCAGTGCTGACAGCGCCATTATTGTTGTTGCTTCAACTACTATCAAAGGCTTTGCACACAGCAAGAGAGAGAGACAGAGAGAGAAAAGTACAAATAAAGCAGATGGCGACGTTAGCAGCGACCGCAACTGAGGCATCGACGCTGACAGAGCAGCCACTGTCAGCGACTTTTTTCGTTGTGTGTGTGGGTAAAACATTTGCTATTGCAACGGTATTTTTGAACTCTTTTGTTTAACTGTATTATTCTGTACAAAATAATATATTTTATAAATCAAGACAAAAATGCATTTAAATTATCTTTTTTTCTTTTTGCGTTTTCGTGGTAAAATTGTAATATTGCTTTTTATTGCGTAAAGTTTGTTCTTTGTTTAAAACTTGTATTTATTGCCATGGCCAACGCATTTATGTATTTGAAAAAGTTTTTAACAATAAGCAAACAACGGTTTTTGCCGTGGTTTTTGCTGCCGGCAGCAACAGCAAACAACAAAAAATTGCCATGCTCAATTGAGAGATAAGGAAGAAGCTCAACGGAAATCATATCGGGGTAGTTGAGAATTATATAAAACAAATTTGACTATGCGAAATACACACACAAACGCACAAGCCCTCGCACACGCACACTCAGACACACACTCACACATGGGCAAAAGTTTGTTTTGTGCTGCGGATGCCGGTCGAAATTGAACGACGACGCAAATTTCGATTTCCTCAAAATTCTACCTTGTTGTGCCTTCTATTATGCTTATTCTTCGTGTTCTTATATCTTCATCATCGTCACTCAAAATCTTCATTATCATGAACGTTAAGCGTCATATACATTTTGTACATTTGTTTGCAAAACGACAACAGCGGCAGCGGTAGCGACAGCGACAGCGCAGCTCACTAAGCTTTTTCTGAGCATCCATATTCGCATAAGCAACAGCAGCCCACTCTCACTTTAGATCTGGTCCTCTGCTGATGCTAACGCCAACGCTGACGTTGCACAGTGATTTACATACTCCAAAGATGGCGAAACAAAATTGTTGGACGATAATTGCTTATTATTGTGAACTACAACATAAAGACTCTTATAAAAAAGTCAATATATTCACTTTCATATTAGTTTATATAAAATGTTCAAAGATTTTCTATAGCTTTTAAATTAAGCTTAAATGTAGAAAAACGGACAAAATCATGAATAAAAGAGATTAAGAAAATGCATATAATTTATTCTTGGTTTAATGAAAACAAAAAATGAAGGTATAGTAGTTTTGCCGCAAATCTATTCTAAAATAAATAATAAAGTTTTTTATTTATTCTATTTTATAATTTACTATTACATATGTGAAGTGTGATAGCGGAGTTGTATTTCATTCTCAATTTTCTGGACTTGTAATTGCTTTTCACATTCTATGCTATAAAACATTTAACTTCAACTACATTAGGACACACGGATGTAAGTCTGAACCTGTATTGCGATTGGTTCTATTACTTTTTTAATCAATTTGTTACACTGTGCGATGTCGCTGCTGTTTTGCTCCTTGTTTTTGCTACGCTTTCGCTTTGTGTTTGTGCGCCGAGCTTTAGCTTTGGCTTTGGCTTTGCCTGCCTGCCTGCTACAACTGCCGCTGTTGCTTTCATGGCCTTGTGTGGCTGTTGCTGTTCTCGTGTGTTGTTGTTGTTGTTTGTGTTATTGCCCCGTTTGTCACTGTGTGCGTGCGTGTGCTTTTTTGTTCGACTGCTGCCTTTGTGGCCTGGCCGAAGAACTACTACTGTACTTGGCGGCTTTCGCAGTCACAGCAGCAGCAGCCACACCGGCAAAAGCAGCGGCTCTCAGTCGTGTGCTTTATTACGTTTTACATCCTTTTTGTTTGGCATCTTTGTCTCTTGTGTTTATCGCCGTTTGTTTGCATGGAATTTCGCATTTTAAAATATTCATTTCAATATTTATGCCTATTGACCTTCCCCCTCGGTCTCACACACACAAACACAGACGCAAATACAGATTGTGACAACGACTGCGCCGTCGGCACGCCGTTGATTTGTTTGTTATGATGCCTTATTATGTCATAATTTATTTGCAACAGGACACAAACATCAACAATGCCGGAATTTACAGCAGAAGCAGCCAATAATTAATCACATTTTATTTGATTTGCATCATAAAAACAAGGCCCATGTGTCTCCATGTTTTCTCTCGCATTCTCTATGTTTCTCTCTCTTTGTGTAAATGTGTGTTTGTGTTTGTGCGTGTGTTTGCTTGTGTATGTGTACGCACTGCACCGGCTTTTGTTGCCGCCATCGCCGGTGCCTGCGCCCCCGCTCGCTACTGACGCCATAGCATTGCTTTGTTACTACCTTTGTTGTGTTTTTTTGCATTTTCTCTTTATGTTTGTATTTCGCAGGCTCAGCCTATCAATTCTTTATTTGTAATTTTTGCACACTCACACACACACACATACACGCTGACGCACGCTTGAACATTCAGCGACATTAGCAACGACTGCTACCGCCACTTAAATCAACAAATTACGATTTTCACTGTCGCTTTCGGCAATATTTTGCAGTTGTTTTTTTTTTAGCATTTTTGTTTGTTGCTTTGTGGCACTTTGCGGATTTATTAACAATAAAATATACACACAGATACAAATGTTCGTCAACGCCAATCGAAGCGCCGCTTCAATATTTACAACGCTGCACTGAGAATTAAAATGCTCGAACTCGAACTCGCGACGTCGCCAGCGAGCAGCAAACACGTCCAAACAGTTTGTACGCCATTCGTGTACTGGGAGCTTTGGTCCGAACTGGCACTGGCACTGTCATATTCGCATACACCAACATACGCGAGCACAGAGAGCAGTCGCACACATACTTGTAAGCTCGCATTTGCCGGCGACGTTGACGTCGACGTCAACGCCGTCGTCGACGGCAAATTTTGTTTTTGTTTGCGCTGCAAAAAGAAGAAACAAATTTCAATGGCAGCGTCAAAAGCTTGTCTCCATGAATGAAAGTTTGCCACAAGCGAAACGGAAGAAAAACGATGCACAAAATAAACTGATACAACTTGTAATCCGAAAACGTTGCCAGACCTGTCGTTAAAATCGCATATGAATATTTATAAGCATTGCGTTTCAGATTATTTTTTTAATATTTCATAATGCAGCAGTAACCAAATACAGAAAGCTTTCAATATTTTTCATAAAAACATTTTTAAATTTCTGTGGGAGTCAACGAAAAAAATGATACATATTATGCGATCAATCATTTTACCATTAGCCAATTCACCAAGTAAATGCAAAAATGTATTCTTGATTTTAATTACATTGGTAGTCATTGCATGTCCTCTAATTTAAATGTAAATATCGATAACATATTGCAATTTTACAGCACTGGAACTACTCGTATAGCAATAAGCTTTCTACTATGCATACCTTGAGCGCACTATTCAAACCGACAAAAAAGTCACATGACTAAAATAAAACATAAAATCGACTCAATTTATATAAATTGCCAATACAGTTTTTGTTTTTATTGGGCGGTTACACTACATAGAATTCACGAACTGTTTTTACAATTGCATTTATGTGTATTAATTTAATTGCTTGACTACGCAAATCAGAGGATTGATTTTGAATATGATGTCAGATCTTCTAGTGTGGATCTTTGTTTCAGGAAACTATTCCGAGTCGGATCGTGGCGAGCGTGTCGACTGTTTCTTGGACTTTTTATGCTTGCGCTTTTTGGTGTCATGACTGCTGCCACGACTTTCACGTCTAACGCGACTAGACGTTGAGTCGCCCTGGTCGCGGTCCTCCTCCTGCAACTTCTTCAATGTCTCCGCCTTCAGGCGCTCCAGTTCATTCAGCTCCCGCGTAGTGCGCTCTTTTTCGAGCTCGTCCTGTCGCTGTTTCTCTGCGCGTCTCTCCTCTTCCTTAGCTATTTCCTTGCGCATATGCTCCTTAAGCAGCAGAGCCGCCTCTACACGCTTTTGCATTTTCTCACGAGCAGCTTTATCCTTATCTTCCGACTCCGCAGCAGCCGTGCCCGATGATCCCTTCACCGGACTTCTATCCCGCGAATGACGCTCCTGGGAGCGTTGGCTCCGTCGTGGCCGGCTGTTACTGCGTGAGCGGCTTTGTCGCCGTCCCCGACTGACACTGCGTCTGCGCTCCGGTGATGCATGGCGTCTGCGATTGGGCGACTCTCGTCGACGTCTGTCCGGAGAGACTCGTCGCTTGCGTTCCACAGATTCTTGGCGCTTCCTAACGGGTGACTCTGGACGTTTCCTTTCAGCTGACTCCTGTCGCTTTCGAGCAGGCGACTCTGGACGTTTGCGATTAGGTGACTCCTGACGTCTGCGTTCGTCCGATTCCTGCCTGCGTCCACGACTACGGGAACGACGTTGGCGCTCTCTGGAACGGCGCCGTTCCCCAGGTGAGTGGCGAGTGCGTATGGGTGAAAGAGGAAAACGGTTTCGGTACTCGTTGTCTGGAGACCGTTGGCGGCGTTCTCGATCAGCAAAGGGATTGCGACGGTTGCGGTTCAGCTGATTCTGGCTCATATTATTATTGTTATTATTATTGTTGTTGTTGTTGTTATTGTTGTTGGCCTGGCGCCTGGGAGGTGAACGCTGCTGGCGACGCGCTGGTGATCGTCTGCGTTGGGCGGAACGGGATCGACTCCTATGGCGGTTGCGAGAATTGGAACGTTCCCGACTGCGCTTAGGTCTCTCCCGCTCGCGCGGTTTGTCCTCTGCTTTGCGTTCGTCGCGTTTGTTTCGGTTCTCTGCTGACGATTCGCTGATCTTTGAGCGGTCCTGATCCTTTGCAGGCGCCGCCCTGAACTCGCTGTGCTTTTGGAGGGGTTTGCTGGCCTCCGGTTCGGGCTCACTCTCCGTTTGCTGTTCATAGTCCAAGGCATTCATATCCACCGATTTGCGGCGTTTTGGTGGAGCTTCTTCTTTGGGTTTTTCCTTTTCACGCTCCTTCTCGGGAGCGGATACCCTTGTTTTGGTGCGTTCCGCATCCTTCTGTGAATGAAAGTCAGTGTGCTTGACATTGCTGCTGGTACTCGCGTGCTTCTGTTTCGTGGGCGACTTTTCGGGCGTCACTTTGCCACCGTAGGTGCTGGCGTGTGACAGCTCGAAGAATGACTTTTTGGGATCCTTCGAGGCCTCCTCGTGCCGCTTTTTGCGTTCCTGCTCTCGCCGTCTCACCTCCTCGTCTCGAATTTTATTCTCCTCCTCCATACGCTCTAGATCCGATAGCTTGATGGTGCGCTTCTGTGCATGCTTCCAATGCGGCGGAGTAATACTCTTCGACCGGCTTCGCGAAGGCGTACGGAAGCGCTGTAAATTGAATTAATTAAGTCTTAAATAGTCTCAAAGTAAAGTTGGATTTCTTGCTTACAAAGACGCCACGTCCTTTGACAATGCGGCCACTGCGTGAGGTCGGCACCTGTTTCTTTGACCAACCAAAGGCGTTGCGATTACGCTCTCTGCCTCTATCCCGATCATCACGCTCGCGATCACGATCACGTTCCCGATCGCGATCATGTTCTCGTTCCCGCTGGCGTACATCACGCGAAATGTCACGAGCTGCGCGTTCTTCGCGGGAACGGGATCTCTGAGCGCGCATTAGGAATTTGTTAGAAACCTGCAGAGAACAAAATCGAAAATGTTTGAGACGACAATATCGTTTAAAAGAAATCCAAGATTAGAGATTCAACATAGTAAGTAGCAGCCCAGGTTAAACTATTTGCATTTTTTACCTCTGGTATCTCGCTGGGATCAATTTTTGTCAACGTAACCAACGGATGTATCTCGCCTTCCTCATCGGAGTGGTCTTGGCGTCCATTTCCACGCGCAGCACGCCCCGAGTCACTGCTGCAATTGTGAAAGGAAGATTAAGTTTAAAAGCGCAATTTTGAACAAGTAAAGGACATACTTTTCACTGTCGCTCGATTTAGACTCCTTGCGTGAACGTTTCTTTTTTAGCTTATCCTTGCGCTGCTTAGCGACCACTTCATCAACGTCGCTTTCCGATTCCTCTGTTGCTGTGGAACGCTTCCTGCGCTTCTTCTCCTTTTTGGCTGCTAATCAATTGAAGAAGACCAATTCAGATTATTGTAATGGACAGGAAAGACAGTAACTTGGGCATTGACTCACTCTTTGTTTGCTTGACTAACTCGCCACAGTTGGCTATGGCTGCATCCTGTAAAGGGCGCGAGTTGCGATCGATGGGCAGATCCTCTAATTGACGCACCAAGTCCTGACCGGATATAACATGACCGAATACAACATGGATACTGCAAGTTGAACATAAGTAGAAATTAGTAAGCATCTATATAATATATCTATACTAAAGTTGATTAAACTAGTTTTTAAATTAATCAATCACAATAGAAGAACTCTTGACGGAGTTCATAGGAAGATATCCTTCAATTCTAATGTGATGGTTTGATTCAAGCAACTAATTTGGGACTATTTAACTATATATTCAACAGATTTTACTTACTTGTCCAAGTGTGGCGCAGGCTGTGTTGTACTACAATGAAAAACAGAAGAGAAGAAAAATATTCTTTACACAATGCAAACTTTGTTGTTGGTAGGCGATTTGTTGTAGTTTTCTATTGTTGTTGAGTTGTTGTTGTTGTTGGTGTTGCTGCTGTTGTTGTTGCCGTTGTACTTAAAGGTGATGCAGACAATGTTTGTGCAAACAACAAACTATAAGAAATCGGGTCGAACACAGCAACTAGTAGGGGGCCAGTCTGATTAGCCAGTCGGGTTGCTCGGCATCGCCTGGGCTCATCTCATCGATTGGGCTGTCGTTTGTGCTCGGTAACAGCTGGTAGCTGGTAGCTGGTAGCTGCTAGCTGTTGTTGTTGCATATGCTGCTGCTGACGCTGTTGTTGTTGCTGCTGTTGCTGTTGCAGTTGCAGTTGCCAAGGACAGCCGAGTGAAGGGTTCAGTGTTAGGCTTCAGCTACGTCAAGGTGCACCCACAGACAAACAGACACTTACACACACAGACGCACACACACATGACGCACACACGCGCACGCACCCAGACGCAAGGACGCGCGCGTGCATGCATGCATATAGGCCGGCCGTTGGGTTGGAGAGGGGGATTGAGTCGTTGTCGATGTCGATGGGTGCTCAGTCCGCTGGTCAGAGATATTGCATACACTCGCTATGCGCTATACGGCAATAGATCAATGAACAACAACAGAATTTTAAATAGATATGCAAAGTACAAAGTAAAAGATTTAACATATTTATGATTTCTTGTTCTTAGATGGCTGCAAGAGAAACGTTAACAACTTCCACAAGGATTAAATATGCTGCATAATCTTACGATCTCAACGGAACGACACCACTTACATAAAGAACTGCGAGCCGTTCGTATTCTTGCCACGATTAGCCATCGACAGCAGAAAGGGACGATCGTGTTTCTTGTCGAAGGATTCGTCTGTAAGAAAAAATATGTGAAAAATTTTTAATTTATCTTAATAGAATAATATGATAAGTAAACATACTATTGTTAGTTCATTAACCACAAATAGGTTCAATTTCATGCTTATTTTCAAGCATTATCATTAAACTTAACACCTATCAGCTTCATATTATAATAATTATACATAGGCCCTACAGCTGAAACAGAGCATTAAATCGAATTGAATGATACCACTCTGTATGTATGCATGTATATACACAAACACAAACACACACATACGAACATCCAAGCTCACATACACACACACAGCACTAGCGGTGAGAGAAAACTTACCCTCGAAAGTGCCGCCATAAATTGATTCGCCGCCGGTACCGTTGCCTGCACTAAAATCGCCAGCCTGCACCATAAAATCTTTGACCACACGATGGAATATGACACCTTTATAGTGTAGCCGTTTGCCGGTGACAAGTCCGGTGCCCTTTTCACCCGTACACAGTGCACGAAAATTCTCAACCGTCTTGGGCGCTACATCGCCAAACAACTCGAACACGATGCGACCGACGCTCAGGCCACCGAGCGTTATATCGAAAAAACACCGCGGCCGCGTTGTGTTCGCGTCCCGTTTATTTACCGTCATAATTTCAGCTAAATGCAATCGAATTGTATTCTTTTTATCTGTTAAGTTTTCACGTTGCACAACTTTTTCTTTTTTCCTTCCGTGATGAACTCTGCGTTTGCGAACGAGTAGGGCTGACAAACGTCGTAGAGAAGTATTTATGTGACAGGGCTGCACACTCTGCTTTTGATGCATCCAATTAGTTCAACTGAACCACTAGTTCCACTCATCACGAAATTTTTAAAATTATTATTATAGCATATAGTAAATCTTACATGCTGAACATAAAAAAATCGAAAAATCTTAACATAATAAATTCAAAAATATAATTAAATAGAATTCTAAATTTTCCGTTACTTGTTTTTTTTTTGTATTTATTCCTTTCGTATCTCAAACAGCTATCTCAATTATTATCTCTCACTTATCTCAACTCATTTGTAGAAATAAATAATTACTCAGAAGCAAATGGGTACACAAATATTTAAATATTTTAATTGCACAGATAAAGTTAAGTAAAATGAAAACAAATACAATAGTTTTCTTTAAAGGGATATAAAGGACAGGGACAAAGTGGATATATGTATGTGGATATATATATATAATTGCTTAACTTAGGCTAAATATGTATATATTTTTATAAAATACATAGCGCTCCATTCCAAGCGACCAGTAAAATGGAATTCTTGTTTATCTTTTGCTTGAGTTGGGGAGTGGCAGAGGGGAAAGTGCGGAATTCACCGCCTACTCAACGGTCACGGACTTGGCCAGGTTGCGCGGACAATCGACATCGCAGCCGCGCAGCACGGCAATGTGGTAGGATAGCAGCTGCATAGGTATGACAGTGAGTATGCCCTGTAGGCAGTCCACAGTGCGGGGTATTTGCAGCGAACGCGTCGAGAAGGCCATTGTCTCGGAGTCGCCTTCCTCGCAGATTAGTATGGGCCGTCCTTTGCGCGATGTGACCTGCTGCAGTGCGTTCATGCACTTGGTGTAGACCGGATCGCGCAGCACAATCATCAGCACAGGCATCTCATCGTCGACAAGTGCCAGCGGACCGTGCTTCAGCTCTCCCGCCAAGATGCCCTCGCTGTGCATGTAGGTCAGCTCCTTCACCTTCAGAGCGCCCTCCAGGCAGGTGGCAAAGTTGAAGCCACGCCCCATTATGAGCAGCGACTTGTGCTGGTACAGCTCCTTGGCCAGCTGCTGCACCTGCGAGTTCAGCTGCAGCACCGTTCGTATGTGCTTGTCCAGCTGTGAAAGTCCCGAGATAATCTCCAGGCGACGCTGCTGCAGGGACAGTCGATCCTCAGACATGACCAGGGCGAACATCACCAGCGAGATGAACTGTGAGGTGTAGGCCTTAGTGGAAGCCACGCCAATTTCGGGGCCCGCATTGATGTGGACGCCGCAGTGCGACTCCCGGCTGATGCTGCTGCCCACGGTATTGGTGATGCCCACAATCAGAGCACCTCGCTGCTTGCAATAGCGCAGCGCCATGAGCGTATCCGCTGTTTCGCCCGACTGCGAAATGAAGAAACAGACATCATCCCGATAGATAGGCGTGTTGCGATCGAGGAAATCGGAGGCCAGCTCCACCATCACCGGCAGCTCGGTGAGCTCCTCCAGCAGTTGGCGCGTAGCCACTGCGCTGTGATAGGAAGTGCCGCAGGCAATGAGCATGAGGCGCCTGCAGCGCTTGATCTCTGGTATATACTCCTTGATGCCGCCAAGGACGACGGTTTGGGTGTCGAAGCGCACACGGCCTCGCATGGTATTGACCACCGATTCGGACTGTTCAAAGATCTCCTTGAGCATAAAGTAGTCGTAGTTGCCCTTCATGATCTGCTGTATCTCCATTTTGAGCGTTATGATCTCACGGGCATGCGGATCATCCGAGGATTTGTTCAGCCGATGTATACTCAGCGTGCCATCGCGTTTTACGGCGGCCACATCGTCATCCTCCAGGTAGATGACACGATTGGTGTGCTCTATAACAGCCGAGGCATCCGAGGCAAAGAAATATTCAACCTCCTTGTGCTCCAGCGGCTGGAACTCTGCGCTGACATCTACGTTGCAAGCACGACCGCTGGGCAAGAGCTGAAACTGAGGCTGACCATGCGGCCGATGCGCCTTGGTGTACAAAATGGGCACATGATCGGTGGCCAGCTTAGTCTTGGCCTTGATGCCCACAAGCAACGGCGAGCCACGACGCGAGGCGACGCATTCACCCGGAAAATGCTTGGACTTCAGGGCAATGGCAAAGGCGCCTTCGATTTGCTGAATAGCCTGCTCGACGAGCTCACCAAAAGTATAGCCCGGATGCGTCTGCCACAGGTGATGCACCAGCTTCGCAATCACCTCGGTGTCAGTATCCGATTCGAAAACGTAGCCACGCTTCTCCAACAGCGTCTTCACATCCTTGTAGTTCGTTATGATGCCATTGTGAACCACCACAAAGCTGTTGCTCTCGTCCGAGCGCTGAGGATGAGAGTTCAGCTCCGAGGGCACACCGTGCGTAGCCCAGCGCGTGTGCGCAATGCCAATATGTATGTCCACGGGCAGATCATAGGCAGCACCCAGGCATTGCTCCGCTAGGGCATCCTCCAGCACTTTGACCTTGCCCGTTCTTTTCACCATGAGAATATCATTGGAGTCGTTGGGAGCATCGATGGCCAGGCCGGTGGAGTCATAGCCGCGATACTCCAGCCGCTTCAGACCCTGCACCAACAGCTCGAGCACCTGATGGCGGGACTTTGGCGTCAAATAGTTCAGATAAGCGAAGATTCCGCACATTGTTCAATTAATGCTTAATTTGAAGTTCCTTGTTACTTAATGGTTTGGCCACGTCGACGTTGCTTTGCTTCTTAATCTAAACTGTGACGATTCCGTGGAATTTTTTTCGCGAGTGATAAATTCTTGCCCTCAAACACCCTCGCACACACACGCGCGCAACAATAATCATGAAATAACAGCTGACGTGTGCAATGTAAACAAAAAGCGTTGCATTGGCGTATTTTAGCTGTCCCCATTGGTAGAATTCAGGGAAATGCTATAAAATACAGCTTACGCAGCAGATACTGCAGGTGCTCGACAGTCATGGATTACACCCACATTTACTCAGTTTTTTATTGAAAAAATACATATTTTTTTAAGAACAAAGCTGCGATATTTGCAGCGTTGCCATCAATCCAATGGTATGTATTGGCTGTGAATGGCAAATGGGCTATCGATATGTTTCTCACGAATGCGATATTAACAACAGCCCTGCTCTTTTCCTTTTCGACCGCGACGGGTAAAAAACCACATGTCTTGCTCGGTATCCGAGATTTATTGAAATTATGCTGCACAGTGCTGTTAAAACATAAATAAGTGCTTATCGTGTCAACTAGTAACTGGATAACTTTGCAATTTGTGACAATCTGTGTAAAATAATTGCATTCGAGCTAATTCGTAACCAAAAAACGTTCTAACTACCAACCCACCAGCGCGTGAGTGAGCGAGCGAGAGCAAGTTAGTGCGAGTGCAAAGAGTACGGAAACCGCAAAGCAAAGCATACGAAATAAAAACAACAACAACAGCAGTAGCAGCAGAGCATACGTGAAACGTTAGCAAAGCAACGAGCAAAGCAAAAAGTCGAATTGTGTATCAATTTTTGTTGTTGCTCTCGTGTTGTTTTCGTCGATTTGCTATAACGATACACGTACACACACATATATTGTGATTTAAGTTCTTGGTGCGTAATTTTTGTTTATTGGAGAAAAAAAATATTTCTTTTGTGTGCACATACATATATATATATATATATATTTGTTTAGAAATGCGTCTCTGAAATTTGAGCTAGTAGAATATTAGTGCAGCAGGCAAGGGCTAGCAAGCTGCATAAACAGCTGTTCGTTGGTCAGGGATGCACAAAATGCAAGCATTGTCATTGCATAACCACGTTTGCGGCTTCTCCAGTCTGGCGATTTTACATCGTTTTTCTCTTTTTAATTTATTCGGTGCTAGCAATATATTGAGCATTTAATTTTTGAATAATTTTTACTGTTTTATTTGGTATTGCGTCGCATTCAACATTCTGTTGCTAGTCTCATACTCTAAAAAAAGTGACAAGAGTTGGCAGCGCCTTTTTTAAGCGTTTGTTGCTTTTTGCGCTGCTGCTTCGTACTAGTGTGGGGGGCATTCGCGACTGTGGCTACTGCTTCGCCGCGCCTTAACCTCACTTGTAACACTGTGTGGCTGCATAATATTATACTTGAGTTGCGTTTTGTCATCAATTTATCGTACCTCATTACAAGCGTATAATGCACCGTTTCTGAGGCGAAACCAAGCACATACTGACGACAACGAAAACAGAACACAAAATCCAATTCGTAAAGCAGCGTGAAAATAAAATTAAAATTGTGATTTTGTATGTGTTGCAGCAGTTTTAGCAGCAGTAGCGCAGCACCAGCCAGCTCCAGGTCTGGTGCGAGCAGTGGCAGGGGGATATGGCATATTGCTAGTGTACAGACGTAAGCCGCAAGCAGGTGCCATCCAGTTAAAGCTTTTGCGTTTTCTTTTTTCGGTTCTCTCGGTCTAGCAAAGGTCGAGGTGCAAATTATATGTATGTAGGAGTATGTGTATGTGTGCACTAGAAGAACAACAAAAGCATTTAATGCTAATTTCTTAACGTTTTTACAAATTTACAGTTACTGTAGCTCGTTTGCTCGAACTCGTTGAAATCATTTGTATCTGGCAAGAAAGCACCAAAGAGTTTCCCCATCCAACAGCAACAACAACGAGAAAAGAGCAACCAGAGCAGAGCCACAATCTGGAGTAGCGCAAAGAAAGCTGCCTACTCAGAGAATAGCAGCAGTAGCAGCAGGAATAACAAATACAACATGTCCAGCAGCAGCAGCAAGGAGGATGCCACTGCATCGAATGCCGGCGCCGTTACCGTTGCCGCTGTTGCTGCAACTTCCAATGCAGCCACTGCCTCATATGCGAATGTTGTCCAGAATCTAGACAACAAGAAGTCAGTTGCCGCTGCTGTGGATAACAAGGAGAATCAACCGAATTTGAAAACGCTCAAATCATGGAGTGAAGAAACCGCTGCTGCTGAGGCTGCCGTCGAGGAATCGCCCAATGTGGGCGAAAAACGTGCCGCCGCTGGCGGCGACAATACCGCTGAAAATTCTTCTGAATTAGATGACAATAATGACTTTTTGCCGGTTCTATCATCGCATCATCGACGTGACCGGAAAAAAGCACGCAAGGACAAGCCGACGCCGCGAGAATTTCGCGACAAGCAACAGCCATCAGCAGGTGGCAGTGGTCCAGGTACAGTTCAGGGCCAAGGCCAAAAGTCGGCAACAGGACGCCGTTTACCCGGCGGCAGCGAAGCCGACGGACGCAAGCAAATGGCCAGGCAACGAGCGCCACGCGGCAACAGTCCACGGAAAAACGTTGGCGTTCCAGGCAACATCAGCAGCGGCAGCGGCAACGTCAGCGGCAGCGGCAAGACTCAAAAGGAACGCAAGTCTGATACCTCACCCAGCGCCAGTCTGGAGGCTAACAACAGTGGCAACGAGGCCAAATCTGGGGACCCCGATGTCCAGACAGCCGCCTCAACTGCAGCATTACCAGCTGCACCACAGCCAAAACGCTTCATCGCAGCGCCGCCGCCAAAGGTTAACGCTTGGAAGGTAAGTTTTATTTTTCATAAACAATATTCAAGATCAGAGCGGGGAGTTGGGTTGATACTCTTTGAGAATCCCTTTAGAAATACATCTTATATATACAAATAATTAAGCTAAAATGAATAAAAGAACAATTCGCTATTATTGGATCTGTAATATCAGTATTTCGATAAAAATTCAATTAATCTAAAGAAACTAAAGACTCTTTCTTCCTCTGAAGATCAAGTGTAGATTATGACCCACCTGCTCAGCTGCTATTGGGCAAATTTCCTTGTATATCGTAATTCCACAATTTGTTAATATATAATATGACAGCATAGCTCTGGTATACAGTAATAAAACATGTAGCCAAAGCGTGTGCCCATAAACGACTTTGTTTTTGTATTGTTTGTTGATCTGTTGGTAAACAAATGTGCGTAGAATGGCGTAAACACATTTAAAGTGCAAAGCGTAATAGCTGATAAATACAACAGGGAAACGAAGGCAACATAGAAACACAACAACCGAGCATGCAAACACGTTTTCTTCATTATCATTGTCTTTGTTGTCGTTGTTATCATTTATTTATCCAAATCGTAACCGTATTTACATTTGGATGCACTAGCATTGCATAATATTTGATTGAAGGATTTTGTCAAAACAAGCAGCAAGCGAAAGCAAAATCGAGAAATTCAAAAACAAACGAACTCAATTTGTTGGTATTTTGTTTTGTCTTCGTTGTATTTTTTGTTTTACGTGTATTATGCAATACACGAAGGAACGAAACTAACGCCGGCGATTGAATCGACGAAGCCCACAAAAAATACGCCCACAACAAAAACGACAACAACAACGCTAAATGCGCAGGCAATCGGTTGTTGTCTTTTGCTCTGCCCATTCACAGTCTGCTAAAGAGTACGAGTGGCTGAAAGAAAAAAAAAAAACAAAATATTTTAATTGTTTATTGCATTGTGTTCATTTTATATTTTTAATTGAATTATTTGAATATGTGTGTGTGTCTTGCTGAAAATTGTTGTTTATTTGATCTTGTTTCTTTTGCATTTATCACACGAAAAACGAGAGAAATTGTATAAATGTACAGTTATAAATAAATGTCAAGGTCAGCAGTGCTGGCGCTGCGTGAACGTCAGCGTCAGCAATTGTGGTTTGTTGTTTATAAAAAACGAAGACAAAATAAATGTGTGATGTAGCATTAGGGTACGAACGAATGCAGCAGCAAAAGAGAAAAAACGAATGGGTGTGGCGAATATATGCATTTGTGTGAGTGCATGCCTAATGCAGGATTTTAAGGCGAAGGAACAGTTACTCTCTTTCTCACGGTCTCTCTACACTTGAAGGCATTTGTTGCAAGACTTCGCTCTATATGAACTAAATACATAAACAGAATAACTAATTTCGTTTAGGCATAACATATTTCTGTACTAATTGTTTAAACCACCCTCGTATAAGTTTGGCACTTTGTTGGCCTACAATATGTAAATAAGTAGAATGCAAATTGTGCTAATTAGGAAGCTTGAAGCTTCTTTTTAAAACATTTGCGCTGTTGCCGAGGTGAACACCGTCATAGCAACAATAACAACAACAGCAGTTACTCTCGCTTTTGTTTCGTTTGTTGTTGCTAGTGTTTTTTCTGGCTGTCACACGGGTTTTTGCTATGTCGGCTGTTCTTTTTTTTAACTACTGTCGACGCGTCAACTTAGCCGCTGCAACCCAACGCGGAGCAGCGCGCCGCTGTGAATTCAAATCAAAAAGTAAAAGCAACTAGTTGACGTGTGCCGTTTCAGACGTTCGCAACGCTCGTGCTCATAACCAGCATTTCGGTTTAGACAACTTTGTCGATATAATTTTGTAAAACTATATATTCATTATTTTATTAAATACTAATATGAAAATAAACCAACAGTCATTAAAAATCCTAATCACTTCGAAGTCTCTCTTAACACGTGTCGTGTTGCTAATAGTAACCTCCCCAATTCACCATACTTGTCTCGTGGTGAATACTGAATTCGCTCTGAGACACAGTGATTAAAATACAATACAAATTAGAATTATAAACACAAGCAAAGACTCATACATATGTGTATAAACATATGAGTACTTGTTGAATATCACCAACGTTTCACGCTCTCTCTCTCTGCCTCCGCTTGTTTTCGTTTGTCGGATTATGTGTATGTGTCTGTGTATTCCCGTCTCGTGCCACCAGAACATACCGTAAAGACCACTTCATGTGCTCGAGTACGAATATGAATGTATGTGCGTACATATGTGAATAATAATGAAAAGCTTCAAACTACAGCGCAGCGAGTGAAAAGTGACAACTATACGAGGAATATCAACAAAAACAAATAGACATGAAAACGAAAGTAAATATGCAATCAACTTAATAATTTAATGAGCTTACACAGAAGTGCAAGATCTAAATTTAAACTCAAACAATTGGTGTCAGCCAATTTATTTATTTAGCAAATGTGCACGTGTACATATACAATTTTTCGTTCGCAATTTATATATATATATATATATATAAAGATATATATATATATATATAATAGCGGCTCTCTGTAATTTGAGATTAGTTCCAGGTCGTTACACATAATACGATTTCATTACGAAACTAAAATTGACATATAATATATATAGAACATAGTATATATACAGCTCTATCTAATTTCCATTAATCAGTGAATTAGCTTTCTCTTAAATTTCTGATTTGCATTTTTCCTTTACGTCTTTCAATACTTCCATTATGTACACGTATCTTTATTTCTGTATATAGATATACTACATTTTTATACGCTTGATTTCCTTATGGCGAATATCTCTGTTGATCCACGTCAATTTGTAAGGTGCTCTTTTGTTTCCTTGTCTTATGCTCCATAAAGGGGTATATATAATATGTATATATGTTTTTCTTGTTTTCACTGTAAATGGAAAATATACGATAAATGGATAGATTTATATTATTCCTTATGGTTCCTTTATGTCAGCTTAGTAAAGTCCACATTATAGTTTTAAATTTTCAGTTATGGACAATGTAGAAACAGACTCCTTCGCATAAGCCTATCTTTAAGTTAGTACAATCTATAAAAAATATTACCTGCTGTTGTCAGGATTGATAACGTATCCAACTGATCATCTGTTCAAATAGTTACGATTACTTGGTCTATCCCCAATCAACACTTGGATGTTTCACTCCAAATATTGTCTAAATTAATTATGTAATATCGGGAATATTTTTTTTAGTTTTGTCTTGTTTTTTTTGTCTCTAACGACTAAGCCCTCAAGTCACGTAAGGTCTTGAAATCGGCTCTTAAATATCTTTCATAGGCGTCATATCATTAAATGGCGCGTTTCGAAGTCAACAAGTAATACTCTCACTCATTCTTCAAGGTCGTTGAATTAGCGATGATTAATTATTAGACTTATTTTATTTATTGTTCCGATAACGATTCAATATTTATAATTGTTTACTTCAAAAGTAATGGAACATGAGCAAGCAAGAGCTTAACGATAGTTCTATGTGGTTCGACTTCGGTTAATATTTATTTAGCTAAAAGATCCGATTATGGTTCTATTCATTTATTTTAGGTACCTGAATGCTTAGCTTGGTTTAAAAATTAGTATATAATATGATTATTGTATAGAGTTATTAGTTTAATTATGAAAATTTCGGAGAGTTCAAGAAGTCGAATTGGTAGTATAGCTTTTCAATATATATATATATATGCCTTTCAATATGATTAAAGTAAAAGTAAACAGAATCAAATCGAATATTGTATTCAATAATGATTTTTATATATTCCGTCGATCCAATATTTTCTTGAACTGCCATTTATGATCGGTGCCTGTGGGTTCGTAACGCGGTTAAATAAAGTTCATCACTAGTTAAATAACACAACACACACATTTATACTGTGCACTGGGTCCAGTTCGTCAACTTATCATTTTTCCAATTGTATAAAATCCAATAAGAAAATAACAACAATGCTAAAAATAGCAAAGTAGAAAGAGCATAAAGAAAAATGGCCATAAATTTGTTTTCATTTGAGTGCTGACCTTTTTTCTATACTTTTTTACGCTCTTATTGTCTATTTGTCAGCCATTAATTGATAAGACTCGTTCGCCATAAGTTGTCTGCGGTCTGGCGAGCATTCCAATCAGCTGGAAACCTACATAGCGAGTCAGTTGCCCCGCGTGAAAATACCCTCCGCTGATTTGACTTGAAGCACGTTTGCCTGCTGATATCTTAGTGATTTTATAAATATTTTTACATAATGACATTTGCGGCCGGCATTTTCGCCATATGCATTACAATTCGCTAAAACGTAGAAAGACCCAGAGCCGAACCGTACCACGCCACAGCACTTCCTGAGGGGCAGCAGAGTGGAAACTCGACTAGAAAATGTGGGTCTTTTTGCACGTTCTTTTGTGTGTTTTCGCTACTGTCAGTTGTTATTTCTGTACGATTCGGCTTATAAGACTTGTCGCTTCGGCTGCCGACTGCGTTGTTAACTTACGACTTGTTTAAGAGTATATTTAAAGCTGTTATATTGTGCTAGAATCGTCTCAGTTGTCTTTCAGCGATCGTTCGTTGTGGAACTTTAAGAGCCACATACATACAGATATCTGTCATTAAAATATAACTGCGTTATAGCTACAGCCAAAGTGTTATATTGGCAACTCTATTGCGTATTACTGTGACTTCGCGAGGCAAGTTTAAGTTCTATTTTGCAAATATCTTCAAGGTTTCGTTTATCTTTGAGCTATGTGATGATTGATATATGTTATATGCTATATATATATATAGATATACATGTGTATATCTGATATATATGTTTTCTAAATTCATTAAGCTTGTGCCATATGAATAGGCTCTTCTAATCAATGACCTTGATTTATGAGAAAATATTGAGTACAATAGAATCCTAATCTAAGTTCAATAGAATTTTTATTTTTAAACTGTTTATTTTTATTTACCAAATACGTCAGAGCTGGGAGGTTCAAATGTCTTTAAAGTGATTAGAGCAATAAATACGTACGTATGTCCGTACATATATTTATTTGCTCGTAGTAAATGTACGAACGAAATTAAATACTTTTATTTAAAGATCACGCTGATTGCACATGGGCTTGGGAAAGTGTTTGAGTGGAAAACTACCGCAACTAAGAATGACTAATGCTGAGTCCTGCATTTGAGGCTGACTCATGGAAAAGCCCATTGTTGTTTAATTGATTATTTTTGTTTTTTTTTTTTTATTGTTCCGCAGGAGATATTCTTAAAATTTGAGTACGTGCTGTAATGCGCGTTTCTTGGTTCTGAATCTGATTACAGACAACAGAAAAGACATATTTTAATTCATACTTTTTTATAAATGGCAGCACAGTTTTCATTAAATGCATTATAGTATACAATTTTTTACTTGAAAAATGAAACACGCGCAATTCATTGAGTACTTTCTCTCTTGGTCTCTCTCTCTCTCTCTTCACCTCTTAATTTCGGTCTCTTGCATAGAGCAAGTTTTCCCACCACCCGCAGTTGCTGCGTCTGTGGCCTACGTGCCGAAAATCACATGTTGTTTATTTTTCTGTTTTGTTTTTTTTTGTATCGCTTTACAGTTACAAGCTGTTGCGAGCGAGACAAGAAATGCTTATGCTTATTGCCAACTGTTGTTTTTGCTTCTGTTGCCTACATGCTAATTATTTGTTATTTTTATTTAAAAGGTAACCCGTTCAATACAGTATATATGCACATTTTGAAAACAAACTAAAATTGGAACGCTCTCGCAGTGCATGCTTCTAAAAACAAAAGAAAACAAAAATAAAACCTGTATTCGTTTAGTATACAGGGTGCTCAGTATCATGCGCTGTCTCTCATTGCCTTGGTCCCCGGCAAACTGGGCCTCTCTCGCTGCGCTCTCTTTCTCGCTCTCACGCATGAAATAACCGGCGCATCGGCTGTTTTTTGTTTTTATTTTGAATTGCCTTCATGTTCAATCTTTGTTGCTTTGTGAAACCAGTTGTTGTTGCCTTTTGCCTGGCCCTCTTTGTCCACTGAGCGCCATTATTGCTGCTGTTGTTTTTGCTGCTGCTTCCATCTTCGTTGTGCTCGCTTTTGCTCACGTAGTCAACGCGTGCACAGCGTACGACGGCACAGACCCGAGCACCACTACAGAGCTGTTGTTATTGGCTTTGGTTCGCTGGTAGCGCACAGAATTCAACTAGCAGCTCAAGAGAACGGACGCGTTTTAAAAAGTGTTCCACGCTAACTAAAAATAAGCAACCATTTGTTTAAACAATTTGTGAGAGTGAGAGCGGCGCACAACTAAATCAATTTCAACGTTGTGAGCAGTAGAACAAACAATTTCGCCGAGTGTGAGTGTGCGATAAGATATGAAGAGTTGCATGCGGGCAAATTAAATTATAACGTGTGTTGCCATTAGATTAATGTCGAACTTATTTGTGCCAATCTTAAGGTAATTTTTTTCCATAATAGATTTATATTATGTATACATATGTATACATACATACATAGTAGCATTTGCCTGTATCTTGCAAATGGGTGCCTTGAACCGTATCTGGGTTAGGGACACTCCCCAAGTCCAATTGCTGCCAGCTTTAGCATGTTGTTGCGTTTGACATTACGTTCTAGGTTATGGCTTGGAGTAGGTAGAAGAAAAAAATGTGGAACAGAGTTGAATTGATTTTTCAATCGTTGCAATGACGCACACATTACAAATAAAAATGTTGAGCTCTTTCAATAACAATAACCAATTACCATTATTTTTTGTTTATTAAAATTATTTCATGCAGATATCAACAAAACAAGTGGGCAGCCCTAAAGCTGGCAGCTCGCCATTAGACAAACGCGTCTTGCAGCCAAAGGCACAACAGCAATCGAAACAGACTGGCAGCAGTGGCAACAACAATAATAATAATAGCAACAAAAAGACACAGCAGCAGCAGCAGCCTCAACCGCAGCAACAACAACAAACGAAACAGCAACCGCAACAGCAAGTGCAACAACAGCAGCAGCAAGGAGCAGCACAAACGGCAAATAAAACCACTGCAACAACTGCAACAGCAACAACAGGAGGAGCAGTAGCAGCAGCAGTAGCAGTCGTAGTACCAGCGGTAACAACATCAACCGACGCCGTTTCCACAAACGGTGAGTAAACATTCTCTCGCTATTGCGCTCCATCGCTCTCTTTGTTCTTTCGTTTTGTTTTTGTCTCTCGGCGCAACTGCGTCGGATATGTGAAATGACGTGATGTTCCGATTGGACGGATTGGAAATAATTCCTTTATTAATAATACTTTCCATTATACAGTTGATGCCACTATTGCGGATGCGCTCGTCGGTTCAGTTGTAAAGGACAAAAAGAAGGTCAACCAAAAGGTAAAAGAATTTAGCCAGCTCGAATTTTTGGCTCTTTTTACATAAATTAGCTTAACTTCTCGCTTCCAGGCTAGCGATTTCAGCAACGTCGGTGAGTGGCCTACGCTTATCGGAGGGGTTTCTGGCAGTGGCAAAGCCACAGTTAACGAACCCAAACGTAGTTCAACTAAAAAACAGCCTGTGGCCAAAGCAACAGCAGGAGGAGTAGCAGCAGCACCCACATCAGCCCAACCCGCAGCATCAGTGACTACAGCAAGCGCTGTCACAAACGACACTAGCGCCGAGCCAAACGTTGCCGCAGTTGCCACCAGCAGCAGTAGCCAAGTCAATAACGCCGCAGTCAGCACGAGTCACGATGCCAAAAGCCAGCGAGAGGCCGACCAACCCACTGGCAGCGCAACTGTCCCAGCTGCTGGCGCCCTTGCCGGAGCTGCCATCAATAAGAAAATACCCAAGCACAAATGGCGTCCGTTGCAAATCGATTTGGCAAAGTCTAGCCGCCCCAAGCCCATTGGCGGGCGGCCCAATCGCCGGTTCAGCGATGATGCATACGAGCAGCGGCGTCCGCCACGCACTTACAATGAGCGCACCGGCCCAGCGGGAGCCAGAGGCTCTGAGGGCCACTCAGGAGGCACAGGTGAATCGCGGGCACATGGTGGCCGTTATGCGTACAACGCACGCACATCTGCTGCGTCCGAGCGCGTGGATTCCTGGCGTAGCAGCGGCCCCAGTGCCGCTGTCTACGATGAGCAGCGCCCAGCCACAGGAGCCGAGGGGGCAGCAGGTGCCGCGTCAGCGCCAGGGGCTGGCGGGTTGCGTGGCCCACGCCGCTTCCGGACGCCGTATAGGGGTGGCCGGCAAGGGCGCGGTGGATTCACAAGACCGGGACCAGGTCGTCCAACTAATCGCATACCACGCCATCTGCTAGCTTCTGGCGAGTATGCCAACTATTTGCCGGCGGACGCAGCCGGCGCAGATTCCTCGCAATCATATGTGCTCATGGGCACACACTATTTCGGCAACGTACCTGCTGCCTACATTGAAATGGACGCTACTAGCGTCAAGGAGGCCATTAAGAAGCAAGTGTAAGTATTTTCTGTAATACAGTCTGATTAATATTATTGTATAATTAAGGTAGTTTCAATTAAACAATGTAGAAGCTGCACAAAAAGTCTGTTAAAATAAGAATCCTTAGGGTATTATTTATGAAATTTGAGTGTCACTAAATGGAAATTTTCTTATTTTCATTTTACATTTTTATGAGGAATTAAATTTTTGGTTGATGAACAGCTGCGTCTCAACTGTATGATTAAGGCAACGAAATTGGCGTTAAGAGAGCTTTTAAATTCAGGCCATGTTAATGTCATATATATATATTATATATAATATAATAATATATATATATATATTAGCTCCTGTGATACACTTCACATGCGTTTTGATTAACTTGGCTTATGCTTTCCCACAGTGAATACTATTTTAGCGCCGATAATCTCACAGGCGACATCTTTTTGCGCCGCAAAATGGACCCAGAGGGTTATATACCGGTCACTCTGATCGCCTCGTTCCATCGCGTTTTGGCGCTTACAACAGATGTGGCGTTAATTGTCACCGCCATCAAGGACTCGGACAAGCTGGATCTTTTCGAGGGCTACAAGGTCCGCACAAAGACAACGCCCACCATTTGGCCCATTAGCGATATCATTGACGAAGCTGACAAGTCGCAGCTGCAACAGCAGGCAACCGTTGCTGTGGAACAGCAACTGCAAAAGAAGACGGAAAAAGCAGAAAAGTTGACTGAATCGGTTAAAGAGGCTGGGCAGCCGGAGGCATCGTTGCCATCTGAACCATCATCACCACCACCAGCTATATTGACCGCTGCCATGGCCACGAAACCATTGAGCAGCATACCGCCGCCGCCGGTGCCACGCAATTCGCAAAATCTGGTGCCCAAAATGCTGCTGGAGAAGCAGCGACCTGCAATGCCGGGAGTGAACTCGGTGAATGCAATCAGTGCACTCACCCAGCGTGTCGAGGGCGTTGTTGGTCAAAAGGCGGGGGTTGGTGCAGCGGCTGAGCTGGCCGATCATCTGAGCGGACTAGCCGAGAGCGTCAAGCCAAAGAGCAGCTCGACTCCGGAAAAACGAACAGCGGCGAAGGCAGCTGGAACTGGTGAAGGTGATGGGGTAGTAGCTGCTTTGGTGGCGGAGCCTGAGGGCATGTGGAAAGAGGTAAAGAGACGCTCCAAAACAAATGCTTTAAAAGAAAACGCTACTAAATCTATCAACAACAACACGTCAACACAACAGCAAACGCTTTCACAAACGCTCAACAACAACAATAACAATGTCAAAAATGTTAAGCCCAACAAGAACAACAACCACACCGTCACTGCAAACGCCACCACGACCACGTCCATATCCACCACGTCCTCGTCCTCGTTTAAGTCCTCGTCTGCATCCAACGCCACATCCAACGCCTCATCAGCCAGCAACACATCCATCGCTGCCTCTGTTACCACCAACGCCACCACCAACCCCACTACTACCACTTCCACTGCCACAAACAACAATAAAAAATCATCTTCTGGCAACGCTGCTTACACGACCAACTCCCAATCCTCCTCCAAAACAGCTGCTGCTGCGCCATCCGCTCAGTGCCATGCCGAAAAGGAAGAATTAGACTTTCAATTTGACGAGGAGCTAATGGACCCCATACCCGCCACCGGACGCATTAACAACTTTACCGAAAACTTTTCCGACGATGACGAATCCGATTACGAATTTGCTGACCGTGACATCAACAAGCTGCTTATTGTTGCCCAGGTGGGCCGCGCGCCCAAACATGATGGCTATGATCGCACCGCCGACTTCACCTCACGCACGAAAATCACTCAGGACCTAGAAAACATAATCAACGATGGGCTTGCCAACTATGAGGAAGACTTGTGGACCACCACAAATGTGGTGCCCAACACTGACTATCGCACAGTTAATGTCATCTCACAGGCAGACTTTGAGAAGTTAGCGGTTAACAAAAGAACAACTAACCAGTTGGCACATCAACCGCCGCCACCGCCACCCAGCTATGTGGAGGATCAAGAAGATGCCGACGGCACTCTGGTAGATGCCGATGCCACACTTAATTCGACACTGAACTCCACGTTGAAGTCTCGACGTGCGCGATTCTATGCTGCGCCCAACTCGCACTCAATCGATCCCCGCACACCCAGAAAACGCAAATTGCGCCATACCGCTAATCCGCCAGTGGAAGCTCATGTGGGTTGGCTGCTAGACACCGTGGAACATCGGCCCCGTACCACCTCGATGGGCTCATCGGCTGGCACATCACCCACTACATCGTCATATGGTTCATTTGGATCATCAGTGCCGCAATCGTTACCCGTTTTCCAGCATCCGTCGCATGCGCTGCTCAAGGAGAACAACTTCACTCAGCAGGCCTATCACAAGTATCATTCACGCTGTTTGAAGGAGCGCCGTCGTCTGGGCTATGGTCAATCTCAGGAAATGAACACCCTCTATCGCTTCTGGTCCTTTTTCCTGCGCGAAAATTTCAACAAGAGCATGTACAATGAGTTCCGAACGCTAGCGCTAGAGGACGCGGGCAACGGTTTCCGCTATGGTCTGGAGTGTCTGTTCCGATTCTTCTCGTACGGCCTGGAAAAGAAGTTCCGCCCCAATGTGTATCAGGACTTCCAGGACGAGACCATTGCCGATTATGAGACAGGTAATAACTATATTCATTAATATGCATTATTTCATGCTAATCGTCCCCGTGTCTTGGTAGGTCAACTGTATGGCCTGGAGAAGTTCTGGGCTTTCCTCAAGTACTATAGGAACGGAGAGAAATTGGAGGTGCAGCCGAAATTGGCCGAATATCTAAAGAGCTTCAAGAATATTGAAGACTTCCGCGTTGTGGAACCAGAGATCAATGAAATGTTACAGGGTGTTGGCAGCCTGACCCCAGGACGCCAGCTTAATAGGCTGCGCAGCGTGTCCGAGAGTGATGGCACAGCTGTAATAACTGCTGGTGGAAGGCGTTTAAACACTACCATTACCAATCGCAGCGACTATGTGGGTCGTCTGTTGCAACAGCAGCAGCAGCAACAGCAGCAACACCAACAGCAACATCAACATCATCAGCATCAACAGGGCGGCTATGGGGGTTATGGTCAGCAGCAAAATCGTCGACGCACTGGCTCCTTTGGCAGCAGTACTGTGCGCGTACGTAGTGGTTCCTTGGGCAATAAACCACAGGTGGTCAATCGCAATTATCAGCAGGGATCACAGCACGAGCTACGCCGCGGCGGCAGTAATTCTGGCCTAGCGCCACACAAACAGCGTCAACAGCAACAGCAGCAGCAGCAACAACAGCACAAGTCAAAGCCACAGGCAGCCGCTCAGATTGGTGCACAGTTAAATGCAGCACGCGCTAGTAATTCAACTGGCTCGGTAGCAACGAGCTCAACCTCAACGGTAGCAGCAGCAGCAGCAGCTGGAACATCTTCCTCCACGTCATCGTCAAAGAAGTAATTTGTAATTACGCAGCGAAACATATGGATTAAGATTAATTATGGCCTACGATTAGCTTGGAGCTTGTGGTTGGAGGGTTTCGTCCAACGGCTCCATTCTCTTTTGTTTATTCATAATTATTCATATTTTTTTAGTAGTATTCGAGTGACGCGTTATGTGGGGACATCCGTTAGCGTTAGACTAATTAAGTTAAATTTGAAATTTGTTTATTGCAATTGCTTAGAGTTGGTTTAGTAGTTACGATTAATTGTTTCTATTGTTTTTTTCTCTCTTTCTCCACGTCTAACTGAAACGAATGCTTATGAAATGCTCAATGTTTGTTGTTAGCACATACATACATACATATACACACATACACAGACACACACCCACCCATATACTAAAAAATACAAACACAAACACATTTACATATACATATTCACATACACAGGCAGTCTGTGCTATGTGCCCAGTGCCAACCAGCTATGAACTAAATTTATTATTTTACATTTTCATCGCTTTTCATTTTTTGTTTGTTCATATTTGAATATATAGATGTTTAGATATTTATATATTTTGTACGCAACAAACAAATTTCCTACAGAAGCAGCGTTGATATTTAAACGTATTGCCATGAACTGTTGTACTATATACGATAAAGATAAAGGTCAAGATATAACGATAAATAACCCTACTATAGTTACCAAAAACGACAAATGTAAACGAAATTAATATACAGAAACCAAATGATCTTAAAGCAAATCAATTTTGTACATTAAATATGCGCAAAAGTACATTCAAGTTATATAAATATATTTATATGGCACCCCTATATATATACATACATGTGTGTATATATATTGAGTATATATACCGCATACATTTCTTGTGTGGCCCAGGAGCAGAGTGTTACTGTTTAAGAGGCAGGCGTTTGTTAACCTTAAACTTACCTATTGAGGCACGGGGCGCCACTGCCAGCGAATTTTAGTAATTTAGGCATTTAAAATGTATCCGAAATGAAATGAAATATCTAAAGAAAAACCAAAAAAAATCTAAATATCTAAATCCAAAATCAATTTTGATTTTACTTTCTACCGAGCATTGCACTGACCGCACTCACCTCACTCCTCTTCAACGCCTACACCCACGACACTCCCAGTTTATAAAGCCAACCATGGCTAAACGAATCACCGAAACATATATCTTTTTCAACCCGCCAAGCATTTAAAGTTTATGTTTTGCAAACTGCAAACCCTCTTCTACTCTTAAGTTATCGCACTTGTTACATTTATTTGAAATACAAGAAAATCTGAAAGAAAAAAATCTTCAAAATATGAAAAATATCGCAAAAAAAAGTTTAAAACTTACAAAAATGGCAATTCAGTGCATAGGAAAAAAATAAGAAAAACAAACTATAAAAATAAACCCAATAAAAACGAAATGTGTTTTGCATAGCTATTAGAATTAGATTTAAACATATGTGAGAAATCAAACGTAAGCTTACTATTGATAATTACCTATATACGATATACATATGACTCTAAAGCGTAACTACAATTTGAAAATATATAAGTGAAGCTCACGGTGAAGTTTTGCTTGATGCACAGTTAGCAAAACTGCGAAATCAGCTGAAAATCCTAATCAAACATGAACTAATCCCAATCCATTAGCTCCTTGGTTTTTGCTTCGCTCATCTAACGATAAGCAACCAAATAAGAAAAGTGCAAACAAATGTCATTACACACAGACTATATAACAATTAATTATATATTTTAAACATTTAATTATTTGTAAATATTTTTTCTGCTTTTAAATTGTCGCTCCCTAATTGTAAAACACTCACGCACACACACACACAAACTTTCAGCTTTCCCATGAGCTTAACAATATATATATATATATATATAAATATATATATATATATATATTTTAATGACATTTTCAACCAGGATTCGGCTGTTGCATACCTCGTAATTGTATATTAATTTGCGGTCCAAACTGTTTCAATTCTTTCCACACTGAAGTGCGCAAATCTGTTGAGTTTTGATTATATTTCATTTTATAATTATTAACTAAATGGGTACACATATTTTTGACATTCGTGTCGTACCCCTTAAGTTTCAATTTTTTATATATATAATATACATAATACGATTAATCTATACAATTTACGAAAGGATGCAAAGTCCGAGTAAACGCAAAACAAACAAAAAAAATAATAATTAATTTTGTAAGCTACTTAAATGAAAATACGAAAAAAAAAGAAAAAAATCGATTATTGTGAAAAACGTGATAGTTTAAACCATAAAGATTAATATTTACTATTATTATATGAATAATTAATTATAAATCATAAAGCAAAAAAAAAACGAAAAAATTCATAAACTAACGTAAACAAAAAAAATATAAAAATTTTTTTAAAATTAACAAAAAAATGTTAAAAGTGAGTAGAAAAACTAAAACAAAAAAATGAATAAAAAAACTTGAAAAAACTCAAGAGAAAAGATTTTTTGCTGCATTTTTCAAATTGCACTGCTTTGTTAGGTAACGGCTGTTGAAGTGACTTGAGCTTCGCGCTATTCGCGCCAGAGGGCGCCACGAAATGTTGCCGCAACATGCTGCGTGAGCGCATTTGAGCTCATGTTGCCAAGGACAATGGAATGCATAAGTAAACATAAACTTACAATGGATAAACAAGTCGACGTTTTGAGCTATTTGTCAATCAGGCAACAAACTGCACACCAAGAACTAACACACGCACACTCCTCGTTGGATTTGTCCATTCGGCTCTGGGCTGGGTGTCACAGATTAACTCTTGGCTTGAATTATGGGCTGGCACCAAAGCCTGGCCAGGCCGACCCCTGTGCCCCGGCCGCTGACCGGGGCGAACTACTTCACAAATCCGAAGAGAAACAAAAAGTCGACGCATGGAAAAATCCTGTATAAAACATAAGAGCGATCAAACACCCACACACACCGGAGTGAAGGGCGGCTCGGAGGCCAAAACCAAAGATGCCAGGCATTTCCGTCTGGCTATAGCGTAAGGCGCTTAAAAATTTAAAACCAATTTTGAAGCGCTTTAAAAGGACGAAGCCTTATTCCTTATTCAGTGTTTAGATTGTGTTAGCAATATTTTTGGCCCAGTTGGGGGACGCGAGTCTTTTGCCTGGCGTGACCGCAACCTAGGATCAGCCCAAGTGTAATCACCTGACCCTCGTGGCGCCGCTAGATCTTACGTGTACCTGTATATCTGAAGGCTATGTATGCATGTGTATATATATTTCAATTGCTTTACTTTGAATGCATTGAAAATGAGATAGGATTTTTTTTGAGTTACCTAAGTTTAAATCAAAATAAAATAAAAAAATATTTGTAAAAAACAAAGCCAAATTGGGTAGATATTAAAATATAATTTTAGGCATGTGGCTGCCACGGCTGGCGTATGCAAGGCGCAATCTGGAACTGCAATTTACGCAGTCATGACTATCATAGTATTTAAGGATATATGAATGAATGACTTCCTCAGACTACAAAGCGCAGCAAAGACTAATTTGCTGTGAATGTGATGATATACTGACAACTATCCCAACTCCATATGCTGCAGTTTAGATTGTTTACTGACCAAAAATTAGCTCATCATTATGTAAGCAGTGATTTAGAATCTATAGTTTCTATCAGGTCTGCCACGCCTTAACCTGCTTGTTACATGCATTTTCACAAAGCAATTATTTTGATATATTGATTTTTTCGTGAAAATATTTATTTAACAATGTAAAAACTCTTTTACACGAAGTGAATAAAGGATTCACACTTGGGATTAAAAATAACCGTGGCATATGGAATTATTGGATATATATTCGAAAGATAGGATTTATTTATTCGTTAAGTTTATGAACGCTGTGTGATGGGCGAAAATAATTATTATTTCTGAAGCTAATCAATTGCAATAAAATTGCAATGCAGCAAAAATTCTGATACCAATTAAGTGGGAATAGTTATCTAACATATGAAAGAAACTTGATACGTCTCTAGCTCTTATAGATGCCGAGATCGACGCGTTCACACATACGGACAGATAGACAGACGGACAGGGCTCAAACGACTCGGCTTGTCGTCCTGATCAAGAATATATTTTATATATATTGACATTGACACTGGCACTGAGCATTTCAAAGTTAATTTATAAATTTAATATAAAACTCGGAATAAGGCCATACTTCGAGAGTCACAGAGGCATTGATCTTCATTTCATTTGGAGACGCTGCAGTTAACTCTGGCTGCTGAAGTAAACGCCACGCCTCGCGTGCACCTCGATATCTCTGCAGCAGTAAGGAATTAGCCTCTTCAAGCAGCGCCTGCCTGAACGACATCTTCGTCTCTTGGCCTAGCATCCGCACCTATACAGCTGTGGGAATTGTTTTTGTAACCGGATATTTTGAAAATGTGTTCTCAGTTGACTGTGTCTACAAATCAACTTGCAATGAGAAACATTCAGGATCATTAAGTAAAAATACATTTAAATAAAATATTGAACGATTTCGTACATATGAATAGACTTTATTTTGATGCAATTTTGGATTTGAAACTCGGTTCAAAGTTGTGTAAATATTGAAAAGGCGCCTAGTCAAATCAAATGTACAGGCGCCACGACGGGTCTTTAAAATATACTAATAAAGGAATTGCAAGCAGGAGTAGACGGTTGGGTTATGGGGGAGGAGTAGAGTATACAATACATACTGAGAGCGTGCAACTTATAACTAAAGTTTTCTCATGCCTACACGTAGCTTTAAGATGAAGGAGGAGGAGGATTAGCAGCAGGAACGCTTGCCGCAGGAATGCTTGGAGCAGGCGCAGAACTAGGCGCAACTGTTGCCACGCTGGCGACCTCGGCAACAGGTGGAGCATTAGCTGGCGGTGTAGTATCTAAAAAAAGAGTTCATGTTTATTTTCATTCATTTTAATTTAAACAATGTTGATTAAAATGCTATTTTGTGCATTCAATCTAATATTATCTTGCACTTACCCATTGGTGTGGGCGCCTGAGATTGAGCCACAGGTGCAGGCAGCTCGCCTGATGGTGTTGGTGGCGGTGCTGCCGCAGGTGCCACAACTGGCGGTGCTGTGAATGGTGCACCATTTGGTGCTGCTACAGGTATGTGCGTCGGCAACGGTTGGTGCTGCACCGAAGGCGCTCCCAGCTGCTGGGGCGCCGGTGGTTGGAGTGGATGTTGCTGCTGTGCCTGCTGTTGTTGGGGATGATGTGGCGGCGGTAGTTGCTGTTGTTGTTGCTGCTGCTGCTGCGGTGGCATTACCATGGCACCTACTGCGGCACCCACCTGTCCCTGTTGTTGCAGCTCCTGCTGCAGACGGTGATGCGCCTGTTGCCGCGCTCGAAACTCGGCTGCCTTCAGCTGCTCCAGATGAAATTGCTGGCGCTCAGTAATGAGCTGCTGTCGCTGGTATTCGAGTCCTTCACGCTCACGCTCCATAGTGGCCTCCAGCTCCTCGAAATGCCTCAATTTGATTTCCAGCTTCTTCATTTGTGTCTCCACCAGCAACGCTACTAGAGACTTGATCTTGCGTTCTTCCAGCGCTGCCAAATGCTTTGCTTTGACAGCTGCCGATGCCAATGCTGCGGCAGCTGCCGTTTGCATATTGTTCTCGCTGAAGGCTCCATCCTTAGATGAAGGACCACCGCTATTTGTATCGTTACTGCCATCCTTGGTCTCACCGTCTCCACTGTTGTCTTCGGTTTTGATCTCAATATCGTTGTTCGTGCCAGTCTCTGTGGGTGAGGAGTTGGAAGCCGTTTTGCTTGAGGCGTTGCTCGTTTTGTCGGTTTTATTGGCTTTGTCGGCTGCGTCCAATGACGGTGACGAATCTTTAGACTTTTTATCTGTGTTATTGGTGGTGGTCGTGTTGCTTGTTGCTGTAGCTGTTGTTGTAGTTGTAGTTGTTGTTGTTGTTGATGTTGTTGATGTGGAACTTGAGTCTGTGTTTGTGTTGAGCTTATCCGATTTCGTTTTGTCTTTGGACTTGGCATCGTCTGTAGCTTGTATGTGAACAAACGCAATAACGCAATACAAAATCGGCCAATTTTTCATCATTTATGTAAATTTTGTAAATAAAAGAAATATTAATGATAACTTAAAAGATTTTGAAAGATCAACAGAAACTTATGTCGGAATACCGAAAATTTTCATACATTTGCAAATAAATGTAACTGCTAATTCATATTACTTAAACAAGTAAAATAGCTAATAATAACGCTTAGTAAATTGAAAAAACTAATTCGATTTCCTAATGTTGTTAAAACAGGGATTAGTAGACCGAACAATTCTTATATAGAAATTGTAAAATACAAAACTGAAACCTATATATCGCTTCATTTAAAAAGTTATCAGTAATCAAATAATCAAAGCTTGGGCATGCGTTGCTTACCGTCTTTTTTGTTAATATCCTTTATTTCCTCATCGTTGCCGCCTGCCGTGGAGCTGCTGTTGTTTCCCTCCTTTGATTCGTCGTCGTCCTTGTCGTTGCCTGTGCCAGCAATGCCGCTGTTCGCCAGACCAAAGTTGGGATTGAATTTGCCACCTGCAGAGGCCTTTTCCACGTTCTTCATATGGTTGTCCATTATAGTAGCAGGCACCTCATCCTGACGAAGGAAAATTTCCATTAATAATGTAACTCTGGAGCCCTTCTATTTTGCGACTTACCTTTATGGCGGCGAATTCCTCCATGGCAGCCTTCGCAGCGGCAGCAGCAACACGTGGATCTACCACGGATGCCAAAAATGCTACTGTCGACATAATTGGATTGCCTGACTTGCTAAATGGAATTGGCTGACAGCCAAGCGGTCCCAGAAAGCCGCCGTCATCTTCAAGGTACGGATCCTCGATGGGCAGACGCAGGAAATGTAAAATGCATTCGTCTTGTGTGCGGGTACCCACATGCTCGCACACCTTATTCCAATCGTCCTTGTGCATCTCGAGACCCTCGAGCAGAAGCAACGTCTCTTGATCGGTCCACTCTCGCGACATGTTCGCCGCCGTACGATTTTTCATGGCGGCCGGTTTTTTGGCATATTGATCCAACTTCAGACCAAACTGACTAACCCCAGAAGCTAAACCGCTGGCTGCACCATTCTCCAGTGTTTCCGTCTTAATGCCCAGGGCGCCGCCACTGCCTTTATCGCAATCCACGCCACCTTCCTTGCCCATCGGTTTCTTATCAAGATCAAGTAGTGTCTTGGCCGCCGATGGTTGCTGTGTTTTTTGGGGATTGATCGCCTGCAAACCTGATGGCGTATCCGACAGTATGTGAAAGTGCGAGGTGGGAGGCGGGCCCATTGGCGTAGGACGCAGATCAGCGTCAATCTGATAGTTAATCAGACCCCACTGCTCCAAAAATGCATGCACGCGCATTATGGCGCACACATCGCCTGCCAAATTACGTCGACAAGCTGTACTCGTTAAGTATTCAGTAGGATTCAACCTATAAAGAAATACAAATCAATGAGATTAGATGTGAAATCGGTTTTTTAAAGTTTACATTTGTTGTCATCTATCTAAAAGCATGTGAAAGACACCGTAATGCATGCATAATTATGCATTTTACATGGACATATACGGATAACATAAATCATAGAAAAGGAACTCACCTATAGGTGTCAATCATGAAATTGCGATAAGCCATGTAAATCTCTGGCGTCTTGGATTTGTTCTTGCTGTTGAAGAACTCGGGCATGGCGCGTTTCTCAATGACATGAATCGAGTTGTAGTCAAACCAGGCGGAATATGAGGGCACAATTATGTGATGCGTCTGCTCGGTCACATTGTCTTCCATGTCTTCCTTGGCAGACGATGAAAATTCCTGGGTATTGCTGTTGTCGCTCGTTTTGCCCGTCTGTGAATTGTCGCCATCGCCAGCGGACATCGCTTGCGCAGCACTACCGCCGGTCATTTCATCATCTAAATCAGTCATGGTGCCACCTGATTACCAAAGATATAAATAACTACAAAGCCACAATTGAGTCGTGTAGATAATTTACCTTTAATGGGCATCATATCGTTGTCACCACGTGATTTGCTACCGGGTGCTGGACTGGCTGTCGATTGCAGCGCCGAATGCGTTGCCTTATGCACTTCCTGGATATTAGGCTCCGCCGGTGGATCATCGAGGTCCCGAGTAAGATCCTCATCATCCTCGTCATTTCGTGATTTCTTATGTATGACAGCTGGGGAGCGCTTTCGCTTGCCCGGCTTCGATGTGGATGTGGAGGTGGTGGGCGACGGCGAGCGACGTCGTTTTTGTTTACCAGTTCCACTGCTTGTGGTGGGCTTCTTTTTATCATCGCCAAAGGACATTATGTCGTCGATGGACATACGCTGTTTGTGCGTCTTTTTTTTGCCCAATTCATCAACCTCGTAATCTTCCTCTGCCATCCACTCGTTGTACTGCTCCAGATCCAAAATCCACGAGGCAGCCACTCGCCAACGTTCTGCAGGCGATTCCGGATTCTCGGGTATATTATCGGGCAAATCGAAGCTGTTCAGCGTCCAAGAGTCATATGACTCAGGGAAGTAGTACCAGTGAAGCATGACATGATTGCCACGCTTAAAAATAGGTCGAGCATATTCATCAGGATGTGGATCCACCACGGGATAGACGATGTGTGTGGCATCCTCCTCGTCAGTGACGATTTCTACCCGTCGATTGTCGAGAATCTCACGTAGTCGTGTCTCAAAACTCTTCTCAATCTCTGGTCTGATATAAATGTAAGGTATGCGATAGAGATCTGCCTCCACTAGAGCTTGCTCGATCTCGATCAGTAATTGTATGTTGGGGTCTTTGCGGGTTGGATTCTTGCCAATAGAAAAATCAAATTTCTTGCCACGTTGCTCGGCACGAAAACGAAACATGGTAGAGAAAATTATACAAAGACCTCCTCCATTTTTGAAATCCAAAAAACAGCGCATCTACCAAAAATAAAAAACAACGTTATTTATTTGTGGACAGATATTCATAATTTATAATTTTACAAAAAAAAAAAGAGTTAATAATTAATTATACACGACTTTAAAAAGATAATTCATTGATATATATATATATATATACATAACACTTTAGTACGTGAATATATAAACAATCGTGCCTGTCTCAAAAATATTACGTGTGCTCATCTCTATCGCGCGTGTACATACAAAACATTTTGCACACCCAAAACACCCTGTTCCCCCAATACACTTACCGGGATTCTCGTCGCCGGCGGTTCTGCCGAGTTTTTCCCCAATTTAGCTTCCACATATTGCAAAAATAGTATTAAAAGCTGTGCGAGTGATTCCTTCGTTATTGGTTCTGAGCTATGCGCCAAATACTGCAAGAAAGATGCACGTAAGTTATCGTATGTTTTCAATTTGGTTGAAGCGCCATTTTTGTTTTCGCTTACGGTGGCGGCGGTGGCGTTGTACTCACCTTTTTACAATTCTTTTGTAGCCATAGTCGTATAGACTCAAAACCTTGCAGCGTCTCAGGCGATTGGAAAAAGTCAATGTTGGGACTTCCGTCCTTTTTAGGACCGAGAGTGTTCATTGTGCAAGACTTTTTTATACTTTTATTTGATATTATGCACAGATTCACAGTAAAAAACGAATATTGAAAACGCTGCAGCAGAAATAGACGCACACAATTAGGGTGGCGGAGTATCGATACCACTTAAGTATTGAAGTGCATGTTTATCGATATAATAAGTTACTCGATACCAATTACACTCGTTCTCTGAGTACAAATAAGATATGACTTAGTTCACAAGCTATTTGCTGATTTATTAATTTTTTTTCGTTTGGAAATGGTTTACCAGAATATTAAAATAAATTATTATGTGTTGATAGTGAATTCTACCAAATTTAATTGAAACATTCTTTTAATAGTTCTAATATTATCAGCTCATAATTCTAGTTCTTATTTACTAACTCAAATAAAAAATTCCATCTCTATATCCGAGTAGTGTTACCACTTAACCTAAATACATACGCTCACTAATTCTCGTGTAAAAAATATAGGTCATATCATTTTAACTACTTTATTAAATACTTTATAATGTATCAGTAATTATGCGATGTATATGATACATTTGTGAATAATTTTTTGATTCTATTACGAACTAATAGAGACTATGAACTGATCAGTGGCAACTCTGTTTGTATTTTATTTCATGCGCCATTCGAGCACCGCACAGTATAAATGTGACTTGAACACCGCGAACATGGCTTTCCCTGGTAATATTAATATCCGAAAATTTGAGAATATCCAACGAAGTAAGTGTATTTGTAGTTGTGTCAAACCAAATGTTAAATTAAAACACTGACTGTTTCGGCCAAACGACGGTTGCGACACAATCGAATCCGTTGCGGTCTCCACGCCTACGCCGGGGTTGTATGTGTGCGTTTAAAATCAATGAAACGAATACTACTCGTGCGAGTGAATAAGAACAGTTTTGTGACGCTTGCAAAAAAAAAGTGAACGCGTAGCAGAGCAGCGAGCAAGGAGAACGTAACACACATATACTGCGCAAGCAAAAATGAACTTTACAATTTGAAATTATAAACAAAAACTAGAATAGGCTATTTTTTTCAACAAAATCATTGACTGGTGGTGAAAAGTGAACAAAAATGCATAAGCTAAATACAGCGCGCATGAGCTGAAGTGACAGCAAGCAGTCGCATTGCTGCCGCAGCAGCAGCAGACGTCGACGCCGACGCTTACTCCGACTCCGACGCCGCCATAGGTATGCTGCAGAGTTGCTAGCTCAGCACGCCGCGACAGCACCAGCCGAATCGTAACATTTGCCAAAGGTAAGTGCCGTGTAATGTGTTAATAAATATGAACAAGATAGTATACATAAATAGTGCTAGTGTGTGCGTGTTTATGTATATAAATTATAAACGTATTAACTAATTACATTAGAGACGCAGCCCTCGTATACTTATCGTTGCGACGACTGCGCTGCTCTCCTTGACGCTGTGAGTCTTCCGTTGCAATTTTTAGTGTATGCGTGAGTCTGAGTGTCAGTGTGTGTGTGTGTATGTATGTACTGCCTCTGTTACTTTTCTTGCTGTGTCAGCGCGCGGAAAGAGGGGCAATGAGGGCATGTTCTGCTGTGATAAGCTCCATTTATGAAATTTTATAAGTACATAACATGTGGGCTCATATACATTCGTATGTTTGTATATGTTTGCATATATTTCAAACGTCGAGAAATATCTACATCTATTCATTTTTTAATGTCATGTATGTGAGGTTATATTGAAGAAATAGCTAAGTTAAAAATCCTTTTTTAATTACTTTCCTTTTTTGTCTATAGGGCAGTGTAGTTTTTTTTCTTAGCTTTATATTCTTGGCAGCATTTAAAATGTCCCCGCGATTATAATTTTAGCTACAAAAATTTCTTAAACTTTTGGTTTTTGTGTTTTGGCATTTTGAATTGTTTTTCGGCTTTTCGCTATTAGTGTCTGGCACTTTTTGCAACTGCTGCCTCCCACCATTCATACACTTACTTTTTGGGCGGCGTATGCGCACCAATTGAAAAATCGGCGCGTACATGTTGGCTACGTGCATTTGCTTTTGCCTAACGTTAAAGTGCCTTCGTTTGTCGTTGTCGCTGACGCAGCAGCGCGGCGGACGTACTCTCAGTCAACATGCGTTGTCCACGTTGACGGTGCGACCCAGCAGCAGCAATAGCAAGCGGCATTTATATTTATTTATGGTCTGCTACCGTAATCGACATTGCCGCCTAAAGCAGTCCGCGCTCCTCAGTTTTTCCCTCTTTGCTTTCATACGTGTGTACTTATGTCCAAATATATGCATGTATTCATGTATGCATGTATGCATGAATTTATTTCTATGGGTCTTAGTGGGGTAGGGCACTTGAACTAGTTGTATAGACGTACGTATGTATGTGTGGGTCCAACTATGTTTTGCCACTTAATTTCTAGTTATTTGACATGAATATTTAAAATAAATTCGTAGCTTTGGCTGCCTTTTAAAATTGATGTAGGCTGAGTTCACACTTGGATGCATAAAGTTGTTGATTATATTGTTTTCGATATGTATGTACATATCAATATTCCGTAATCGATTATATTGTACATAAATATATTTAAAAAGCTTAACTTAAAAAAATATGTAAACGAATATATATACAACAAAATTGATGGGAACATAGAAATTTAATAACATTAATTTCTTGAACCAAAGGATTAGGCAAAAGTAATTCTGCTCAAAAATAACTAACTTTTATTATAAACACGGATTGATACATTATATTTAATAAAAAACAATGGCTACGTTTGTACAATTTTAAATTTGTCAGCCATATGAACGGTTACATATACGTTCAGATCGTCTCAGGTATAATATTTTATAATTTCGTCTTCGATTTTTGTGTAATTCGCTATAAAATATTCAACGACAGCTGTTTTAATATTTGCAGAATGTTGCTGTCGTTGTTTGTATGCTAATATTAACTTGTTTAATATTCAAACACACTTGTATTTCCATTTGTGCAAAATTCCTAAACATATAGTCGACTACACGACTTTTTGGTAACTTGTTTATATCTATGTATTTATAAGTATTACTTATGTATTTATAAGTATTCTTAGCCATTTTGCAGGTCTTCGGAAATTTTGCAACATTTAACAACTTATTATTATTATTACTTATCAGAAGGTTTTGTGACTCGGTGATTTTTCCATACAATTGACCTTGAAGCAAATAAGAGTTTTTTCCTAACAAAATATAATTTCTTGTCTAATTATATATCTGGTGCTATTGGCATTTATTGTTTTAAGACTCGTAATAAATTTGCGAAGTTAGATTTTTGTCGCCAGTTTTATTTTATCGGTAGTTATTTATAAATCATTTACATTTGAGCCAGCTGACTCATATGTTATGAGGCTTATGAACAGACGCTTATTGAAAATCCACGTGGCCTAAATGATTGGATAAAACTTTAACTGTTCCACACGATTCTTGCAACTTATAGCTGTACAGTTAATAAAGCTCAGACAGGAAGCGGTCGTATAAGGTTATACGTAGGTATATAAGCGTACATGTGTAAACACGTATTTATGAATGAATGAACATAAATACAGTAGCAGTCTTTCAGCCTTCATCTCTTTACCTTTTTGTACCTATCTCTTGATTTGTCCCTCTCGCTTTCTCTCTCACCCTCGTCTGTCTCACTATCATTTGCTATCTCTCTGTGTGTTTCTAATCATTATTTGCACGTTATTGATATTGTATATTTTAATTTCTTCCACGGCTTATCTACAAGCTTTAAAATTAGCTATTTATGAATTTATAAAATACGTATGCCAAACGTTTATGAAATGAAAAAAGAACTGCTTTAAACGATTGTGCAAAACTCATTTCATTAATCGATTGCTGATCAGGGCCAATTATTAATTATTAAAATTTCAAACGCTAATTAATAGTTGATACTGTTGGCTTTAGCCATAAAGAAGGCATTATACTTAAATATAGATAATACACATATGCATGTATATAATAGATAATCTAATTTATATACGCATTAAAGGTCTTTTTCTCTTTTTGTTAATAAGAATTGCAATGAACTGAATACGCTGCGACCGTTGACTTTGCATTTATTGACAAATACATAATTTATTTATTGCTGTCAATTTATGATCAAACAATCCGAGGCATACGAATGCATTCATTAAACCTTTAACGGCAGCCATTATCTGTGTATGTAATCAACGATTTTATTGCTTAAATATAAATGAAAGTTCTATTGATTGTCAACCATTTGACTATTTCAATCAATTACATTAATTTGTGATTATTTGTTTGTTTATTTGTCAGCAAATTTTATGTATATATTATTATTGAAATCAATTTAAGCATTCTTCGTTAGGGCGTTATCAATTCTTATCTATCGTGTACATACATTCAATAGATAAGCTCTGAGAAAGTGCGACACCTGAAAATTTCGATAATGCGCATTCATGTCAAAGTACAACTGTATTTGGTGTGCATAATATCATAATATAATTGTTTTTTGGTTTGGTTGATTATTTATGAAATCAACGATTTTCTCACGTAGTTTTGATGAATTTTAAAAAATCCTTGAGTAACCACGTCTCACGGGTGACGTCCAATGAATATCTCTCATCCTTCACATTTCAAATGAGTAATTCGCATACAATGCTAGTTTTTTATTGTCATTTTTTATATTGCAGTAAAAGTATAATGCTGAAAATAAATGTGTGATAAATTGTTATTATATTTAAAAACAAATTGAGTTAAGGTAAATATTATCTAAAAGCCCTAGACCTTAACAATAAAAGAAGAGAAAGATAAGCACTATATGTTCGAATTAAATTTTAGGTATATCTTTACGTATACGCGTATATGACGCATGCCATACTGATTCATGTAAAATGAAATGCATTACCCACAATATCAAGTGATTTCTCACGTTGGATATGATTGACGCTTTAACGAACCTATTTACAGATTAGAATTACCCAACGTAATGGTCCATGGCTATGGCTATGGCTATGGATGTGCTATATCAATTTGTTTATGCAACTGTAATGATAAGCGACACAGTTATGTCATTGCGGATTACAGCTTGCTAAACAGTCCCTCGATCCACCCATAAAATCTATTATTTTATTGAAATAATTCATATGTTCATTCCGCTTCATTCCCCTAGTTGATTTTTAGTTGGCGTTCGTTTATTTATTTACTTGTTGCGTGTTTCGCAAGCTCGACCCAAAAACAAAAAGTACAGAAATTAAAAAAACTATACAAAGTAAATAAATAAATTGTATGCAGCCAAAAAAGTCGTAATAATGTGAATCGATTTCAGCGCGCTTGCTATAAAAATAAGAAACACAACAAACAGCACACGGCGAACAGCGAACAGCAAACACATACACTCTGAAACGTACAAACACAAAGTTATATAAATACTTGATTAATATTCAAGGTTGCCATAGCGTTTAGCTTCCTTATACAAAAAAGAAAGAGAAATAAATTCAAAGAAACAAACCGATTTTTTATACATACGCCTCACACAAGCTTCGCGATTTCTGATTAGTTTCTTATTCCTTGTTGCCGGGTCGAAATTTGAACACTAAGGATAGCCTGGCTTCCATACTGACCCACTTCCATAATCAGTTGCTTCGTTTTTCGGCTCCACTTCCTCTAAACTATATGCTAATTCAACTTATGGCTGATTGTTATTTCGTGTGGGCCCTAATCTGTCGAAATGCAATAAATGTAAGCTTTAGCATCTAAGTGCTTTGTACATACGAATATAGAAATGAAATTGATATCGTTTGAAATTTGATGGCTTTATGGCGCCTAGATACAAAGATACGTGACTAAAACAGTATTTATGTAAATACACTGGTAACATGCAACATTATTTGCAGACCTATTAAATATATATATTTTTACCTTATCTTGGGTCGTAAACATGCATAGTTGATTGCTGAGCGAATATCAATGATGGTGGTACCAGGGACTGGCCTAGTCCCTACCATTTCTGAAAGAGTTCAAACTATATGGAGAACAAGAAATATTTCCATACAACATTCATTTTCATTGGATTGTCAATAAAATATGTAAATACATAATGATACTAGTATCTTGTTCATGGTTTCATATGATAAAGGAGCGGATTTATCTAAATTCCTAGTGAGCCTAAGTCTTTACAAAGCTTTCCCATTCGTTGCTAAGAAACTAACTTTTGTTATTGTCTTTGTTCTTGCAGATTAGTTACATATAGTAATTAGAGCAGTTCGGAATTTGATTGCTTAATCAACCGCAACGAATCACAAATCTCAATTTAAGAATGACATCCCGGTAAGTAATGTTTGTAAAGGAAAGAGTTTCTAGTAAACCGTATTAACCATTGTTCTTTTGCCGGTTGCAGACTCGATCGTCTTTTCATATTACTCGAGTCAGGCTCCACGGCTGCCACTCGCCATGCGGCCGCCAAGGAAATTGGCGAGGTGCAAAAGCTATATCCACATGAACTGCACACACTGCTGAACCGGCTAGTGGGATATCTGCACAGCACTTCGTGGGAGACGCGCATTGCCGCTGCGCAGTCAGTAGAGGCGATACTGAAGCAGGTGCCGTTATGGCAGCCAGAATTGCAACTGGGAGCCATTAATTTGAAGAAGGAGCGCTCTGCCAGCGATGCCACTGAAGAGGATAGCTGTCAATCGAATGCTTCTTCGTCGACTACAACAACGCCATGTAGCGAGCGACTACTTAGCTTTCATGAGTTCGATTTACAGCAGATTTTACAGAAAGGCGCCCGTCTAATTGGCTCTGAGGGTAATGAATTCGATGTGCAGGAGGAGCAACCTGCCAGCGGTGGCGCCGCCGAAGATCACAGTGAAGCCGGTCGCCTGACTCGTCAGCGCGCTCTGCTCAACGACAAACTAGGACTCACAACTGCCGCCAAGCTGGGCGTCAATTTAACTGACATGATTACCGATGAGGATGTGGCATTGGCGCGTTCTGGCACCAGCTACAATGTAAATGCCGAGAAATTGCCTGTGGAGCACATACTGAACATCAAGCAAGCCAACGGAGGAGGAGCTGTCAGTGCCTCAGGCCAGCGGCTCAGCTGCCGAGAAATGAATCGCGCCAAGCGCAAGGCGCGTCAAAGCACGGCCAATTCCGCCTCCACAGTCACGCCCACCTGCAGTCGACGCAATTCAACAGCTGGCATTGGCGCCGGTAGCAACAGCAGCAGCGGCAGCAGTTGCAGCAACAACAACAGCAACGGTGCCATCAAAGGCGATGAGCCAGAGAAAAAAAAACTGAAAGCAAACGACAGACACGAGATTTTCTACAGCTTAAATGGTACGTGGGCAGTGCTTAAATTTGAAACTCAAGTGATGTAAAAATGTATTTTTAGCAATGTCAAGTAATTAACTTGTGGTGAAAATATATTTATTTCGTGATTGTTCAAATTTCAATTTTGAAATTACTAATTATCTTTTTAGTATTGTAAATATGAAAAACGTTAGTTTGCCGCGCCTTTTTTCAATATAAGTGAACTAAGATGATGCCATGATATGATTTGTATATATTACTATTCTCAGGCCTTTCAGTCCAGTTCTTATAGTTAATTGCTGTATAATTAGTTTAAACTGAGTTGTTTTTTTTTTTTCATTTTTGGTAATTTTTGCTTTCCAATTGTTTGCGAAATTCCGTTGTTATTTATATCATTTTACTCTACTTGTTCCCATTTGTATGTAGATTTCAGATCAGTTTTGCAATATGCTGCGATTTCGTGATCTCAATTGTATGGCATATCGATGTATACATACAAGATACAGTCGCACATCGAGGTGCATGATGTCATATTAAATCTGAAGCACTTCACAACTAGTTTTTTGTTAATTCACAATATTCCTTTAGCTTACTTAATTATATTTTTTATTTGTAATAAATTAGATACCGTTTGCCTTGATGGCAGCAGCCAAGCATAGAATTGCTGTAAGATAACTTAATTAGGCGCTCCGTTAATTATGACTTTTAATTGATTATTATTTACTGCTTGCAGCCGCTGTACCCGATGCGACGGGCATGTGGGTCGATGCTGTTTCGTGGCCACTGGAGAACTTTTGCGCGCGACTCTTTATTGATCTCTTTCACGCCAAATGGGAGGTGCGCCATGGAGCGGCCACTGCGCTTCGTCAGCTCATCAATCTGCATGGCAAGGGGGCCGGCAAGTGCGTGCAACAGAGTCCGGAACAAATGCATGAGGCGCACGGTCGATGGCTGGAGGATGCAGCGATACGACTCCTTTGTGTGCTGTGCCTTGATCGATTCGGGGACTTTGTCTCTGACCAGGTGGTAGCTCCGGTGCGTGAAACATGCGCACAAGTGCTAGGCACCCTGGTCAAGGCCATCGATGAGCCCAAGGTTCACTGCATTGTGGAAATTCTACTGCAACTGATACGCCATAAAAACGAGTGGGAAGTGCGCCATGGTGGTCTGCTAGGCCTCAAGTATGTGTTTGTGGTGCGCGAGGAACTGCTGCCCATTTACCTGCCAAAATCAATATCGGATATACTAGCGGGTCTATTTGATGCCGTTGATGATGTAGGTGCGGTGGCGGCAGCGACGCTAATCCCAGTGGCCATGTGGCTGCCAAAGCTGCTGAATGCTTCACAAGTGTCATCCATTGTAAAAATGCTGTGGGAGTTGTTGCTCGATCAAGACGAGCTAACTTCGGCCTGTAATAGCTTCATGGGCCTGCTGGCAGCCGTATTGTGTCTGCCCCAGGCAGCCAGCTGGATTGAAATGGAACCTATAGGTACTTTGGTTCCACGCCTATTTCCCTTCCTGTCGCACAGCACTAGCTCGGTCCGTCGGTCGACATTAAAGACACTGCTCACTCTAACGAGCAGTGGTGAGGCTGAGCTTAAGCAACCACCATCTGATGTCAAACTGGAGGTAGGCAAGGAAGACGACAGTACAAATGGCAAGCAAAAAGACTTGAAAGTTAACTTTGGTGTCGCGGAATGGAACTGGCAGCTGCTTCAGCAGGGGCTGCGGCACATCTACCAGCGCATCTTAGTTGAGGCGCACGCAGATATACAGAACTTGGCTTACCAGGTCTGGTCCAATCTCATTAAGCATGCGGACTTGGGCGCGCTGTTACATGCAGCTTGCCCGTACGTATCATCTTGGATATGCCTAGCCATGCAGCCGCCACGTCTGGCCTTCGATCCGGCCGTGCTCATCAGAGCTGTTGGGGATGCTGCCTCTGTATCTGCGGCTAGCACGCGCCGTCGCACTCCTCGAATGGGCGATGATTTGGGTGGAGTTGCATTGGCTCATACAAATGCCATGCAGAAATTATATTTAGGCGGCAGTGAGGCTACGCCAATAGAAGTTCGCGAAGCGAACTTTATGCGCGCCCGTATCACAGCATCGCGAGCGCTGGGCGCTCTGTCGCACTACCTAGTGCAACCTGCACCAGGCGTGCTTTATACGCCGCAGGTGGAGAGTCCCACAGACTGTTATACCAAGGTGCTACTAGGCCATTTGAACGCCCACTCGGCAGTGCAACGCATTGTGTGTGGTTTAATAATTGCCTTCTGGGCGCTGGAGGATGAACCGGTTCGACCTGGACCACCAAATCTACAGGAAAAGCTTCATCAATGTGTTTCTGAGTATTTTTACTATGACGAGGTGGCCACCTCGCTAACACGACTGCTACAGGAGGCACAAGACTTTATAGCTACACTGAAACAAAACAAGATACCTATCAACGACTTCAATAATGCCAAGATTCTCACTCTTGTTCAGATCGAAGCGGTGGCTAACTCGCTCAGTGACAATCTCCGCAGCTATGCGCTTAAGCCAAAGGTGCTCGACATGCTCCTGGACCGAAAACGCAGCCTACAGGCCTCTTATCAACAAACGACCAGTGAACAAGGCGCCTACCATGTCAGCGCCCAGGCGGCATTGGCTAGTGCCATCTGTGCGCTGCATTGTCTTCCAGACAAACTAAATCCTGTTGTCAAGCCATTGATGGAGTCGATCAAGCGAGAGCAGTGTGTCCCTTTGCAGCAACTATCAGCTGAATTTTTGGTGCACCTCATGGACCAAGTTTGCGATAGAAATCCTAGTCCCAACAGCAAAATCCTGACCAATCTGTGTACCCTGCTGCGCAGCGATACAGAGCATACCCCAAAATTGGTAAGTGAAAACAAGCCCCTCTTTAAACACCCTTACTAATATATGTTCGGTGTTTAGGGTACGCCATTGCAGACGCTGTTGGAGACACGCCCCACTGCCAGTGTTAGTGGAAATGACAATTGCGACTATTATGGAATACTTACGCTTAAGCAACAACAGGCTGCGACCAGTGCGCCCAGTAACAGCAGCGCAAGCACACGAACTGGCGCTGCGCCTTTGACAACAACGCCAAGGGGACCGGGCAGACCGCCGGCAAGTGAAGTATTGGCTGCAGCAGCGGCGGCTGCGGCTAGTAATGATTTCAGTACCCAACAGGCCAAAGAGGCAGAAGCGCGGCAATGTAGAATTCAGCGATTGGGAGCCGCTTGTGCCATAGCCAGGCTGTGCAGCACATTCGGCGAGCGCATTGTAGACAAGGTGCCCATATTTCAGCTATTGATGTTTAGCAAGCTGGAGCAATTCGTGGCCAACACGGATACACAAACGCTAGCCAGCACGCTCCCCGAACTAACGACATGCAACGATCTGATCAGCTCAATGCAACTTATCGAAACGGCGGCGCCACATTTGAACGCAGCGCTGCATGAACAGCTGTTTGCGCTTCTACCACATCTGGGTTTCATTGTGCGGCATCCGCTGAAGGTACTGCGACACATGGCAGCTCGATGCATCGCCATCTTGGCAGAGATTGATCCGTGCCGCACCATGCAGTTTGTAGTAACGGAGCTGCTGGGGCTGCTGCTCAAAATTGAGCAGCCTATTGAGCGACAGGGCGCTGTGGAGGCCATTGAGCGAATAGTTAATCGACTGCAAATCCGTGTAGTGCCATATATTGTTCTGCTAGTGGTGCCGCTACTGGGTGCCATGAGCGATGCGGATGAATCAGTGCGTCTGTTGGCTACACACTCATTTGCCACTCTAATTCAACTAATGCCATTGGATGGAAGTGAAAACGCGAAGTCTGCGGCACAGATCAAAAGCGAACCATTAAAAGAGCGTAAGACTCGAGATCGTGAATTCCTCGATTATCTGTTTGCACCAAAGACTATTCCAGACTATCGTGTGCCGGTGGCGCTCAGTGTGGAACTGCGCGGCTATCAGCAGGCAGGCATTAATTGGTTGTGGTTCCTAAACAAGTATAATCTTCACGGCATACTCTGCGATGACATGGGCCTCGGCAAGACACTCCAGACAATATGCATATTAGCCGGCGATCATGTGCAACGGCAAGAAGCCAAGTTGGCACCACTTCCCAGCCTAGTCATTTGCCCACCAACACTCACTGGCCACTGGGTATACGAGGTGGAAAAGTTTCTGGCACAGTCCCCCGTTTTGCGACCATTGCATTATTTCGGATTTCCGACTGGCCGCGAGAAGCTACGGAGTCAAATTGGCACGAGTTGCAACCTGGTAGTTGCTTCGTACGATACCATCCGTAAGGACATTGACTACTTCAGTGGCATTCACTTTAACTACTGTGTGCTGGACGAAGGGCATATCATAAAAAACGGAAAGACTAAGAGCTCCAAAGCCATAAAGCAGCTGAAGGCCAATCATAGACTAATCCTATCAGGCACGCCTATACAGAACAATGTGCTGGAGCTGTGGTCGTTGTTTGATTTTCTAATGCCTGGTTTTCTGGGCACTGAGAAACAGTTCATTCAACGCTACTCGCGCCCCATTTTGGCTTCACGCGATGGCAAAAGCTCGCCCAAGGAGCAAGAGGCCGGTGTATTAGCCATGGAGGCGCTGCATCGCCAGGTATTGCCATTCTTGTTGCGCCGCGTCAAAGAAGATGTGCTTACGGACCTGCCGCCTAAAATCACCCAGGATCTGCTGTGCGAACTGAGTCCCTTGCAGCTGCGCCTTTACGAAGACTTTAGCAATAAGCATTTGAAAGACTGTTTGGATAAGTTGGACGATACGGAGAATCTCGGTCCTAAAACACACATATTCCAGGCCCTACGCTATTTGCAAAACGTCTGCAATCATCCTAAACTGGTGTTGCGCCAATCTGGCGATGACCTCACGAAAGTGGCTGCCCAGTTGGCACTTAACAATAGCACGCTGGATGACATTGAGCACTCAGCTAAGCTGCCAGCACTAAAGTAAGTGGCTATACATATCCATATCGTTGATCTCTTATTATAATTTGTTTTTGTTCTTGCTAGGCAATTGCTTCTAGACTGTGGCATAGGCGTCCAAACGGAGTCAGTCAGCCAGCATCGGGCGCTAATTTTCTGTCAACTGAAGGCCATGCTGGATATTGTAGAGCACGATTTGTTGCGAAAGCATTTACCGAGCGTTACGTATCTGCGACTGGACGGTGGCGTGCCAGCATCCTTACGTCAGGATATTGTGAACAATTTCAACAGTGATCCTAGTATCGATGTTCTGCTGCTGACCACTTTGGTAAGTTCTAAAATCTTGTTTCTTTCCGAAACTTAAATTTTAAACCGAATGTTTTGCTTTGTAATTTTAGGTAGGCGGTTTGGGTCTAAATTTGACTGGCGCCGATACGGTCATCTTTGTGGAGCACGACTGGAATCCCATGAAGGATCTACAAGCTATGGATCGTGCGCATCGTATTGGACAAAAAAAGGTAGTCAACGTGTATCGCCTAATTACACGCAACTCGCTGGAAGAAAAAATCATGAGCCTGCAAAAGTTTAAGATACTAACCGCCAATACGGTGGTGAGTGCCGACAATGCTTCTCTTCAGACCATGGGCACCTCACAGATCTTTGATCTGTTCAATGGTGGCAACAACAAGGCCAGCAACAGCGGAGCTGCGGAAGCAGCCGCTGGTGGCAGCGGTGGCATGTCTATGAATACCATCATTGAGAACCTTCCGGAGCTTTGGTCTGAGCATCAGTATGAGGAGGAATACGATATGGACAACTTTGTTCAGGCTTTGAAGAAGTAAAACCGCCACAAATTTCGCTTCCAAGACTTGGCATCCAAAAGTACACACTCAAAAATTACACAAATTATCCATGCATTCAAACTACTTTAAAGATCAGTCAAGTTCTAATTTTAATTTTATAAGCACTCTTGGATTCTTTCAAATGTTATCTTCAGTTCCTGTATTAGTTGCAACCGAGAACCATTAGAATTTATAATAAAAATATTTCGGGTCGAAATTAAATGTATAAGGTCTTTTAATCTCTGTTGGGCAACGTTTGGCGATGGACTTTAAAGTTGAAATAATCTTTATTGCCAAATTGCTATTGATATTCTCTTTGATTTTTGGCATTGCAGATTTAATATATATTATATTTTCGATTTTTCATATTTTGTAACGTCTTCGCTCTTCGATTTTTTTCTATAAAATGAATGGAAATAAATTAAATTCTTTCTTTAACGATTTTTCAGTTACTTTTTTTAAATAGCGTGAACAGACCATAAATGGTGTCTATCTGGCAATCAGCTGTTTTATTTGTTGTGGTGGTTGGTCGATAACTCAGCAATCACGTATGATAAAAAATACCAACTTTGACATAAGCAAGCGCATGCCTCGTTACGTTAGTGAATAACGTATATAAGTTGAACTTCTTTAAATAGCGCGGATCTCTTATTATAAAACTATTTCGATTTAATTATTGAGACTGTATTTATAAAATATTAATTTAAAATGTAAATATATTAAAATATATAAATATTGTAGCATAATATATTTAAATGTCTAAGAAATCGCTAACATCCACTTTAGAAGCTAGAATTAAATATATATTAAATTTATAATATTACTATTAAAATTGCCGTACTCTCTTTAGACTGACGGAATTCAATTACAATCTCATATTAATATTATATTGAGTAGAGATGAGTTCATCTTGAATAAGGCTCAAATAATTACTTAATGGTAACGACATTTTGTTAATTATAAGATATAATCAAGTAGGTAAGAATTTAGAGTAATCCCACGTATCCATTTAATAAAGTAAAACGAGAGCGCTTCAGCTCGGTTTCTGGTGCCTGTTCTAAATACGCATAATGGAAGTAAACGTATCAAAACATCACTAAACACGCAAAGGCAATTAAAATTGTTTTAAAACATGCAAACTCCTACAAGTAATAGGCTCCTGCAGCCGCGAACAGCAGACCGGGGTGTTGGGCTAACCAACTTAAATAGCAACCGAGAAGAGGCTGTTCGACCCGACTATACTCTATGCTCACATGTGTGCGCGGCTAGTGGAAAGGTCTGAAGAACTCTTACCATTTGAGTAATGGAAAGACAAGTATTGACTGCAATGTAACATTCTGTGGTAGGGTGTCTTTCATTTATCCCTACACGAAATCTAATTCAATTAAGCAAAGTTAATAGCCTTTGCGCAACATACGTCACCGTCAATGCGGACCCATTGTATGTAATTGATCTTTGCCCACTGATTGCTCTCCATGGCTGAGGCTGCAGCTCTGCGGTCATTATATGAGCGAGCGAGCGAGCGAGCGAGACTTTTCAAATCGAATCGTAAAGGATTATTCAGCTGCACAGCAGCAGCAGGCGTGCTAAACAAGTCTGCGAATGCTTCGAATTGCTTGTTGCATATGATAAGAAAAAAATATGTCTGGATTGTGTTTGCTACCATTCCCACACAGAACCAAATGGAATTTAAGAATTGTATTTAAATAGCACTGATTACCAATGCCCCTTCACTCGGACAGAACGACAGGCATGTACTAGCTAGGCTAGGCTAGGCGATTCGAGCCGTTCTTAAGTGCCCTCAATAGCGGCTGCAACTCAGTTAAGATAGATTTATGCCGAGAGAAACTTAACGATTAACATAATGTTAACATGCATTTAACGATTAAGACTGCAACATAATGTTAATTGAAGTGTCACAGAGAAGTGTATAGCATAGGTGCATTCATGCTAATCAAACGATGTTGCGATAAGGTAATTTAGACAAATGTTTTAATCGTCACATTAATGGCTTGGCATATTTTAGAGAAAATGCGTTGCATTAGCATCGACACCTGCTCATCGGCGTGGCCGATCCGGTTATTGCCTTAACTTCGTTAGGCCATTAAAAAATAAGCATGGCTTCATCGTCGGCTGAAGACAGGCAAGCTTATAAAAGGTAACTAAGTACATAAATGGCTTCAGCAGTTGGCGCTAACTAATCATAAGAACTCTTATTTCTAAGTTTGTTGAAAGCTGAGCTTATAATATTTGAATCTATAAATTTTGTCTCGCTTATAAGACTGAATTATGTAAATGTATGCATACATATATGTATATGCATATGTATATGTATGTGCATGTGTACATGTATATGAATATATAAATGCAAATATGTATATGTGTGCGTGTGTAGTTATTTTGTTAAACATTTTTTTGTCATTTCATACATTTAGTTGTCAAGCTTGACTAGACGTGCAAATATTTGATACCATTTGCAGTATATATATACCTAAATATATGCATACCTGTATATATGTGCACATACATACAGCTATACAGGTGTTTAATGACAATCATGTGACTGTGATTTATGCAAATGTTGCAGCATAACTGCAATAGCCAAATACTTGGCCATTTGAAGAAAAATGTGGCAAAGTATTAAATAGACTGGCAGCAAAAAAAAAAAAAGAGAAAAAACAACAGAAAACGGACTCGCAACTTGCAACTCGCTAAGCAACGCATAATGCAAGTAACCTGCCTTTCTGCAACTTCATTCATTTAATGCGGCAAAAAGTAGGAGCCCCAGTGCTTAGCTTAACTTTGCTCGCCAGCACTGCGAAGCAATAAAAGAAAAGAAATAGCAGCAGCAACAACAACAAGAGCAACAAAACACGCTAACCAATAAAACAATTGAGAAGCTGTAAAAACCACAACAAAGAAGAAGAGTTCCAAAAACAGGTTTTTAACACAACATAACTGAAACAAGTTGGAGCTGTTTATTGAATGTTAACTTAACAGGCGACTGTTAACGAGCTGTTAACCGTTTAGAGTTCGCGTTTCATTGGCTTGCCATATGCTGCACCTGCAGATCGCGATCGAATAAATACAAATATGTCAACACTCCACGGCATTTGAATAGGGCTAATGTTTAGAGTAATGGCTAAAAGTACTGAATGGAAAAGGTAACCTCAGCACTGTTTTGTTATCGTAACTTAGCCGAGAAAATATATATATATATATATATATATATTATGGACAGCATAGAACGCTAATAGAATTATTATTATTATCAGCTATTTCTCACACACACACACACACATGCCTCTACACATATTTGTGTGTACATACTTATTTGTACATAATCCTTTTACTTGTAGCACTAGCTAAACAACTAGCCACAAAACCGGTTTACCACAAGCAAACCAGATTTCTTAACCGTTTCGAACAGAGCGCCCACTTGTTGCCGTGTTGCTGCCATGGTCGCCAAAGTCAGTTCCACGCCAGCTACCTGTGATTTCAGGTGTTATAATTGTCGTGCGCGCTTGGCACAAACTATTTAATACGAATACTTCGCGCTAGTCCCAACCGCTACAAATATGTCTGCACAAAACGAACTGTAAAAATCAAGTCTCTGCCAAACTGCCAAACGGCGACAGCTCTTGGGATTATTAATCAACGAAATTCCTTCTAACAATTGCGGTTTTCGCTGCAAATGAAGGCTTTCCACAATTTAAGCCTGTGAAATGATGCTCTCAATTTTGTGAAATAATTTATATTTGAAGAAGTTACAACAAGGTAGCGAATGGAGTTTTATATAATAATATTCTGTCAAGTTCCCAGCTCAATTGTGTGCGCTGATGAAAGATGCTCGAATGGCCGCTTCATTTGCACTTTCTTTTTCTTACATGTATACGAAAAGCAAACAAACCTGATAATGCAGGAAACGAAATACAAAATAATTCAAAAGTGAAATCTTTGTGAAATTAGCAAAAATCATTGGCCTGAGAGCTGAAAACTTCGCTGTTCTACGTAAATAATAATAGTGTCGATAATATATGCACTCCTCGAACAAGAAGTATTTGCTGTGCGTTTGGTGTCCGCTTGATTCATGGCAGTGCATTTCCGTCGGCTCTAATTGCAGGACGTCTTGGGTTACTTTGCTGACCCCAATTTCGCTTGGGAAAAGCAATATTATGTTGGGGTTGCCTATTGGGGTCATGTGTGGAGAGCGTTTGCAAATAAACTGTTGCTGCCGTACACTAAGACAGGGAGAGAGAGGGAGCGACAGAAGGAAAGAGAGGCAGCTAGAGACACCCCAGACGACGCGACGTGCAACAATCAACTTGCCACACTACTTTTACTCCCTGTTGTTGTTGTTGTCTTGTCTTGTGTTGCACGTTTTGTGGATTTTTGAGCAGGTTAAAATGATTTTTTTGGCCAACTCGTGTGGGTGTGTGTCTCTCCCTCTCTCTCGCACTGGGCCTGTGCTCGGCCATTGCCATGTTGGCAAAAGTGAAACCTTAATCTATGCAAATCCTGAAGACAAATCGGCGACCGGCGCACATCAAGATTTATGCGCAAATATATACCATTAATTTTAATGAGTATTAAAACATTTTAGCCTGCTCAAACAGGAAAGCAAGTCTCTATTGTTATTTGTTTTGGCCATGGTCTGTGGCTCATCCCAAATGCCGCAAGCAAAACCAAGTGAAAGTTATCCTTATCAAACCGGAATTGTGCCGGACCTGACTTAATATCTGTTCGATATTCAATATTCTGTGAAAACATAAACGAAAAAGATGAAGCCGAGTTGCTGAACTCTAAGATTTGAATAGTAGACATTAGGAATTAAATGAGCAAGAGCCAAATTCAAAACTTGTTTTTTCAGACCTGGCGAATATGAAAAACTTGCTGCTATAACATTCTTTGTTCTTCAATAAGCTCGAGCTCTTTTTGCATATTCACATTTTTAGCATTGGCAGCTCTTTGCTTGGAACAGCGGATCTAAGTATGCGGATTATGTATAGCTGCGAATGAGTGCTTTCGCACTAATGTGTGTCTGCTGCACGTACACATTTCGACATTTATATTTTTTGTGGTTCGATTGTGCTGACTGGGTCAGTTCGGCAAAAATGTGTCTGTTGAAATTGGTAAAACGACACCAAACGTAACGCTTCACGTGGTCAATCAAAAAAATTGATGTCTCCAACTGCCTCCGGTCTTGAGACACACATACTGTGGCTCACATCTAAGTTATAACCTTTGGCATACATTCCAATTTTTTTCCAGTTTGGCTGCCATTCAAAGTATGTTAAACAAAGCATAGGTTAATATATAAGTATATATGCAGACATTTAGATGAATAGATTGTGCTGATTAAATATGGTAAAAGTTTTGCAAGATATGGCAGACTAGGAAAAGCTTGAGCTTAATCAAATACACGTTGATTAAGTGGGCTGCTCTACTGTAAGTTGCCAAACTTTAGGGTGCCTTAGACATCATTAGTTCAAACAACGCTTTAGTGGGATCTGTGTAGGTAACTTGGTGTCTCCAGCTTTTCAGACGTGAGCCTATACTCAACTAGCTGAGCACTGATTTTTATCGATTTCATGGAAACAGAAAATAATTTCGACGACTTGCAATGAAGTTGATCTGCGCGTGCTATCTACGTGTTAAATTTGAAGATCTAGCTTTGGTTGTTTAGAAGATCAATGCGTTCTACAAATGGACTGAACTTTAGATCGACTGTACTGCTGATCGTCATTGTTGAGGATCAGGGATATAGTTTAAACTAAGTTTCACTTAACACCTTAGTGAATGTAGAGCAACAAGTTAGCTAAGGGCCAGTACGATTAGTATTGCAAAGGTTTTAACCTATGTCAAAGCTCAGTTATTAGTGAATGTGGAACGCTAAGAGCATTTGAAATATTAATAATAATTATTGCTGTGCTAATAATAGAAAATGAAGTTAGTTATTTGGCGGCGGGTCAGACACTTATGTTGCTTAAAATAGTAATATTTATCACACTTGAAATCGGTTTACAAAATAATACTTTAATTGCTTTGGGCCCTTTTGCCAACTGCTCACAAACGATGTGTGAAGTTTACCACGCAATATACCTAAGATTACGTTCATTTGTTGTTGTTGTTGCTGTTGCTGAAGTTCGTACACCGTCCTCGAATGGACAGAGTAGAAAATCTTATCTGCGCGTCCCAGAGGCCTTTATATGGACAGTTCTAAAGTGGGCAACAAGAAAAACGCGTAGACAGCTCCAAGATGGGCAAGTTAAATATTTATTGCATATTGATGTCATGCCATTTAAGGCTGTGCCAGCCACCTTTTTGCATATATAAATACATACTTACAGCTGCTTTTGAAGATATCCTTAAGCAGCAGTAGCCACAGCAGCAGCAGCAGCAGCCGCAGTAGCATCAACTTCAGCACAAAACTTGTATTTTTTATTTATATGTATTTATGCAGTCGACATTTTATTGGCGTGCCAAAACTGGATTTACCATTATACATCATTCCCATTATCCTGCACTCGATTTGCATTTGTTGTATTGTTCAAATCAATATCAATAGCTTGTTATTCTCATATCAGAAATCAAGAAACAAGTTTTCCAACAGTGTTAATGAGCCTGTGCAACGGCTTTTGCCACTTCAGTTGTACCTTATGCAGACTTTATGCTTTACTCTTCTTCTCACACACAGCCAAAACTGTGGCAATCAATCAAACAATCACTCAATCAAGCAGCAAAGCTCGAATCAATCGAGTTATATGAAATTTAATACTTTATATAATTAAATAAATATTTTTTTAATAAAAGACTTTATTAGTTTTTCTTTTTATTTATATTTAAATTTATTTATTTAATTAAAAATGTATATAGTCACTGAAATTCCACACAATTTGTAGTAATATATTTGCAAATATACAAAAAATGTATAAATGTTAAAAAATATATTTATTTTTGACATTTTAATTTTCTAAGCGTCACTTAGACTTCTACTTCGGTTCGACTTTTCATTAACGAGATAAATGAAATGAGCATTCTTCTGCTTCTTCAATGAGCCAATTTGGTTAATGGCTATCATCTTTGGCAATTACAACAGTCGAAGTGCTTAAAGCACGTTTATCAGATGTTTTTGGTCTCGTTTTAAAGCAGATCTTAAAGTAGAAATTGCGTTCAATTTAGCTTCGTTCTCGGCTGCTTTCCCAGTCGTTATATTTACTTCAGCACTATAAGTTATGATCAAAATTAACTGATATACATTTGCCTAAATAGACTTTCTACCTCTTCTGTTCGCTTGCAGCTAAAATGATTTCACACCGTGCGACAACGCCGTTGGGGCCATGTTTCTTGGGACTGCTTTTGCTGCTGTGCAGTTGCCAATATACAGTCGGGGTTTTGGGTAAATCGCAGATGTGCGAAGTGGAAACGGGCCAAACGAACATAATTCTGGATATAGAAGAGAGTCGAGGGAACTGTAAGTATCGAAGATATATTATATTCTATTCATATGTTAGCTAATCGCAGCAGCAGTAAATGTGAACTTCCGACTCATTAAGCCCAATTAGAAATGATAATAATAATATTTGAATAATTAAAGAACTCAATTGTAGATCTGCCACAATGATCTAGGTATTTTCAGACAATAGCTTCTGCTATATATACATATATCTCGAGTCAGCTTTAATAGATACAAATATTACTTAAGTTGGCAAGCAGGAAAATGGAAATCCAAGTCCGTAATTTCCGTTGTTCTGTGTGTCTGCCATTGTAGACATTTTCCAATAATTACATCTGGCTTTCTAGATACTTGCATAGAAATGATTGTCTCAACTTCTTTCATATAACTAAATGGCCCAGTCACAAAGACAAAGAGAAAGGCTGATGTCGACGCGTTTCTTGTCTTCCGAGGCGCTTGTCTTTAATAGCTTGTCTACCTGGGCCGTAAAAAAAGAAACATTCTAGGCATTAAACTTGGCTTTAATAGCCTAATTATTCATTGTAATTATAACTTGTAACTTACACAGTCACTGGACAAACTACGACGCCGGCAGAGCTGCCCATTTTTGGCGATCCCCACACGGAAATCGCGCTCGATCTAGTCTTTCCCAAGGGACACCCGACATTCCTACTGGAGGGGAAGAGTCTCAAGCTGATTCAGCCACTTGACCGCGACGAGGAGAATCTCAGTCACATCGTGTTTCAGGTGAGTTTGTGCACAGCTAACGCATTATCTTTCATTTACTATGTCGAGCTCTAGCAACTATGCGTTCCTAGAATTTAATTTGTTAGTAGAAAAATCTTCTGAGTGTTTTTTGAATAAGTTTTGTGTAATTATATTATTTTTGAAAGTGAATTGTTTTTGTAAAGAATTAATTTTTTTTTATATTTGTTTTGCCTTGAGATTTCTCAAGCAATAACATTCGATTTAATGTATTGAATTTTATTTTAAATTTTTCAAGTAAATTCGAAGGAAGTTTCACACTTTTCTGATTTCTTGTTTTAGGTCTCATGCACCATTCGCGAGTCGAATAAAAAGCGCAACATTCCGCTCATTGTTAGGGTATCCGATGTCAACGACAATGCACCACATTTTATGAACACACCCTATGAGATCACAGTACCAGAGGTAAGCCGAAGCTTTTGAGTAATTCAAGTATATAATAGAAATATTATCCCATTATACGATTGATATTTAGCGAGTAAACTGATTGGGAGTAAGCATTAAGTGCAAAGACTTAATTCAGATTCAAATTAATATGGCCAGCCATAAACGATATACGACATACGATATACGATATTCATACGATAGTAACATTTTGTTGCTGCAGAAAGCTTTGTCGTAGCCTCGTTGCCCAATGCGATGGGTATGCAAGCTTGAAGCATTCCTTGATATGTTGCACCTTGCCAAAAATCGTATACTACAAGCAACCAAACAGCAACAGCGACATCAACAGCAAGAGCAACTGCAACTGCAACTACAAATGCTTTTGCCATTTAATATATATGTACTAGGCAGGTAGAGCAGCCAATTGAAAAGTTCAATCCGATGACTAAGTAACTTCTCGCCAGCAAACAGCAGCGAGCAGCGAGCAGCCAGCAGCCAGCAGCCAGCAGCAGCTGGGCAGCTGGGCTGCAGGTAAGCAGTAACCCTGAAGAGGTAAGAGGCACAGGGACCACTTGTATGCGGCGGCGCGGCTAACATACAGACTTACATTACAAGCCTACATAGTGATAGTTAAATGTAAAAGGCTGTTCGCCTCTTGCCCGTTATATAACTGCACTTTTGGTGCATCTCAATGTGGCTGGGCACGTTTTGTCACCCAGCTTGTTTTTTCGTTGGCTCTTGCCGCCAATACTGTCCGGCCCATCCGGGCAGTCTGAACAGTTTAACAATAGCAATGCAGTCGCTACCTAATTTTCATGAACATGCCATTTTTGGTTTCCGGCGCATCGCATTTAGCATATTTGCACGGCACAAAACGGTAACAATCATTATCGTAACTTTTATTGTTTCTTCATCTATAAGTCAAAAGTATCAACATTGTGCGGCCTGATCTAAGGTTTCTTCTCTCTTGGTTGCCTAGCCCATAGCAAAGCAGTTGCTAAAAGTTGAATAATTCTCATAAATAAATGATGTATCGTTCTTCCCATTAACTTCCTGCAGAGCACTCCCTTGGGCACGACTGTATATCGGAATATACAGGCCCTCGACAAGGATGCTGGCGTGAATGGTCTAGTCGAGTATTTCATAGTTAAGGGCGATACGAACACGACTGGGGATGACAAGTTAACCAGCGCCGATGGCTATGGAACCTTTGCCATATCATTTCCCCACCAAGGACAGGTGAGTTACAAGCTCTGATTGTGGAAAGAAATTGGCCTTGACACGCCCTTCCCTTCAGGTGACAGTAGCCAAGACGCTGGATTACGAAAAGATACAGCGCTACTATTTGACCATTGTCGCATCGGTAAGTTCAATTTAGTGGCCTCAAACTGGTTATTTCAGCTAATTCCAGTTTCTTTGTTTATGTCAAGACTCGTTTTTGATATATAAACATTTAAAGTGCTAAAACACAATCATCTGAGTCATGGGAAGTGAATTAAAATCTTTTAGTTATTAACAAACCAAAATATTGGCCTCGTTTTTTAAGATTAACCTATTCCAAATTACATAGCTCAACAGGATTTTGTACCTTACTTTTCTGAAGGGTAGCTCGAACTGATTAATTTGCATAAACTGAAATTACTAAAATGAATTAATTGCACTTTGAAACTAAATGAAAGTCAACAAAATTCAAATTTTACCAACAAAAACTATTTGCTCTGGAATAGCTACATAACTAAGCCATATCATTCTAATGTTTCTCTCTTCATTTGCATGATCTATGACTATTCTTAATAAGTTTCCCTCTCTGACTCTAGGATCGTGCGCGAAGTATTGCAGAGCGCCTGTCCTCGACCACCACGCTGACTGTTAACATCGCCGACTCTGATGACATGGATCCGTCCTTTATCTATCGTGGATGCGTGCTATTGGATGGTGCTTGCATCAATCCCGAGTATACGGCGTCAGTGCCCGCTGGCTCGGTGCAGGGCGTGCTGAATGTTCTACCCGAACGTATACAGGCCGTGGATCTGGACACGATTAGTTCGCGAATACGCTATAGCTTCGCCAGTGGCATTCCCGGCAACTACGCAGACTACTTTGAGATTGACGAGGAAACCGGAGTCTTGAAGCAGATCAAAGCTGTTGACACATCGACAGCTAAACGATACGACATAATAGTGCGAGCCGAGGAGATCTCGCCGGCTCCTCGCCGCTTCACCACGGCTAAGCTGACAATTGCCGTAAAGCCCGTAGACGCGAATCCACCAGTTATATCGTCCTCTGACATAGTAGGATATGTTGACGAGAACTCCCCAGTTGGCACAAAGGTCGTGGATGCGAAAGGAGTGCCAATATCGTTGAGGACAACTGACGACGACTTGGGCGAAGATGATCCGAAGCCCGACTACATATACGAATTGACGACGCCATCATTCAATGTGACAAGCACTGGAGTGCTGATTGTTAATGAAGAGGGCCTTGACCGTGATCCACCTGCACCGGGGCGCTACAAGTTCCAGGTGGTGGCACGAGAGCCCCGCACTAATGCGGCCAGTGCGCCACTGAGCCTAACCGTACATCTGCGCGACGTTAACGACAACGCCCCAAAGTTGGCCATGGTTGCCCCCATTTCCATATCGGCTGGTGATCAGCACGAGCAGCGACTGGTGGCACAAATGATGGCCACGGACATCGACGAGGGCCCCAACGCAGTAGTCACCTACTCCATATACCATGTCTCCAATAATGGTCTGCAAAAGTTCCACATCAACGAGCAAACCGGCGAGATTCATACTCAGGGACGGCTGCTCGCCGGCGAGCAGTACAGCATTACGGTGCAGGCAACAGACATCGGAGGTCTTTCCTCCCAAGCAATTGTCGAGGTCACCGTAACGCCAGGTCCGAATACGAAGCCGCCGCGTTTCACGAACGTCCTATACGAAGTGCAGGTCAGTGAGGGTGCCGAAATCAACTCCACGGTTACAGTGGTGCATGCCGATGACCCCGAAAACGATCCCGTTGTCTATTCGATCATGTCTGGCAATGATCTTCGACAGTTTTCTGTCGGCCAACAAAGCGGAGTTATTATGGTGATACGCAAGCTGGACCGGGAGAGCCTGACACGCTATCAGCTAATTGTGAAGGCGGAAGACGATGGCGGGCTGTCCAGTAGTGCCACAGTTAACATTAAAGTCACCGACATCAATGACAAAAATCCCGAGTTTGATGAACTTACGCAGCCCTATGTCTTCCACGTGGACGAGGGCTTGGATGATGCGTTCGTTGGTATTGTGCATGCCACAGATGCCGATGAGGGCATCAATGCAGAGATAACGTACTCAATACCCACAGATATACCATTTAGTATCAACAACAAGTCGGGCGAGATACGCACCTCCGAGAAGCTGGACTTCGAGCGACTGAACGAATACAAGTTTGTGGTCACAGCCAAGGATGGTGCACCCGATGCACGGCTTGGCACAGCTAGTGTCACAGTTGTTGTTCACGATCTGCCCGACGAGGTGCCAAAGTTTAACGATGCCAGCATAAATGTGCGCATTCCCGAGAACATGGAAAACTTTCCGGTGGCCACAGTACTAGCGCACGATCCAGACTCCAGTCCGGAAATCACTTACGTGCTGCGAAAGGGCGACGCCGAGTTGTTCAAAGTCTCCCCCAAGACAGGAGAAGTCAGGACAACGAAGGGCTTGGACTATGAGAAGCAACAACAGCATCAACTGGTTATTGGGACCATTGAAAATGACGGCGAGGCACTCGGCGATACGGTGCAGATTGTAGTAGAGGTCGAGGATCGCAACGATGTGAGTCCTGTGTTCATATCAGTGCCTGGTCCAGTGACTGTGAACGATGACCAACCCATTGGCTCGGTCATAGCAACCATGCCAGCCATTGATGGCGACGGCACTCCGCCAGGCAATGTCATTCGTTACGAGCTAGTGGGGCGTGGCAAGGCGTTAAAATACTTCCAAGTTGATCCAGATACGGGCGCGGTTCGCATTCGCGATGAGCTGCGGAAGGAGGAGGATACGGAATATCAAGTGGACATTCGCGCCTATGATATGGGCGATCCACAGCTCAGCTCGGTGGCCATGCTGCCGGTGTATGTTCGCCATCTGCTAGTTGACTCCAACGAGGAGAACTTTATGGAAGCCAAGATGGACACTGACAAAGGCCTAGTCACAAGCTCGGAGACAGTTGGTCTGGCCTTTGGCGACGACAGCTACGTTATTAGTGTGCCCGAGTCGACATCCGTAAACAGCACGCTAAAGCTTGTCCAAATTGTTAACTCGAAGAAACCTTCCAAGGGTGCACCAAACTTTAAGTGCGAAATTGTGCGAGGAAATGAGCTGGGCATCTTTGAGCTGGGCGTCGAAGACTATGGCTGCCTGATAGTGCTTGCCAAGCCATTGGACTTCGAAACGAAAACATCTTACACACTCGAGCTGCAACTGACCTCCCAGAGGTATTTTGTCAGCCCACGGAAGGATCGCACGACTGTCAACATCATGGTCCAGGATGAAAACGACAATCCACCGGAGTTTATTTTCAACCGACTTCATGGCCAGAATGAAACATATTACGCTGTTGTCACAGCTGAAATGGACATTGACACAACCATATTGCAAGTCCGCGCCATCGACCGGGACTCGGGCAAATTTGGATTGTTGAGATACAAGCTTTATGATGAAGACGACTTTAGCATCGAGAATGATCAGTTGGTAAGTTGGCTACTATTTCCTTCAATGTGAAGATCTCAACTCTAGTACTATTGCAGCCATCTACGTACTTTAGACTGACTGAGGATACGGGCATTTTGCGTACAGCGAAGCCTTTCAGTGATGCCAAGTTCCCCATGATATTCTACGTGGAGGCCAGTGATAATGATGCCCAAGAGCAGGGATCGCATCACACCAGAGCTCGCATCGTCATTAATCAGTTAACAGATGCAAGCCGCTTGGCCTTGGCCTTCTCTGATGCGGCTCCCAATAAGATTCGCAATCATTATACAGAATTAGAGGAGCTGTTCGAGGAGCAAACGAAGGGATTAGTCAGTGGCATTGAACGAATCAGCAATCGCAAGTATACGACGACCAACGGCACGGTAATGGAGAATCCAGAGGCCACCGATGTTTGGTTTTACCTTATCGATCCCAAGTCGGAGAAGTTGCTTAGCCGTAACGATAGCATTATCCAAGAAACGCTGCTGGACTCAGCTGCGGCCACAGAACTTAACTTGGCTGCTTCGAGCTTGGCGCACGCCAACGCCGATGGCATTCACGCTCCGATTCAGATCAGAGAGCAAGTACACAAGGTAAGAGAACGATGTGGGAACTCAAGAAGCCATACTTAAACGTTGTTTATTACAGATCAAAGCGGCAATTGCCATCGATGATGAAGTCTTCTCATTCACACTGATAGCCATATCCATTATCATACTGATTCTGGGCACCATTGGCATAATATACATATGCATATCGTGGTCCAAGTAAGTACTTTTGAAATAACGTGGTATAAGCTGTAAGTTCTTCACTCAATGCCTGAAATCCTTTGCCAGATATAAGAACTTCAAGCAGCGCATTCGCCATTACTCGGCGCCCAGTCCAACGCGGTACGATCCGGTGATCGTCAACTCGCAGGCGACGAATTCGAGCGATGCAGTGGCCAACCTGAAGGAGTACGAGACCCAAATGCTGGCCATGGCTGTGCCACCGGATGGTGATGAGGACTTGCAACTAGACTTCAGTGCGAAGAACCATGCCTTCTCCCTGGATAATGTCAGCTACATAACGCACAAGCCGAACAGCGCCGGGGACATGCAGTCGAGCAACACGCACTTGGACTCGACCACGGGCACTATTTCAACAATCCGTCACAACAATCTCAATAACATGAACAACAACAACAATAATAATTTAACATTAAACAATCGACAGAATACATTTAATCGCACTCTAGAAATGAACTCCCGCAACAATGCGAATCCCCTGGCTCTTGCCGGGAATAGCAACCCAGCCACCCTGACATTGGGTCGAATTAAGCATCATAATAGCAATCAATACCAGAATGATGGCTATAAGTTCGACTCCTCGAGCAGGAATAATTTGGCCAATGCCAATGCCAATGCCCAAAATAATGGCTTCAGTACGATGGGTAGACGAGGCAACACCTTTGGCGGCATGGCCTCTTTGAATGGCGGCGAGTTCATGACCAACACGCTGGGCCGGAATAACCAGCAAAATAATCGCATTTATGCTGGCGAATTGCCCATTGCCAATCCGTTATTTCAAAGGTAGATTTATCCATACCTCAACTTATTGTAAGTTCACTTATGATTTCATTACTTTCAGATCTAACGGAGACGTCAGTCAAAATCATTTGAGCTTTACCAACGAGAATGTTAGTTTTGGTAAGCGGGACTACGGCCAAATGAGCTTCTCATACTTGAACGACCTGGATCGGTCCGAGGTGGAGACAACAACGGAGCTATGAGTAGTTAACTGACTGCAACTTAGTTTGAAATTGGGTGTATTTATTAATGTATATAAGTATGAACAAGTATGTCATTGACGTCGATGATAATTAGGTAGTTGTAAATTCAAAAATGTTTTAGACAATTTAACTGAATGAGCTGTTGCCATTATATTGAAAATGTTAGCCCAACAAAATGTAAATATAATTTAAATATTCAACATGAAACTGATAAAATTTAACTATTTTTGTACATAAGCAGTCAGCAACTGCAGTCATTAGTTTTTTTCATATAAATAATTCTAAGAAAGGGTCTATAAACATTTTAGATACAAAAATATATGTTAGCTAATATGAAAAGCATAAATAAATAAAAAAGAATAAAAATACATTTGTATTTATGCATTTAGAGAAAGCGAATAATTTTGTAATAAAACTATTTTATTTTTGTAACTTTAAAAAATTGTTATTCACCTTGACTAAAGGTTGTAAGCCTCTTTTTTTACCCGAAATTAAACCTATAATTATACTCAAGAAATCTGGAAATCTGGGTTGGCTAGGAATATGCGTTGAAGGTTTTAGCTCATAAAGAATCAATTGATTTTGATTTCTGATATACAGTTATAATTGGCACCCACCTAGAATGATTTTAATTCGGGGTTTAATCGCCGTATTCTCGACTGATTTATAATTTATATGCCTTTAAATTGATAAAAGAATTAATCTATGTAGGGACTTGAACATTCATTTGGTTGGAATTCTTATCTACAGATTTATGATATTTTATTAGTGTTTGAATAAACTAGTATTTTATGTAGTCTTTTCAATAAATATGGTCATGTGTGTTCTTATTCTGAATAATCTAATTATCACCTCCTAGTACAGCATCTAAAAACTCGTTATTTTCGGAAGGTAACATACACATTTACATAATTTGGGATTTAGTATAGGCATATGTATTGAAATTATGTATTTTTTCTTTGCGCTGCTTGGTCACACAATTATTCTGTTTTCGCAATCGATAAGCCAACTATTTTTGCTATTGTTAACCGGCGATATGGCGAAGTTGGATGAACGTATTGGATTTATTGGAGGCGGAAATATGGCCTTTGCAATTGGTTCGGGCCTAATTAGTGGTGGAATTGTTAAGGCCAGCCAAGTTATGGTTTCGGGACCTCATCTTGAAAATCTGTCCCGGTGGCGTGAACTGGGCGCAGTTACAACTGATGAAAACTACGATGTCGTTGAGCACACTGATATTATTTTTATCTGTGTTAAGCCTCATATGCTCGCTCCCTGTGCAGCGCAGCTCAAGTTCAAATACGTTCCATCGGCAAAGAACGCTAGCAAATTATTGGTCTCGGTTCTAGCGGGCACAACCTTAAACACTCTAGAAGAGAAATTCGCATTCATAGAAAGTTCGGGACTGAAGATTATACGCACAATGCCCAATACATCGATGCAAGTAGGAGAGGGCTGTACTGTGTACGCCGGCAACTCACATGTCATGCATCAAGATCTTGAAAAAGTCCACTTGATGCTTAATTCTTTGGGTCTCGCACAGCAAGTACCAGAGCCAATGATCGATGCCGTCACAGGTGTCACAGGCTGCGGACCAGCATTTGTTTATACCATTATAGAGGCTCTTGCCGATGGTGCAGTAAAACAAGGAGTACCGCGTCAAATGGCATTGCAATTTGCCGCCCAGACATTGCTGGGCGCCGCCAAGACGGTGCTGCTAACAGGAAAGCATCCAGCTGTTCTGCGCGATGAGGTCTGCTCGCCTGGCGGTTCTACTATTGTTGGCGTCCACGAACTCGAAAAGGGTAATCTGAGGTAGGGAAGTCGAAAGCATAATCTTGGGAAAGACAATATAGCATGTTTTCCTTTTCAGAGCCACAATTATTAACGCTGTAGAAAAGTCATCATTGCGCTCAGCAGAACTGGGAAAAAAGTAAACTGACCCCTCCGTTAAGCATGGTCCTCCCCCTTTAAGCCCTCTAGGCATGTATAAGGCAAACAGTTCCATTTAAATATACTAAAGTCGGTGATATAATCAACATATACATATATTTATTCACGATCCTTTTTGCTTACATACTCAACACATTTTGATGGATCGGTTGGGAAGTATTCCTGACATTTCGTCATCAGGCGCTTTAGACCTTGAATATATTTGCGTTGAGTTTCGTCGTTCATAACATGAGCGACGTTCTTTGAAAAAATCTTTTCACGACCAGTTCGGGCGTGTATGCCCACCATGGTGACTCCAATGGGCCATGGAGCGTTGCCAATTGCCATTTCCAAATATGCGTCGCTCGCTGATATGTAATTGCGGTTCAACAAATGCTTACAAATGTCACGCAAACTGTCGAGAATGTCCTCAGGCAAGGTGTGATGCTTCAGCTTGCGAAACAACGGCTTTACATACTCTTTGGTCTGCGTGTAAATGACGCGGGTCATTTTTACCTTTGTCGACATTTTTTCGTGCTTTGTGTAGTTTGCGATCTGTGCATTCCACAGTTTTAGAAGAAATGTTAAGAGTGTTATGATGACATCCATGTCATAGTCTTTGTTTTTCCCCATTTTTTGCGACATCGTCTGTATGGTTTCCCAGGATATGGATTCGTCCAACTCAGCGAAGTCGGACTTCTTATCCTCTTTGGTTGTGGGCGTGTTGGCAAACATTTCCTGTAAATAAGCTGCATCCACCTGTTCCATAGCTTCTTGAAAATCGTTGCGGAAACCACGGTTGGCTTCAGGTTGCGAAATCTCACAAGTCCGCAACCTATCGAATGCCTCCGGCTCTGTTTCGCCGAACAATAATACAGGCTCTCCGCGTTCGCGTAGCCTGCGAATAACTTCAAGGCGAGGTAATATATTTTGACCATCAGCTATAAAACTGTATGCGCCCTCGGTCCTGGGCGCTACAATTTGTTCCTGTTTCTTGTATCCCACTTTTTGTAGTACTTCCTCTGTGTCTTTAGCACTGAGGTCGCCACGGCGAAAGAACTTCTTTTTGTCGTCCACTAACTGCTTTTCCTCTAACAACTTGCGTTTTCGTGCTATTTCTGCTTTTAATATGTCCATTTTTGTTTTTATTTACATCAAACAATTCCTGTAAATAGTACTCAATAAAAATGGAAAGCACAGTGTGACCGCCATGTATAATAGATTGGCTATGCAAATATTGGGGTGACCAGAGTTTCAAAGATAGTATTTAAAAATACTAAAATATAATGCATCCCTGGATATCATATGTTATCAAAATTTGGACAAGGTAGAAGGAAGACATTTGATTCGAGAGTTGGGAGCTTTCCTCAATAATACTGCTATTTTGCATAAACAAACTATATACAAAATGCCTAAGAAAATGGGAATGAATTCAAAAGCAGTAGAGGCGCGTGAACGTAAAGATGCCACTAAGAAGGCCGTCAACGAGCGTAAGGCAAAAGAAGCAGAAGACCGTCTGTGGCAAGACGATGACAAAAATCTGGCCAAAAAGCAACAGCGCCGCGAAGAAGAAGAGAGAAAACGGGCTGAAGCTGTCCGTCGTAAAGCTGAATCAAAAGCCCTGTTGGATCAGGAAGTTAACTCAATAAACACCCAGCGTAAACAACCATTGGCGAAAATTAATCGCCAACAAATTCTTAGCGAGATGGAAAAAAAACAACGCGTAATGGATGCAATCAACGAAGCTAACAAACCTGCAGCCACTCGTGTGGTAATACAACACAACACCATTGAGGAGAATCTGAACAGGGCTCTAGCTGATACCGACGTAGCCACAAATGTTGACGAGGCACTAGCAGTGCTAAGGTAAGTTGAAATAGTAAATTATCTTTTAGTTTTCGTTCAAATATTATTGGCAATAATCTTTTATTTTAGTGTCAAGGACGATGAAGACAAGCATCCAGAAAAGCGAATGCGAGCAGCTTATAAGACATTCGAAGCCAATAATATGCCTCGCATCAAGGCTGAAAATCCTTCATTGCGTATGTCTCAATGGAAGCAACTTTTGATGAAGGAGTGGAACAAGTCGCCAGACAATCCATTCAATCAAGCCTCTTAGAAGCTCGCGGTCTGTTTAAATTGTGAATTTAATATAGTACTTTGTTCGATTGTCGAATTGCAAAGCAGAAAGATCGTAGCAATTGAAGTAATCAAATGAAAATTATAAAATTATTATTTAGTTTGTGATTATAATTTTAGAATTTTAAATTATAAATTATATTAGAATGGAAAATAAATTGCCGAGATTTATTTATTATTTAGACACTTCTTGTTAATATTGTTCATATATAACATGTAAGCAACTTTTCTTTTGTAGAAATCATAATTATAAAGGCTTTTATTGCCGTATCACCTACAGGTCTGTTGTGCAACAAAACGACCAACGTTAAAAAAGTATTTGATGATACCTATGTGTGCATTACCTTCATTTAGGTGTAGACATAATTGACGATTGCTTTTCTTTCCCCCATTAAATTGTTAATGTTTTGTTACCACTTTTTTACTCTGATCTAGTTCCGGTTATGTTACTTTGAGTGGGTATGAATACGATATAATTGTATTTATATAAAAAACTATTAAATTTCCGCTTTCACCTAAAACCAAACACACAATATTTACATAATTAAAGGATATAAATGTTTTGTATAGTGCACATAAGCTTTCTTATCATCACTTATATTAGTTTTTAGCTTTATGCTATAAGTTATTTCATTTAGATTTTGATTATTTCTGATCTTATATCTTACAAATTGCAATATATCCATAATATCCAAGGTGAGACTTCACTGTGGACTGCTGCCGTCCACATCTTAAGTCCATCTGTTAAGTTAACAGTAACAGTGACAGTCTTAACAGCTTTCTGTAAGCTGGGTTGCTGGCGCACAACACATTGAGCCATTCATTTGGCTGTTTGGTTGTCTGGCTGTGCTTTCTTTTTTAATAAAATTTCTTTAGACGCATCGGTGCTTCATTCTTCATTCAGTGCGAGACCGTTAACAGTAACAGACGCGTTGTTCAAGCATAGAGGCATTATATATGTACGTGTACGAGAAATGAAAACTTGAAACCAACACGATATTGAAATTTGTTCGGCGTACGATTGTGTCGGGTTCAACTAAAAAAATAAATAAACAATTTGTCAGGCGGTCGAGACGAGAGAAAAAAGACGTGGTAGGAAAAATAAATTGAATTTTGTATGCCATCGCCATCGCCATCGGAAATCGCAAACGGTAATTGTGCCCTCTCGCTCTGCAGTGATTTTAAGCGTTCGATCAGCAAAGACGCACCGCGAGAGGATTTAATTCGAATTATGAAAGCTCAAGCTAAAGGATTGCCAGCGATTTATGAAATCTGAAAACGAAACTAAAAGCGTCGAGTGAAACTCCCCATTTCCAATATTATTGGTCACGTATGAAAAATAGTTTTTACAGTTTTATCTAATTAGTATTCCGTATGAGAAGTCCAAAACGCATTTTCTGAAAGAATGCCAAAATTAAACGCAAATTACTCAAGTCTCACTTCAAGTTTACTGTGCTGCCCATTCTGAAAGCTTCTGTCATTAGTTTTTCGTTACATTCTGTGCCCATTTAATTGTCTTTTCTTTTTGTTGCTCATAGTTAAAGTGGAACTCTTTAATCTAGAACTCTTATATCTTCATATACTTCTTTTTCCTGCAATCTACGCCTGACCCTAAATGCTGCTTCATTTACTTTTTTTGCTCAACTGACTTTATGGATATATAAATACTATATAGGTGTGTGTCTAATACGAATGCAGCTTATACATATATGAGTATGTATTTGTATTCGATTAAGCGTTTCCTTAAATCATGTGAGCAAAATCACTAATCATTGCGTGATTTGTTTTTGCTCGGTTATACAACACACAGTGATGGCTATGCATAATTTTGCACGCAAAAGATGTTGCAGACTGTGCAGACAGCATGCAGTGCATGGTATTCTAAAAGTAAACAAACAAAGTAATTCGGTCTTCAAACTGGGTTATTAGCTCACAGGGTGGCCAACCGAACTGCAATTGAAGCACGACATAACTTAACAGAGGCCAGCGCTTCGATGCATTTATTTCAATTCCGTTGCTCTTTACGGTTTTTCACTTTTGTGCCATAAAGTTAAAAGACCATAAACAAGATACGTAAGTATTTTGCAATCTTTCTTATTTCTGGGTAAATAGGCGAGGAGGAGTATGAGATAGGCCTTAAGAATGGCCTCCATTAAGTTCATATTTATTTATAGTAGTGATAGAGAGAGAGAGAGAGTCCACTTAGGCATGCATATTTTGTTATTCATACATTTAGCATTAGTCCACTGTCTTAGAAATTAGACTCTTTCCCTCTTTCCTCGATATCGCAGTGTTTAATGTGACAGCTTTGATTGACCACTTACTTACTCGCAGTGCATAATTTCTTTGTGCCTGAGCACCAACACGAACTTCAATGCTTTTACGCAAGCTAACGACAATTTCACCATTTCTTTTGAGTCGTTTCTTTTTATGAATAAAAACTTAACTTTATGTCTGCTTCGCGAAGAACTGTGAATACTTTTAGTCTGTCTCTTGCACCATTCGATTTTTAGCTCAATGCATTTCCGTACGCAATTCAAGGTTCTTAAATTGCTAAGATTTGTGGATGCTGTTGCTGCTTATGGATAATATGATTTGAAGCTCTTACTCTTTGCAATTGTTAAACCAACGAACTGAAACCTGCTACCACAAAGGCAAACCATAAAAGCCATATATACATACGTATGTATATATTTGTAAGAGCAATATATAAGTATGTTTCGGCGTGTGTATATCTTTATGTAAATTTGAGTGACCAAAGCCGATTACGCACCTTAAAAAGTGAAAATTTTGGCATTGTATTATTTTGCTTTCTGTTTTATGCGACTTGATAATTTTGCTAAGAAAATGATGAATGCTTTACAAACGATGCGGACTTTGGTTCGTTTAATGAGTTGAGTCATCATCGAAAACTCTTTGAGATACAAGCCAAACAGTTAATCAAATGAGAAATATAATAATTATATGTATATATATATATGAAACAGTCCTGAAACTGTATTGCCAATAGCCGGTTTGCCATCCGACTGGAATTCAAATGTTTACCAAGCAAACAATATACAAATATTGAGCGACTCGGCCAGGCCCAGCTGACTGTCCACATTCCATTCTCAAATGCGAAGAAGAAGTCACCGCGGAGGCAGGCCGCCCGTACTTGCTCTTTAACGAGGTCAACGTTTTAATGGTTAGACGTCGGATACACGAGGTTTGTTTTGGTTGGCATTTGGCCAGGTAGCGTAGATTAATATAAGAAAAAATGAATGTGCTGCCGATAAGAGACCGTTGTACAGAAGAACAAAATAAGTTTCACTGATTTTCATTACATTTTTACGGGTCTTTCCGCTCTGACTTATGGCTCTTGCCACTTAGTTTTGGCTTCTCTATATAAAAATTTGTTGCCTTTTTTACTTTTTTTTTGTTAAATTTGTGGTTAAAGTTGAGCATAAAGCCGTCTGCGCGTGTGCGCCGCGTCAGAAGTTGAGCGAGAAATTTTTGACTGTCAAAAGTGAAAGTTGCAGCTGCAGCCAATGCCGTTCGTTGAAAGAAATGTAGAAAAGCGGTAGCTGTGGCCCCGCCTGATGAATCAACTTGCCAGCGCCAGTTTAAAGTTGAGACTCGCGAAGCGCCTTCATTTGCTTGTAAGCTGTGTTTTCTTTGTTGCTTAACAATCATTTAAGACTCAGCATTTTCGTTATTATGTTTTGTGTTTCGTCTTTGGAAGCGACCATATTATATGCGAGCACATATTATCCTCATTACGCGATGTACCTTATATTAAATTGGGTTTCGCTGTCTTTCACGTTCGTCTGAGTGCGTGGGAAACCCACAAAGCATGCTGCTCTAGCAACTCTAAATGCATTTCAGCTGCATCGGCACATAATATTAGAAATTAACATATTTTCGGCAATAAATGACAAAAAGTGGGTCAATTATTCGGAGAGTTCAGCGAACTGTTGGCCATATGCCTCCATGAACAGCCGTGGAGAGCGAGCAATGCCAAGGCAAGCCATAATTCATTTCAATATTTAAATTTAATTAAATTAGCACTTTCTACACGTTTTCCCCTGCATCGACTATGGCTATGGCTATGGCTATGGTTGGCTAGCCGTATAATTTGGTCGCTGGTTCATATTGAATAATAATTTTAAACAATTAGCACAGTGACCCAAATGCATATTTTATTATAAAAAAATATAAGAAAATGGACTGTCTAAAGTAGCGACAGCTGAAGCCAAATCGGAAGGAATGCACATTTCATTTGACAGTGACAATAGCATAATCCAACACATTTAATTACTTCAATATATCAAAGAGTTAAACACGAGTTCGTGTCTTAAGTCTTTCGTTTGGTACCCTATAGCTGGTGGCTGCTGGCTGCTGGCCGGTGAGCGAGGAACATTTTATTGGCAGGTTTTTCGTGTTTTATAACAAAATGAACTGAATGCATTGGCTTCAATTCGTGCTCCATTGAAATCTATATATCCTGTAGCTGCCAAAATGGCAAAGGGGTATCTCCTTCTGCAGTAAATATACAATGATACAACTCTAATTAGTTTTAAGGGCACATTCTCTATGTAAATATAGTCAGATTATTGTATGTTAAAATGAGTGTAGTATTAGTCTGTGTATAGGGTATTCTCCAGCCGACCATTGCCCATTGTATCCAAATTTCCTGTTATTACTTAGCATGCTGATAGAATCAACTGTCGTCGATGTAGTTATCGATGGTGCGTAAACAAGTTTCCTAAAATATGACCCATTTACCCAGTTAACAACGTTCTGATCAGCGATATTGAGCAATTCGCTTGGCACCGCATCACTGCTTAGGCATCTCAGTTTTGATTGTAAAACGAGCTGCATTAAACGCAATTACTCGAAGACATGCTCTTTGAGAATAATTGACTATTCGTTTGACAATTCAAATGAAAGTTGATTGGTATCTCCACGCACCACTTGCACTCGCTGAAAGCAGCAATAAAACTTGTCGCTGCTTAATGGATATGCAGAGCCGTTGTGGTAATGCGTCGGCATTGCCAATTGTCTTGCCACAATTGTTTTCAGAGCACATCTCGAGTAATTGCCACTACAGCTGAAGACTGAGAAATTGAACTTTTGTAAATTTGTCAACCAATAACAGAAAAAGAGTTTCAGCTGGAGCGAAAACTCATAAAATATGTCTATCCTAGGACAACCTTTTTTATATAATCAGCAGGCTAAAGCAAGGACAACACTTAGTTCACCTGATTATTATCTTAACTCAAAAAATTAGTGAAATATTTTATAACCTGGGATTATGAAAGCCAACTCAATTCAGAAGCCGAATCTTATGTAAAGCGCCAGCCCCACTATAGATGTTTAGAATAGAAGCCTATAATTTTATTATTATTATAATAAAACAAATAAGATTTGAATATAATGATATATATGAACATTATTTAATTTATTCATTAAAATTTTTATCTACTACTCAATAGTTTAGTTAAGTCTGCAAAAAATCAATTTATTAAATTGATTAAAATTGGATGTAGAGAGCTTCTGGCTATCATATACGAAACACTTATGCAAAATATGAATGTTTCTATGGTAGCGTGCCATTTAGTCAAAGCAAAGAGACACACATTCACCTAGAGACATAATTTAAATAATAATATGAGAAGAAAGCGGACTTAGAGTAGAAAGAAAATGAAAATCAGAATATGATTTAAGTTGATTAACTTGCTAATCAAAGACTGTTGGCCTTTAACTTTTACTAAAATTCATGAGAATCATATGGAGTAAGTTGCGAAGCAGAGAAAACCTTTGTTTACAAAACAGACTGATACACACTTGACATTGGTATAACATGCGAACAACTTGGGTATACCCTTAGCTGGCGTTTAGATGGGTGCAGAGTATAATAACGTGTATAAACTAGCCAAACAGCGTCTGTTTGAAAATTTTCACTTTTTCTTTTATTTGCTGATTGTTTTTGTTTCCATGAAAAGCAAGCTGCACAGTCGCTCCGCAAGATTGGAAGTGCCATTACCAAATTTGGTCAGCTCCAGTTGAATGGAAGTGTGTAACATAAGGGGTGGCATCATCACCAACTGTTTAGTCAAGCGAGAGTTTTGCTTATTCTATTTTTAAACAGAGCAACAAGTATACGCACGAGTTATTTAACGAGTTATTATTGAATTCCATTGTCATTATTATTATTCATTGCAGTTACCACAAGCATCCTCAATATGAGAGCCAGCTGTTTCATCGCAGGGCTGCTCATGCTGTTGTGCAACATAAGTGTTGGCACGGCTAATGGATCTGAACAGGTATCTTCCGCCCTGCTGCCAGTGGAGGCACGCAATGCCGATGCTTCTGGCGAGGAAGATGTAATCTCAACCAGCTATGTTCTACCGAATCAGATCTTTAACGATGGCAAGCCGTATTACGCACGCCAAGATCCGATTTCGGGTCAATTGGATTTCTCTGCGAAGAAACCAGCTGGTATTGAGCCGGAGGTAAACGAAGTGCTCAACTCCAAAGAGAAAATTGTACTTAACGGCATCTCAACTCCGAACATTCACGACTTCCTCAATCTGCCCGTTAAGTACTCGTCATCAAAGTTTGTATACCCTCTAGTCTCCAGTTCGTATGCCAACTTAAAGTACCAAGGCAGCAATAAGAACTACATTACGAACAAGAAGCCGACCATGGTGGCGGCGCCAGTCACACCTGTGCCACCCAGGTACCACAGTGACAACTATTATCCTGTATCGACAACAAAGCTGACGGCCGTCACACCTACGGGGACTGCCCCAACAGTAGCAACCTCGTCGAATCGTCCGACAAAGGTCAGCGTATCATCCACTCTAGCTACGACTAGCCATCCTCCCACAACAACCACGACAACAACCACCACGACAACGACCACAAAGCGACCGACCACAACTCGTCGTCCCATTCCAGTATCCGTACCGACGACGGGTCAACCTATACGCTTCAGTACCACCCGGAAAAAGTTTGTGCCGGCTAAGAAGCAGAATTTGTACAGTACAACGAGCAGTATTCCAAGCACCACAGCCAAGATAACAGAACAGCAACTTCCGAAGCAGCAAGCCAAGCCCACAAAGAGTAGCAGCGAAGTAACCTTTACTACTCATCATCCCACTCCGCCCGCAGACATCTTTCCCACAGAGCCGTCGACTGTCACCAAAATGTACTCAACCCCAAGCATGAGACCCCTTCTGCTTGATAGTGAGCATAGTGGTGCAGGCTCCAGCACGCCTCGCACTCTGACTCAGAGTGTCGACAGCACCAAGATCCCCAATCTGGACCCTGCGGACGTCTACCATACTCTGGACCAGAAAAACACGAAGCTCGAACAGGAGCAATCAGCCCAGCAATCGCCCAAGCCACCAATGACTCTAAGCGAAATCTTCAACAATCTGGCTGAGGAGGAGATAGCAGTGGCAAACAATTACCAGCAGAATCAGGGCTTTGACGCCCAGGGCAATCTGATTGAACCAATTGCACCTTCTCAGCCCTCGCCATTTGCTATGCACTCCCAGCAGCAGCCACGTCCAACAACGCTGCAAAACAAGAATGTCCAGCATGAGGAGCAGAAGGTGATAGCAGCTAATCCGGATAACTATGCCAATCAGTATGTTTCGTACCAGGTACAGCAGCCAAATGTTATGCAGTACCGGCCAATGCCGGGCCAGATCAACAATGTGGTCATCTCACCTGGGCAGCAATCGGCGTCCTTTGTGCTCGGCAGTCAGCAGCAAGTGAGTCATCCCAGTAACTTTGGCAATGTGCCAAATGAGGGACTCTACTCGAAAGAAACAGGTGGTGTGCAATATGGCCAGGTCATCAACGAGGACATATCCAATGTTAACCGAGCTCAGCCTCCGCATCAACAACACCAATTCCCATCGCCACAGCAACCAGCTGCACCGAGTATCTATCAACAAAGACCAAACTATCATCCAAACACGCAATATCCATCGAATGCTAACGCTGCGCCAGCTGCTCCTGAGACTCCTCTAGCCGGAAGCGGGGCTGCACCGGGAAGTTATCAAGAGTCGCCGCCAGAGGCACCCACTCCATATCAGCAGCTGCCACTGATCGGCTCAAACTTAACACCAGCGAAGAAACAAGCACCTAAAGTACCTGAAGCTACTCTGTCTACGGTTTTGGCCAACTCGAATAATCAGCAGCAGCAACAGCAGCAGCAGCAGCAACAGCAACAGCAGCAACAGCAGCAGCAGCAACAGCAGCAGCAGCCAATAATACCCAATAGCCAAGACACTAAGGACCTTTTGGTCTCCACCAATATTCGATTCCCATCGAATCGCGATGAGTCGCTTGAGATGCCCTCTTCTGTCGTAGCTCCCGGCCTACCGAATTCCCCACATATTAATGGCCATGCACAACCAGTCAGCCTTCAGCAGCTGCAGCATGCCAATCCAGTGGTGTTTCCAAAGATCAGCGACGAGAAAGCTGCTGACGCGAATGTTCAAATTCAACAGCACGAAGTGGTCAACCTCAAGCAGCACGAACAGCAATTGGTAAATAAAACTTAATTAAAATTATAATTGCAAGACTCATACTTGATATTTGTTGTAGAAATTCCCAACACAACAGCCGAGCAAGACTGAACAGCCATCACAAGATATGGTACCGCCACCTCGCTACGATGCGCTGCACAATTCCCAGCTCCATTTGAATGCAGGAAAACGTCCAAGCGAGCCATCTTCGTCGCCCTTCTACAAAGAGTTTGACCGCAAAGCTCAGCATCCGGCGGGTCCACATACCAATGGAAACCTGCCGAACATACTGCCACAGTTCCGACCCAATGCGAAGATCTCCGTCGGGCATCCTCCTAGCTTGAAACATGAGCCCGGCAATTTTCGACTGCCCACGCAAGGAATGAAGATGCCCTACCATCCATCGACTCCGCCACAGTTTTCTAATAGACGTCAGCCGCTGCAGCAACAGCAACAGCAACAAATGCCAAGTCGTTATCCCATGAGCCGCATTGCTGAATATGACCAGTTGGGTCATGCACATGCTGCAGGGGCCGTTAACAGGCGAGTCTATCGACTACCACCCAATGGCGGGCAAAGAGTGCCTCAGCTGCGGGATCGAATGTTTTCTCGCCGACCCAGCGGTCCCTTGCGTACGATCGATAATTATTACCCTGTTGAACGGCACGCCCCAATTACGCCGCAGCCTCTGAAGATGAATCCTGGTGACCTAGAAGATTACGAGGAGGAAGATTTGGTTATTAATGATCCACCACAGGCACCCAACAAGGATATCCCGAACCCGAACGAATCCAAATTAGAGGCGGTTGTCACGTTGCAAATGCTACAGTCCCAAAAGAAACCCTTGAATGGAGACGATACTGGGGCCGGCGAAATTCAAGTGACAGCTGAGAACAATCCCCAAGAAACGCTAGCAAATTCAGCAATCGAGCAAAAGTCGAAATTCGAAACTGAGGCAAGTGGAAGTGAAAAAAGAGACACAATGTTGCATCAAGAATCGGCTGCAGCTGCCGCCGTGGAATATCAGAATACACCTTTCTCGGTAGTGCGTGAGCAGCCGCAGGAGCCCATTTTGAAGAACAAGAAGCCTCAGTCCCTTCAGCAGCAGGCAAAGCTGCAGCCACTGCACAAACAGAAGTTTCCATATCCGATAGAAAAGCCGGATGCCTCATACACAGAGCTGCAGCCACTGCGGCAGGGCGTCCCCGGTGTCTTAGTTGCACCACGTATCATCACAAGCGCCTTCAATACCGGCACAGAGGCTCCCATTGCGATTGCATACACACCGACAGAGCCTAACACTTTCATACGCAATGGACCAATGAAACTGGATCAGAAACTTCTCAACGCAAAGTACGCGGCTTCGCCACTGAGCGAAGCGAGACCCGAAACGCAAACTGAGGAATTTTTAGGAAACGACTTTGATTTACGAGGTCACAACTTCGAGAAAAACTTTATGGCGCCCTTTTACCCAAGCGTTAGTTTGGGTGGCGCCAGCAGCGGAGTGAGTGAAGTGGCTAATCCTGCACACAGCAACTGGAAGATTGTGCAATCGGCCTCAAACGAAAAGATATACGAAAAAAATAATATCAATCGCGCCGATGTGGAGTCCACAGTAGACAACAAGGAGATACAAACCGGAAATTCCACTGATGTTGCTACTGAAAAGTATTCAGAGTTGGACAATTTCCAGCCCCAATTGCAAGGTGGCTTCAAACCCATTTTCCCTGTAGACTACATGAAAGCCGAAGCGGAAACCAAGGACAAAAATACCGAACTAAGCGAAAGCAATAATAACAATCCTATGGCATTGGCACTGATCAGATCGCAGACTACGCCGCCACAGATTGTAAATACAGTGACATCCATCTCGTCTGTGTCTTCTGGTAGTAGCACATCCCCTGCAACATCATCAACAACGACAACTACGAAAATGCCTACATCCAAAAATGACGGCGAGGCCGCGCTATCAGAGACTTCAACAAAGGCATCCGTGATCAAGAGTGAGCCAACGAAGCATACGAAGTCAACCTTTGAAACGAGTCTTGCTGCCCTGCTCTTCGGTGATGATGAAGAGCTAGAGGATGGAGCCCGCAAATCTGTCAATAACGAAAACACACCAGCTAGACCTATAAACGTAGCCCGCATGGGTCCGCGGAGCCTAGTGTTTAGTTAAGTGTTGTGAGGGATAATTAATTTTGCTTAGACAAATTATAGTTTGTATTATTTATTAAAAATGTATAAAGCTTGTGAGCGAATCTTGTAAAATTGCGTAATTACAGCTGATTATTAGTCGTAAGCTCACACCATGCTAGACGCTAGCCACCAATGAAGTAACACTTAAGACTTTTGTGAGTCTGATTTGAAATCTGTTCGATTTCTTATTGGACTCCCGAATCGTCGCTACCGAATTACAAGCATGTATTCCAATCTACGTACAAACCTCTTTAATACTTACATAAACCGATTCGCGTAAATATTTATTATATTTATATTTATTCGTAATAATAAAAATATGCATAAACATCAATAAATCAATCAAAATTTGAAAATTATCGTAATTATGGTCGTAATTATGATCGTAATTATAAAATGAAAATCTGCAAGAATCATTTGTATTCTTGCAGATTGTCATTTCACTTTTAATTTGAATAAATTAGAGGAACCAAATATTTTATTACTTTATATTTGCAAATACTTTATTAATTGCATTTTTTCTTCTATTGCTTATTGGCGCTAAGACTTACAATATTTTTTTATATTGTAATCGATAGCTTAGTTGCTCATCTCATAGAGCTGGTTGCAATGGATAGTGATTGAAAACTTATCCGCAAGTTGGATCAATGCTGTCACACTTTCGATAACAAAATAAGGTATCGATACCGTTTTTCACTAAAATAAGGTTACTCATAAAATATGTATGTAACAGAGCATAAGGAAATCAAACAGTGACGTCACACACCTGATTACATCTGTTAAGCGTTATTTCCATTCGTACAGCTCTGTTTTATAACAAGACTTTATTAAATGCAAAAATGATCATATTATAAAATCGTTCGTAATTAACGCATTTAATAAATGCGTGCACCTTTTACAACATTTTTATAAATGTAACATTTAAACTTGAACATATTACTTGTACAGACTCTTATATGCATGCATACATACATGCATGTACATACACACATATATCTACATCTTACACTCGATATATTCTTAATAGTTACGTTGCTGTTAGTATGTGGTAGGTTGAAATGATCAAAATGTGTTAGGGCAGTCAAACAGAAAATAGAAAATATTTCTTATAAAAAAAACTTAAGTATGTTTCCTATCGTAATGTTATCCATATTTACAAAGTAGATAAGCCACGCCTTCACTAAATATCCACATATTTCATTTCTGTATCTGAATCCCGAATCAGAACCAGTTGTTCCAAGCGTTCGATTCGCAACAGCATATCCTCCTTTTCCTTCTGCATTACATCAACGCGACGCCGTAGCTCCTCATTGTGTCGCCGCAGTTCGTGCACCTGTCGACAAATTTCGGTCGATGTTGGCAACTGCATAACGTTGGGACCTTTCGTGGTACTGAATTCATTTCCAGTGCGCAGATTCGAACGCATCGTTGCATTGGTGGAAGGCTTATTAGCAATGCCATTGTTAGAGGCACCGACAGCAGTTCCGGCTGCTGGGGAAGGGCGCAGTTGAATTGTTTGCACAGTGCCCACTTGCCCCCGCATCGTGCTCGGTGCTGCGGGATTGTGTGCTGTCGTTGGGTTTATGGCTTCGTTCAACCCTTGCTGCTGCTCATCAATGGCAACGTTATCAATAGATCTGGGCACTGATGGCAACTTCAACTAAACAGAAAATATATTGTTAACACATATTTGTTGGGACTGGGCAGATGATTATAACAAACCTGACGAGATTGTAACTGCCGCATATTAACCAATTTGGTACCATCCGCCAGTTGACGAACAACACCAGAGCTAGACGTTCAATATTTAAATAAGTAAAAGCCAACAATAAACTATAATAGAACTTGCCTTGCTAAGGTTGCAGGTATTTTCTGTAGAGATTTTGGTTGATCGCAAAGTTTCTTGAAGTCAGTCAACGATATAATTCTTATATTCTTTTTAAAGAAATAGTTACAGAAATTATAAATTAGCAACAAGCCAAGCACCAGAAACTAAGAATTTCTCACCTTGTTCTTTGTTACGCCACCTGCTGCACTTGCTGACGATGATGAGTCCTTCTGTTTGATGACATTCATGCGTATTTTTTGTGGGGAAGAATTGAGGTTAGTTTGATTTGTACTGGGATGCTGCAAGTTAATTGCACTGGTTTTTAAACTATTGTTTATAGATCCATTTGTACTTTGTTTGACAGTTGAACCACGGTTTGTTTCGTGCAACAACATGCGACCGCCCTCAGAGAGCACCAGCTGTCGACCATTTCGAAGTGCAGTGTTTAGCATCTTTTTCGAAGCTTCATCGTCTACAATAATCAATAGATATTTTCAAACAAATACGCAAACAATTGTACTCAATATCAAATTACCTATTTGATTGTCCTGCATCATGTCTGCAATGCCATGCGTTTTGAGCATATTTAAGGCTGAGTTTCCCAGCATGTTTGTGTCTATAAAAATCAATAATTTATTTAAATACCAAATAGTGAAGAGCAACTTACGGCCGCGTAACGTCTCTAGAACATCCATCTTATCCTCAACCGACATGTCAGCGTCGTCAAGGCTTCGTATTGACTTAGACTCATCCATTATAGAATTTACTGCATCGCTGGTTTCTTTCTAAAAAAGTAATCAAAGAGTATTTGTACAGAATATGATGAGTTTATACATTTTAAAGTAGACTTGTAGTTAGTTGTATTTCGATTCGAGGTGTTTGTAAAGGATACTCAATGACGTACTTTCATATTTCGCGTTGTTTGCTGTGGTTTGCAGTATAATAAAATAGTGTAAATATGAATTAAATTTCAATTATGAATTTATTACCAAATTAATCATTATGAGCAGTTTCAAGTTTAAAACTGAGTATACAATTCACTTACCTCTGTCTCTTCATTAAATTTGCGGTTGGCTTGAGATTGCCGCGCAACCTCGAGCTCCGCTAAAATATCTGCCTGCTCGGTTAACACGGCCAGGGCGATGGGCGTTTTGCCAAACTTGGAGACTAGCGTTACGTCCGCTTGACTTTTTAATAACATGCGTACAATACTTTTGTGCTTCTTCTCCACAGCCCAGTGCAAGGGTGTCATGCGAAGCTTTGCAACAAAAATAAATCAGTTCAAAATTAGGGAAGTGCTGTAAATACCAAGACTCATGTTTACCATATCACGTGCGTTTACAGCACATCTTAGAGTCAGCAGTAGGTTCACAATTCGCTCGTGCCCAAAATAGCAGGCTAGATGCAATGGGGTTCGATCTACTTTAGTCTTGGCCTCCATGTTGATCCCGCCTTGTAATAGAATTTCGCAGATGTCCAGTTGATTATTCATCGCAGCAAAGTGAAGTGCTGACATGCCCAGCTGAAAATTTGAATAATTGCAGCTACAGTAATGATTTTAGGCTTGTTTTTTTTACTTACCCAGTCCGATACAAATGGAGCGCCATGTGCAAGGGCAGTTTTTACACCGGGAACATCGCTGTCTCGGGCACATTGCAAAAGTTGCTTCCCTAAGTCAACGACCGTTGTTGGCCCGTGCGCGTTCCCCTTCTTCAACAGAAGCTCGCCCTCGGTGCGCTGCAATTGCAGTCAACGAAATTGAATTTTATAACTTTGTAACTTCAAAACATGTAGTAATATTTACAATTTCATAATTCAACAAATTAGATAGCTGCTGGTTTAGGGATTGGGCTTCCATTGCCACACTGCCATCAGCGCGCAATGTGGCTACAACTTTGCTGCTCCCCGTGGCTCCAACTACGCTGTGCATTTTAGCAAGCAAGAACTTTCAGTAACACAGGTGACGCTCAAATAACATTACTATATGTCAATATTTATGGTAAGGCACAACAAATGCTAATAATTTATAATGATCATCTGTATATGCTCGAGAGTGGGAGAATACGATCACCCATTTGTTGATCTTATATCGATATGAATATCGATGTTTAAAGCGTCCTCTAATTTTAGCTGTTGTTTTCTAACTAAACATTGGCATCCACTTAATTAACATAGCGTCCTATACTCTGTTAACCTACTGCTCGATTGCTGACGAGCAGCGAGCTATCGATAAATGTTAAAAACATCTCTATCTATATCTCCATATAACCATAATTGGAGGAGTTGAATTTATAATTTGCCGATAAAACATATATTAGGCAACAGTATCAGTAAGAGATGGCTATGCTGTATGATATATTTTAAATTCATTATTTATAAGGAACCAATCAAAGTAAGTCGGGTGCAGCAGCTGTACAAAATATATATACTTTTTATAAAGTATAAAGTAAACAAAAGAGAAACGCAACAGATTCTTATTTTCAAATACACACTTTTAATACATAATTGTTTGAAGTTTTATATATATTGGATCTTTGTGTACATATACTGTGGTTAATATAACATATCTATTTGTATATAATTAATAATGTATAAAACAATAATTAAGCAAAAGAAATATCAGCCTCTTCTTCTGCAAGCGTGATTTTCGAATCATAGTTTGCCCTTTGTTTTGCTGACCGATTCGCCATGGTATTGGAATCTTTTATCTTTCGAAACCAGCTGCCGAAAGGTATACGATCGAGAAATTTGGTTGAATTTGACATAAACACTAGCCCAGAGCCACTGCTGGTACTGGCCAATTCATCGTTCCGTTCTGAACTTTTGGATAGCATGTCAATGAAGTGATCCGTAGATTGAATCGGGAAATGAGACATATCGCACTCGAATAGGTCGCAATATTTGCTAACCTGTTGCTCGTAGTTGAAGTCAAACCCTTTCAGCTCTGATACAATCAGCGCCTGGCCACAAAATTGTCGCTCCAAGGCGAGCGAGTTAAGAAAGACATACTTACGCAGTATAGAGGAAAAGCTAAAGTCGTACCATTTGTTTCGTGATCTGCAGTATATGCGTATTGCATTTTTAACTGTGTGCAACCCGATTTTGATACCATCTCGCATGTTCATAATGGAGCAACAGTCCAAAAGGAGGCGACCCTTATAGACAAACTGCCTGCGCTTGATGAAATCTGGCTTACAGTAGACCAGCTGTCTATCGAAGAGGATCAGGATGTACTTGCTGTTCCACAGGTTGTGCTTTAAGCGCGTGGCGTCCGTTTGAATGAAAAATCGCGAGCTGAGCAGCTGAAGCTGAAGTCCTTTAAATTTTTGCAAGCTGGCCTGATAGCCTGCAATGATCTCGCTGTGGCGTCTGCCCTCGTTTACAGCCTCTATGATAGCACGCATCTTCTGCAACGCCATAGTAACGGTTGCTTGCGTATCAGGTACGTGATGCTGGAACACATCGAGCTGTTCATAGTTCAACAGATCACACTGCATCCCCGACTCATATGTGCTGTTACGCTTCATTAAATTCTTCAAATGGAGAGGATAACGACAGATGCGTTGCACGGGCGCCAGCAGATGCGCCGAAAGAGGCAATTGACTCACATTTATGGATGCTTGACAACTTTTGCAATAAGAATTGAATTACTATTGATTCAAACTCAGTTAATTGATAAGTTTACTTACCTTTCAAGCACGTTTCGCGCGTCTTTGATGTTGTCATAAGTTGCAAGCTCAATCACAGCACGGGAGTATGCATTACAATACGCGGAATAGCATAGAAATCCTTTATGCTGATTGTACAAAATTCCATTTTTCACTGAAGTACAGCATGCTATTAGGGACTATACTAACCATATTAAGAAAGACTTTTGATACTTGATTCTGCTCGACGCCTTTCCGCAATGCATCTAAAAAGACTTGCTGGAACTTGTATATGGATGTGATATTCGAAAATATAAGCTGTATGCTTTCCATGGGGAATATGTCCATACGACTGCTCATGACTGGCAAATACCTGAGTGAATGCTTTGTTATTTGTATTGTTCACTATACTCTTTCGCGCATTGCTCACCCATCGCACACGGCAGACAGAACATTCACGTAATTGATTTCAGCTTCAAGCAATTCGCGCATCGCTCCCTGCCGCAACGCATCATCGTTATTGTCCTGTGGCAAGAGGAATTCGGATTCTGATGATGGTTGTGCGTTATGGATTTCATTATTGCTGCTAGTCTGGCTTAGCATTCCGTCTTTGGGGTCCACATTTCTGCTACTGTATTCATCATGGGCATCAGGCGTTTGGGTTTCTCTCAACACACACTCAAAATTCTCAACCGGTAACATCTTCACATCCAAAGGGTCGAGTAGACTGGCATCCTCTTCTGCATTCGTAAAATATTTTAATGCCGTCCCGGTCCTGCTCCAGCTCCAGCTCTAGCTGCAGCTCTTGCGGACCAGTTGTGGCGAGAATCTGCAGCACTTCGGCATAAATTCACTTGCAGTTGGCCGCTGTGGGACACGTTGGTGTGCATTAGTAACTCATGTGTCAACGTCCAATTAACGCCAATTGCATCGATTGCGAATACACTTAACGAATTATTTACCTATATTACATATTTGATCAAACAATTTAAACACAAATTTTGACAAGTGATTTCCGAAGGTTTAAATTTGAAATATAAATCTGTCGTTGAAGATATTGTTAAAAAATAAAATTGATGCAGTTTAAACTTCAGACCTTTTTAAGCTGTAATTTAGTTCAGCTTAGTTTGCAACTTACCTTTGTCGGTAACATAAAAGCTTCTATAAGACATATATAGAGATTCGATATTCGCTTAACGGCAAATTGATGTTGGTGTTAGCTAAACTTCTTAAATTTTAGAACTCCTTATCGGACTTGACATAAATTTGAAACGAAGTAATGTGGACTATCTAAATTGTGTTTTTTCTTAAGTGTCCAAAAATAGTGAAAAATTTAAGTGTTTTTGATTTTTAGCAAATTAATTTAAGTTTCCCTGGAGAAATAACTTTTACAAATAAAAATACAGTTTCCTCAGATAAACTCATATATCTCTTGAGCTGCTGCTGATTACTATAATTTGAATGCACCTGCTACTCTTGAAAATAATTGACATCTATCTTAAAATGTGTAAAAAGAAACAGGGTAAACTGAAAATTTCAAATCTTTATCGTATCTTGATTGTCATCTATTTTCTAGTCAGTTTTAAAATTGTAATATCTAGATTAGTTTTTACTGGAACATATGGATCATCTAACAGCATAATAAGTAAAAGTTTGAAATTTTATATTTTTGGGTATTTTCATGTTTATTAGTAATTTTATAATGTAATTTAGAGATGTTGAATGTTTTGTATACTCAGTACAGTGGTCGCTCAGATATTAGAACTTCCCGAAATTATAAACGCGCGGCAGAACCATTTCAATTTAGTCTTTTCGAAAAGCCTTTAAAACAAATTCTGGTTGTTTCAAAGGTGTTTGCGGTCTGAGAACTCTCAGCTATTGGCCAATTTCTATGAGGTTTTAACTGAAGTATTATAATTCACAAGCGATCACTGTAGTTACATTTGTTGTTGATCGAGTTTATTAAATAAATTTGTAGAAAAATGCAACTTTTATTTTTTAAAATATGTTTAGCTAAATTTTCGATTTTATATTAGGTAATTATAATTATCATACAAGTAGTTTATATTATATTTAAGCCATACATATGAGTACTGTGTAATTGTGTGTGGACATACACAAGATTGAAATAAACACTTTGAGTGCCTAGCTATGATTTTAAGTTTAGTTGAATTTCATTTGATTTTTGCTTTCATATCGCTTAATTACTATAAAGTAAGAAAAATGTTTTGATTAACTATATATATATATATATATATATATAGAATATAATATATATATAAATCTATATATAGAACATTTACACATATGCGGAATTTGGAGGGCAAAAGCGAACAGATATTCAAATACCATTATCTTAGATATTATTTTTTGTTACTTTATAAATAAATTGATGTCTGTATTGTTGGAAAGTATTAAGTTGATTCAGTTATGATTAAAAACCCGATAAATGTTGGAATTTCAATTTTAATTACTCATACATACGAATAGAAAATTTGCTGCATATCGTTTAGTGAATAGTAGTGAGTTAATGAATGAATATTTTGCAGATGTAATAATTTCTTATAAAATGAGTGCGTGACGACTTATGATACCTTCTAATTACAGTCATAAGATCTTAAATATATACAAGTCGATGATTATTTTGTATGTTTTTCTTAATGAAATGCAATGCAATGCAAGACCGAGACACGGCTGACAGACAAATACAGTCAATGACATTTACACTTTTGCTTAAAAGCTAGACAACATTCACTTTGGCCTAACATAATATAATAGAATAATAACAGTGCCACAATGCAGTATTAACGATTCTGGCTACAATAACAGTTGTTTGGTTTTATATACATATATATAAAATTTTTTAAACATACTTTTGGTTTATCAGATCGGCATTTTAGAACACAAGATTATTAATCAATTCATTAGCTTAGATTTTCATAAAAAACCGTTCTCACAATATGCCATTCGTATAATATTGATACCCATCGTAAAGCTTGGTCGAGAGACTCTTCAATGAGTCCTGCACAAGCTGTTCCACCTTGCGTTCCATTTCTTGTTCAGTTAAATTCATATGAAAGCGTTTTCGGAGATTCTGTACTGTGCCGGAACAGCCATTTTTGAAGCACGGCAATTGTGCATCTAAAAGGAAAGTTGGAAATATAAGTTGTTTGCTTTCAAAGAATTGATTTGTCTACATACTACTGCGCATAATTTCTACAAAGTTTATAATGCGATCCATATGCTTGCGCGCAGACATCATGCCGACGAGCAACAAACGATTAAATTCTCTCCAATGCTCAGATCCGGTGCCCCCCATAACATCGACAAATTCATGGGTAAGTTTAAATGGTGATTGCTCAAAGCCTGTATCACAAAGAACATTGTTATTTTTAGTACAATCGGGCAATTAAATTCAGATACTTACCCAAATTTTTGGGAGATATGCTTAGTATGAATCCGAAGTCTATATGTATTATATGTCCATCGGCGTGAAAGAGTATATTGCCGTTATGTCTACGGGGTGTAAAAACAGTCAGCATACCATTTCCATTTACATATTCGAAACTCACCTGTCCTTAACTTGCAGCAGATAAGATATAATACAATAAGCCGCACAGCTCTGCACGAAGTTCTTTTGGGCTTGACGAAAACGTTCCCCAGTTGGAGGTCCATATTCATCGATAAAGTAATCGCGCAAGGATTTGTTTGAGTTCTTTTTAATTTGATGCAATGAAACTGTGTTCAGAATAGGCTCAATCAAACCGCTGTCGTTCGAGAGGCATATGATTTTATATGACCGCACCCATAGATCAACATGCTCCTCCTCCCAGATGATCTTAAACATCTACATAAAAATATCAAGATATATTCAAAACTGATGATCACTGAGTTGATTAACTCACCTGCAATAGCTGCGTTGCCATCAGTTCTTGTCGCAAATCGTCTCCACACTTGACAATAGCAGATAACAGCCGCCAGCTAGAAAGATGGCCGTAAGGGGAGGATTCTCGAATGAGTTTCTCCTTTTCATGCCAAGGCTCCTATAAGGAAAATAAATTAGGCCATTCGTCCGAGCTAATAATTCTAGGTTACACAAACCTTTAATGCTGCCGCAGATGGATCCTCTGGATCATTGCTGAACGACTTTGTGTTCTCGCAGTTTAAATTGTTGCAGTGTCGAGTGCGCACATCGCCAATATTAAAGACAATTGGAGGACCTATATATAGGAAGTTGATTTAATGCTAGGTTCAAAGCTACATATTAATATATCATACCTTGATCTCTGGAGTCGCACGAGTCCATTGACATCTGTGAGATGGCGTCTCGTTCACTAACCTTGCTCATGTAAAGGTATTGTGCGGTGATCTGATCATCTTCCTGCGACCACACGTCATCGTCATGGGCCTGAAGTCCACCCAGTGAGAGCAAACGGTTGCTGTTACAACTGCAGCAATTACTATTGGCCGGCTCGCCACATCCATTTTCTGCATGCGATTCAGTCTCTTTCTTACGACGGCAACTGGAACCATGATGAGTGCTGCTACAGCTGGAGGTGCGGCTGCAACTCTGGTGCGTATTCAGACAGGTACCCTCCAAATGCTCTTCGCTTTTGGTGTGTCGCAGCGATGGCATCAACTTGGGTATAAGCGGCGACGTGTAAATGTCTGGCACTTCTACAACCTCCACATATATGATGTACGGCGTTTTGTCCTTGGAGTTTAGCACTGCAGTCTTTTCCTCTGTGATGCGCACCACATGATGTGGAATATCCGAGTAGAGCGGCAGCCAGACACGAGCGGGCAAATTTTTATTTATCAGATTTAGGAACATTCGTAGGGCAGAAGTCTTTTCGGTCTTAGAAGGCAACGAGATTAGATTCTTTCCCACATTCATGAGGGACTTCATGAACTCCTTTTGCGGTGCAGTCTTGGGTGCACCGCAATTACAAAGCGTACGCTGTCCTAGCAGACAGTTCACCTGACCACGAACCGTTTCGAAACAAGTGCAACCATTGTCGAATGCTAGTCCCGAAGTCAGATCACCGAGAAAGAGTTTAGCAGGTGTTGTGGGCAGCGTTTGCGTGGTGTATGGCGGCTGTTGGTACATCTTATGCGAAATGCTGAGCGTGCGGGAGTCGGCGAGCAGCACAGTGGCATCTGATTGCGAGCGATGATGGGTTTTCTTTACGAGAGCGACGGCTGGGCTTTGGATATTATCGGGTCTGGCTTGTTGTTTATTCTCTTTCTTGGGAAATATCTCCTTCATGAGCGCCAGCTTGGACTTCCGGCTAGTACTGCCATTCCCCAGCGAATCCACTTGATAGTTATACGCTTCCAATAGCCATAAACACTTTAGGGAAAAGTCAACGGACTTTCGGCAACGGATAGTGAGATACGGGTCAAGGACTTCGGCCAGTTCGTCCATTTGAATATACATTAATATCAACTGCGGTATATAGAGATCCACTTCTTGGTTGGGGAAGCTAAAAATCTTATTGCCAATAAAACTCAAAACTCCGGGCTCCTTCGAGTAGAACAAATAATGCACAGCAAAGTGAATATTAAATACGGGCGATTCGAAAAAGCGCAATAGGCCGCTGGGCCCTCGCTCGTAATTTTGCTGGGGACCCGTAGTGGGCGCCCGGTCGCTGATGAAATATTTCACTACGCCAGGCACTGGCATCTTCAGCTGGTGCAGCGAACTGATAGAGGAGCTCTTACGCATCGTTACGTCGTGACCGACTTCACATTCTGCGCCCGGCAGCCGCAGATTCAGTGTGAGTTCCTTCATCTTCACATCTGTGCCAGCCTCTGCCAGCACATCAGCTGAGGATGTGGGAGTGGTTGTTGTACTAGCCACTGCTGCAGCAGCGGCAGCAGCGGCTTTCTTGCTGGAATTGGAGCTGAGCAGACTAAAGAACTCTTTCTTTTTGGAGATGTCCGTGGGGGACTTGACCAGGTCCTGTGGTATTTGCTCAACACTATGTGCCGTTGGATTCGTTCCGTTGGACTTGACCTTTAAGACGTCTTGCAGCTCGCCAGTCTTTTGCTTGGCTGCATTCTTTTTCTCATGGTTCTCAATTATACTTTGAGCGGTGCGGAAAATTGCATTTTTGGTGGCGCCGAAAAAATTCTTGAAGAGCACTTGATCGTTCTTGGCACTCTCAGTGGGCGTGGCCACGGGTGTGGGTGTTCCTGCTGGTGTTACTGTGGGCGTTGTTGCTGCTGCAGCTGCCACTAACATATTATTGTGGGACAGTGTCTGTGGTGTTGGCAATGTATCGTGTTCCTCCTCATGCTCGACCCTCGGTGGCTCATCGGGTGCCCCACTAAGCGCCGAATTAACAGTAGCTTGAGACACGTTCATTGTGCGATAACACATAAAATCGACGGCGTCCCTCTGCTCTTGATCCTGCTGCTCCTGTTGAGCTGCCAGCTTGGCCTCCTCTCGCTTTTGTTGCTTTTGTTTGCGCGAGGGTCGTAGTGTACGGCAATCGAATTCGTTGACGGCATGCGATGGAAAGAAGTATAGATCCGACTCCATTAGATTGTAGTCTTCATCCATTGACGTGGTGTCCAGCATATCAATACATTCCTCCTCGGCATCCGCGTCGGCATCGGCATCGGCATCCATTTCACCCGAATCAAGCGATTCATGAGAGTGGCATATGCGATTTAGAGATATTTGGTCTGACTCCGAACCACATATAATGCCTGCCGAGATTAACAGTGAGAGGGTTTATAAATAATTATCATTGCATAAGGTTCAATGAAAAAAAACAAAAGCAAACTTGACTTCAGACTGGACGTCTAGAAATATATCCATTTCGAGATGTACCTAAAATATTAAAATAAGCTTACCGGAGTCGTCCGAACCGAGGCTAGTCAGATCCTCGCGTTTTTTATAGCTGCCAGCTCTACTACAGTTGTTGTTGCTTCCAGCATTCCCATCGACCATGTCTTGGGCACCCGTCGTTGCCAGTTCGTTCGATTTGGGCCGTGTTCGCAATGTTGGACAGGATTCAACTTAAATAAAAAAAAGGAAAAGTTTTAGAACAGAATTTTGATGTCAACTGACTTTAAATACTTACTGACTCCATTGGGAACATGTTGGTTCCGTTGCGCGTGCACTGTGACCGCAGATGTGGGCGGGTCCATGGCTGGCCTCCCAGTAATAACTGTGCCGGACCCGGGCACCACATTATTGCATCGGGCAACGGTAAGAGCTGGCATTGGCGGGGATGTGGCAAGTGCGGCCGTTACACTGGCCGCAGTTGTTGCGATTCTCGAGCACATGTTGGTGCTGAGTATTGTTGTCGGTGAACAAAATGTAGTCTCACTCTCGGCATTGGGCGAGGAGATCTCGACCTGTAGGTGTAAAAATGTTTAGTTAGCACATTAACTTGTCGACAAAAGCATTTTCAGTTTTCGACAGCTTCGAAAAGTCAAGTGGCAAACGAAAATTCAAATATGTGGCATGCTCTCTCAAAAGATTGCAGTCTGCAGACTGGAAGCAGAAACTGCGCTGCAATACAAAATTGCATTCAAAAGACTATCGCGTGCATGTTTCCGTTCGTGACCCGAACTCGCACGACTTAACTATCTAACTATATGATATATCTGCCGGCAGTTTGGTGTTCAGCATCGATACCGTTGCATTGTGATGCGCAACATGTGAGCTGAATACGAGTCGTGCAAATTCTGCCACAAAAGCGACACGTATCAATTCTAAGACAATGAAATCGCTCTCAGTCTCTTTCTCATTTATTTTTTTGGCCCACCATGTGGATGTGGACGGGTGTATTGTTGTTATTATCAGCACTCCTGATAAACAAAAGTATAAACACACAGAAAGAGTGCAAAAATATAAATATTACTTAACAGATTATACGAAACAGTTCTGCTGCGTACATTTGTACATTGTGCATGTAACGTACTCGAAATCAACATTTAAGATAATTTAAGATCTGTAGGCGGCTGTGGGAGTGACTAAGTATAATTAATTTGTCCAATTACTCACCTCTGGTATGCGCTGCAAGGCACTGTCGAGACTTCGATTGCGATGATGTTGTGTGTGATTTATGCGAGCGTTGGTCACTTGAGAAACAGGTGGCAGCATTATGCCCATCGATCTAGAAATGTAAGAAAAATCAATTAATTAAGGACAATTGCGAAAAATCAATTACGCTCTTGTCACTGCCGTCTGTACTGCTAGCGGCTGTAACAATTGCTAAACAACAAGTCAACTGCAAATAAACTCAAGTTCCAGCAGAACCTGCTTCCAAATATATAGGTACATCTGTTCTAGACATGTTTGCACTCACAACACGGGAAAATTATTAAGGCAATTGCTTTCTTACTACGATTGCCTGCGTCGATGTATTCTGTCGGAAGGCAGGAGGCTTATAAAACAATGCCTGCTCAAATGAATTATCAATTTTTAGTAGTTAAAATTAGAGCAGAAAAAACAGTGTCGATGAGAGCCGACACTCTAGCCTAGTTGAACTGACTACAAAATACCCTGCACCTACCTCAATATGTTTGCTAATATATTACAATATATATATTAACGTAAACAATACTCAATTCCTGTGTGTTTATTTTCAAATCATACGATTTTGATGTACACAAACTTAGCATATATTTTTGTTGTGATCCAATATTAATATATTGTTCAGTTCCATAATGTTCTGTCTAATTCAAATAACATTTAACATATACATATATTTGATAAAAATGTGAAGTAAACCAATATACCATTTTATACATTTTCAATAAGTGTTGGGTATACGAGCCAAAAAGAAGCACGCGAGCCCATAGAAATGCCTAGCACTGACAGAGAAGCGTGAGAGCAACAAGTGCTCGTTATATGAGTAGATTCGGGGCGAAGCTCTAACAAACTGGTGCTGTTATCATGAGTTTCTGTATGTTAATCTGATAGCTATGTTAACAACAGTGAATGTTAAAACTCAAAGTGGCATGTTAAGGCTGTAGAGTGTCGCTCGTTTAACAGATTTATGAATTTGCTCCTGATAACTCACTTTTTAGATAATAATACAAACAAATGATCGTGTGTCATCAGCAAATTATATTTATCAAGAAGCGACGCAAGCAAAAATAACTATTAGAGACAATAACACATAATAATAGCTTGGTATACCGAAGACTCAATGCTCTTGTACTCAAATATTTAGGTTCGAGATAAATATAAAATAACAATGAGTATTGAACAACTGAGTGCAAACGACAACATTCTCATTGATCGATTATAGCAGTAGAATTATATGATTCAGTTCTTCAGCTAAATGATAAAAATATTGATAACATTCTACGTTTATTTAGACAAAGAGTGTTCGAATTCCCTTTCTTGAGGGGTTTTTCCCAGGCACCTTTTGATAATTTGACTCATAGACGTAATAATATTCTGAATCAGTAAGTGGTAATCGGCAAGTAATGCGTTCGAAACATGGAAGCATCTATAAAAGCCTTCATAAAGATAGCTTGATAATGCAGTTAAGTATTGCAATACAAATGTTATGCAACACCTCCTCAAAATGTTATATACTTGGTAAATTCGCAACTCACCTGAAATCCAAACTCAAGTTCCTTTGGTGCGTCGAAATTCGTTTCGGTGGTAGGCCGCCCGTTGGGGCGCCATTTTGTCCAGCGGCAGTTGGTGCCACACTCAGATTTGGGCGACCATGCACGGAGGGCATGGACTGATTGAATCCACGGCTCAGGCTCAGACGCGGCTTTGAATACCGCACGTGCTTAGGTGTGCTGGCCGCCGAATTGATGGTTGGCGTTGAGCCAGTGGAGAGGCTACAGTTTGCTATGCTCAGCGGCAAGGTAATAGGCGGGGCTTTCAGAAACGCAGGCACATAATCTTCATGACTATTTGTTAGAACAGGCGAAGCAAGCGGCGGCTGGACTCCGTTCTCAATCTCTGAGGTGCACTCAACGAGAGGTTCCTCCAAATTCAAGGAGGAGAGTGTGGTGCTTGATGTGGAGTGCGGCTCACCATTAACCGACGACGTGCTGGCCAAAGACAGGCTGCAATCTCTGCCTAGATTGGGACTGCTGGACTGCGGGTTTGCGGCCACTACCGTTGGACTCTGCACCACAGTGCTGTTGCTGTGTTCGCTGGAGCTGCTGGTGCTGTTGCCAGCGGCAGTCGAATGCTCTGAATTATCATCGTCGTCCGGCAGTGGCGGACTATGTTGGTCGCACGCCAAGGCATAAATGTCCATGTTGCCATTCTCAGCCACCTTCATACTGTGGCTGCTGGCGATGCTATTCGCCTTGCCGTTCATGTTGTAGTCAGACTTTGACTCCGCACAGGACAAACGCACCATAGCGGGTGCACAGTGATCGACGACATCTGCGCTCACGACAGCTGCATCAGCTGCTGGACGGAAGTGCAGCTTATCGCCGCTCTCTAAGAACGAATTGCTGCGCACATTTAGATCATCGGCGGCAACGGCAACAACTGGCGATAGCAGTTTGTTGGCCGTCTCAATTTCGCGGATTTGTCTGAGATATTGATAGCCATTGTCCTGGACCACTGGCTTCTTTCTGGTACCGCCGCCGACGCCGACGCTGGCTATGGTTAGGCCAACCTTGCCGTCCGAGGTTGCAACATTGGACGTAGCTGCCACGCCTGTTGGGCTGGCCGCGTTGCTCTTCTTGGTCTTAAATGCTGAGATGACGGAGTTCATTTTAGATAGATTTTTAGTGTTGAAAGTAGGAAGTCTTGAGTGTCTCAGCGATCAGTGTTCACAGCAAGATTGTTCAGCCTTAAGACTTTGATTGAGTCAGTTCCTTTAGTGCCTTGGATGCGATCTCATCTGTTCTATAATCAGCTCCATTGTTGCCTGTTGTCGCTCAATGGGGTGTACCATAAATGACGATACTTTCGAGTATAAATATGAATGAAACATATATATTTTAAGTCATTCCCTCGCCGAGTGCTCTGAGCAGTTTTGTAAAATTAGCATATTTTCGAGTTCACTGCAAATTAAAAGGAAAAAGGTGTTAATTAGTAATCTGCTATTAATTGAAAACAACTTAAGGTATGCACGCACTGCCAAACTAGTTTGAGACCAAATTCGATTGCTACTTTTTGTTTGTCGCTTTTCCATAATAATAATAATAATAATAATAATAAAAATAACAATATGTTCTCATCTATTAAGCGTCGCAGTTCAGCTGCTGATCGCTAAATTCACAGCTGCCACGGAACATATAAATATATATATAGGTTTATTATTCATATGAGCAAAAAATCTGTGGCCCATGACCAAACGCAAATCAATGACGGCAAAACTCTATATAAATAAATCTGCTACGTATAAACTGTAGACAGTCAAGTGGCCTTGACAATATCTCAATGTTTGCATGTGTATGAGACATTCAAAAATCTGTATAGATGTCTATATATTCGCCTTATATACATATGTATATCCATACTTATCAACAAACGGAGCATTATTAAACAAGCTTGCTAATCTACTGATTATACTTTTAGAGATATTGAAAGCTTTTAGTTATTTTGCATGGGAATTATATTTTCTATTCATTATTTGCGTGCACAATCGAATTTTTCTTAAAGTAGAATGAATTAATAATGTTAAATATTAACATTGAAATCTCATCAAGAATTTCAATCTTCATCAAGAACATTCATGAAATCATGCAGCATCCATTCATACTCTAAAATTATATTGTCTCGTTCAAGAGAACAGCGCATAAAAAGATAATAAAAATGAAAAGTAGCGCCAAGCGCCTTTAATTAATTACGGAATGTAATGTACTTTTTTAATGAACTAAAAAGAACAACAAATAAACTCAAAAAATAAATATAAACTTGAATGCTATGCCAACAGATAAGCATCATTCCCTCAGTTGACCTCTGGACCAGTAGAATGTGTTCATAGTATTCACTGCCACGTGTAAAAGATGACCTTCTGCCTATGGGGAGCTGTCTGTTATTCCATCTACATCATCTATGGGGAGCTTGCACACTTTCGTATGCCCCGACGGGGGCCATTTGACCTCTTTCAATAAATGTTTGCCTATGCGAAACATTTTCATATGATCAAAATTTCATCATCAATCTTTAATGTAGAATATTTAATCTATTTCATCACTTTATATTTTAAGACTTGTAAGTATTTCTCCAAGTTTTACTGAATTCTAATAAAACTCTCGGAAATCGTTATTAATTTTCTAATTTTATTCAGTTTCCCTTGCAGTTAATCATCTTTCGCTGTTCCTTCTCATACACTTCTCATACACTACACTGAGTAATCTTAGAGTAAATTTCATTTGCATGCAAAATTCCGTAGAACTCATATCTGAATATAATAATCGCTAATGACTTATTTTATTGTTGCTCGGCAGCTCCACTTGAGATTCCGTAGTGATTCTGTGTTCGTGGGAAGTGAAATGCCTGGGAATACAGACATATATAAATATATAGAGCTACTGGGACTATCTCCATATCATTTCACATACATAACTGTCGCTCCCGTTAGATTAGATAAGGCAATCGTAGCAAGTGGAATTTAAGTACAAGTTCAATTGACAATATATAAATGTTACGTATTTTGGATACTGCTTTTTCATATATATATAGCTCTTTTTACCATGACCAACCGAAATCTTTGTGTTTTTCTGTTAAATAATTCTTGAGTTTTTCGGTGTCTGAACACATCCTCCCTTCATTCGGGTCATGTAATTGCAACATGTTGATTAAGTTGTCTTGGTCGAACATGTCTGTTGATTGTCGCATTTCAAGGTGATTGGAGTTGTTATTTTTGGTTTGCCGTGTGGTCGCTCAGCTGTCACATATAGCCATATAGCCATTACACGAGTCCGAGAATTGAGAATTGAGCAACAAGTGCGACGGCATTCGGAATGTGCTCGCCAGACCCGCTCACTGCGACTACATTTGCTTCGTTTAAATAATTGCTGATGAACTTGATCCAATTAAAAGTCAAAGAGTTCAATAGCAATTGGAGAAAAACAAAACAACGCCAAGAACCACACAAAATAAACACCACAAATCTAAACGAGAATTGAAAAGGCGAAATATTCCAAATTGACTTCTCAATGAAAGCCGATAGATCAGCATTGCTATGCACACTCGGCACGTTGTAAATAATGAGTAGAGGTATCACTTTAATGGGGTCTATCTGTTTGATATCTACACATAAACCTAATTAACTATTTAATGGCTACAAGGTTTAAAAAACGTTGAACTACGAACTTGGGACACTCTTAAATAAATACTACCATGCAGCAATCAGTCAAAGCCCCGAATCGAAGACTGACTCAAACAAGTTTTTTATGGTCTTCAGAAAAACAATTCGATTGAAGGCGACCGAGCTACCCGGTCTGTGAAAGCCGTCTACCCGGCAAGAAAAATACTTGATTTCGACCCTACAGCATGGACCGTGGTTACATGCATCGCTGCTCAACACCCCACTCGAAACATGTGAACGTGCTCTGGCAGAGAGGGTCCGACGCGCAGATACCACATCTATCTATGCCTAATACATGTTTCTTTATTTGCCTAAATATATATTTTGTAAAACAAACACGACTGCATTTTGTTGCCTTTTATCAACGTTGTCCGTTGCACGCTGCCAAATTGAAATTGGCAACGTCTCTAGGAAGTGGCACAACTTAAGCATAACTATCTGCAGGCCAGCTCAGCTCAGCTCAACTCAGCACAAAAACCAAACAGGTATTGTATATAATTACAACGTGATAATGCTTTATGGACTTCCTGTGTCCGCTGTCCAAGCGACCGAATACTTATTGCGGCTACTGTGGATCGAATTGTTCTCATGCTGATTTTGTTGTATAAGCTTCCCGTTTTACCTCGATAACAGTCGCTGACGAGTTGGCTGGCTTCTTGCCGTTTAGTTATTCAAGTCATGTCTGTGGCTTGATGCTTTGCATGTTTTGCTTTGCCTTTTCTTTTTTTTTTTTTTGTTTCAAGGCAAATTTCAATTTTAGTTTAGTAACCTCAATGATTTTGCAACTTTTCGAATGATGATGTTGGGGCAAGGCGGTTGGCGCAAGGCTACTGGGAAGAAACTCATGAAAAAACTGTTGAAGGGGTTCCGCTGCCTACCCCAAAATAGATATACACTATGCTCACTAACAGAAGCTCTACAACTTTACTCCATCATTTGCATTGTGGTAAAAGCAAATATAAGAATATTTGAGTCTGAGCTCTTCTCGCTAGCTGTGCTTCAAACAATTTGAAGCGCAAGTGTATACAAATTCAGGGAAAACAAACTTCATTAACAGATTCGTGCACAACTTTACCAAATTAAAATAGTTTTTGAAATGCCAGTAAAGTTATACCTTATGCCGTTTGCTCAGGTTTCAATTTGCATTGCTGCGAGCGTTCAGGTGGGCACTCCTCACCTGTTTTGTTTTGCTGAACAACTATTTGACTACAGCTAAGATTTGCACAACTTTTCTGATTTGCTTATTAACAAACTGTGGCATGCCATTTGGTTTCCTATTAGCCAAAAGTATTTATAAATATGAGATTCCTATGCATTTTTATGAATTTCTTGCCGGTAATAAAAAATTTCAACTATTTTAAATGTTTATATATTATAAGCCACATAACTTGAATACATAGATGTAGCTATACAAATGCCTTCAGCTGGCTGAAATACACATTTGCTTAAGCACAGAATACCCTCGTTTCCCCCATTGTACCTACAGGGTATTCGAAAAATTACTTTTAATGCAACTAATGAACTCTTAATTTCAATTGCAGTTGCAGCTGCACCAAGTCGAGCTGTGTGGATGAAGCAAGAGAAAAGTTGGGACACATTCTCAGCATAGTTCTGGCAATTGGATGGATGATGTGGGGTATGCGAGCGCACTAATTTTCTGAATTTTCTTTCGCCATGCCAGAAACAACAATAACTACAGAAAACTTCGAGAAAGTCTACAGTCTGCAGCATGGCATAAGAAAATTTCTTTGATGACGATGCTGATGATGTTGTTGATGATGATTTAAAGGGAGTACAACGATTTCATGCTCCAAAAGCCTCCACAGTTTCAGAGCAGACACACACACGCACACACATAGACACATGAATAAATTTATATTAACTAAAAGTGTACCATATGTCTGCAGATATGTATGTTAGTGTCGAGCACTGTGCCGACTTTTGTTTATCAAGCACAATTTTTTCCAAAGTTTCTGCAGTGCCCACTCAATAGCATTTATGCCATTAACTGGGACATGCTGGCACAGAACTTCTCTGCACTTCGCTCCGTCTATGGCCACTTGCTGAAGTCAGACTGTTATTATTGCCCATTCGCTTCACTCTCCAAATGTACTGAATGAATCTAATGCCGTCTCAAATGCCAAACAACGTGGGCTGCAGTTTTGGCTTTGTTGCTTTTGCTGCTGCTGCTGCGGGTATCTGTTGTGACTTTTATGGCGGCATCTGGCAGCGGGCAGCAGCTGAACGCTAAATTGATTTTGATTGTTTTTAAATATGTAGTTGCGCATACAAAAATGTCACCCTCCAATTAACTGTTCAGTTGTCTATTTCAATAAATCAAGTTACCATTTCCATATATCTATAAAAAGATAAATATAAAAATATATATATCTATGTATAGATAAATAAATATATATGTACATATGTGTTCAAGGTGTCTTCGGTTACACCTCAGTTTTAATAATAGTTTGACACTTACATTTTGGCCACTGCCAATCAGCCGTTAAGCGAATCTGCATCTAATTATTTAAGTGAGCGTGCCAAAAACTGTTCTTGAAACTCTCTTCATATATATTGATGACACAACTTTAATAAACTATGACAGTTATCCGTGACATCCGCATCATATGCACGCAATTAATTTAAATAATTATAGCCTGCACGCAGCCATTGTGATGTACTGCAGATACAGATACTCATGCAGAATTTACGGACAGTCCCTCTCAATTAATGGACTCTCATTCACAACAGGGCGTGGCAGACGAAAAAAACAAAACAAACAAACAATTCAGCTGCACAGATAGACTGGGAGTGGCTAAAGCTGACTGAAAATGCTAAAAATATGAAAAAGAACAGGCAAAACGCCGATTTTTATATATCTTTAAACTTATTTCGAATAGTATAGATAGTAAATAGTTGCTGTATCGATATCCGTAATGAAAATATCGTGAAAAGCTGCTTAATAAAATTATTTGGACACACAAAGTTTTCTCCATTAACATAGCTGTAAAATTTAGAGAAATTGAGAGATATACACACACCATATAGCTATAGGCTCGGCTATTGCTAGTCAACTACGTTTACTATTGTAGTAAACAGATGTTTACTATTGTAGTATGTTGATATATACTATGTAAGAAGAAAATACCATTTAGTGTTGTTTTTCAGTACTATTGTCGATCCTTTTGTAGTCTTAGGATACTTTAAAAGCTGTGATCAAATCAGTTCAGTTCATGGTCAATGTCGCAACACAGGTAACAGGTCGTAACAATCGGTGTTTAGCTTTGAGTAAATGTAAATCTGAACACACAAACAAGACTTGAATTTGTGAAATATTCGACTCTGGACATAACAATACTTTCACGTTGCCTTTAAGAGCTACAAAGCAACATGGTAGCTGTCTGTTACACTTTAACTCAAATGTTTACTATGTAAATTTGCCAAGCAAATAAATAAATGCAATTTACACAATTCCAATCGCGATTGTGGCTGTGTGTGTGTGTTTATTCAAGCAGCGGATATGAAATCACCAAATCAAAACTGTTTTAGCTCCACAGTTGGAGCTGTAGCTGAGTCTAGCCTAATGCAATAAAGCAGGAGTTAGCAGCCAGTGGACAGCATCCGCAATTTTCTATCGATTGGCTTTCGCCACGACTTGCACAGAAAATGGAAAACTATGCAATTCATTTTATTTGCTGCTAAGTGGAATTCCATTGAAAGTTCAGAAGCAGCTTTGAAATCAAGTTTCGTTATTCCGCTGGCAATAGTCAGAAGCAGGTGAAAATTGTTTAAAGTTTTCCTTTCAATTCGAGTCCGCAGTTTCAATATCTAGCTGCCGTTGAGATAAGAGACATCTACAATGATTTACATATACATACATATATATACATATATATTTATTTATACAAGTTTTGTAATATGATGCTCATCCTTCTAGAATCTTGTGTCTAGCGCTTTACATTCCGTCAATTGCGGTAAATAAACCGCAAGCAAACAAAGCAAATAGATATCATGCAGTGATAGAAAGATACTTCTACGCTGTTAAAAAAGAGAATCGCTGTGATTTTTTACGTAACACGTAACCTCGCTATATGATATGAAGGTCAACTACTGATGCTGGCGAACTAGTAGAACTCGTAGAAATCAGGTTAAATAACTTTATAATAGTAAGAAGCATCAAAGAGCGCAAAACCGGGACGAGAACCCCTCAGATCGAATGGTTCAAGGCTTGCTTCTTTAATCTTGGAAAAGGTAAGCCCAAGATATTATGGAATATACGGCAGCTGTCGTTTTTTATATGATTAATTACCAACTGGATTCTAATTGGGCGTTTCTTAAGTGAAAGTTAAGTGAACTTTAAGCAAACCACATTTGTGTGTTAATTAGTAGATGCTTCATCTAATAACTTTTACATTTCATTTAATAAGTACCGCTACAAAGATTGTTTTTTTATGTAACTCTACCTTACATTCAGTGCATATATACTTTAATTCAAATATCAACATCAGCGAGACTTAGGCCACAAATGCAATTTGCCAAATGAAAGTTAGTTAGTTGGTCTTAAAAAAATATGGGTTAAGACCCCAGAAAAAAATAAAAACAAAATTTAATGAAAGAGAGATAAGGTCTCAGAGGTTGGTAAAGTGTTCATAAGTATTATATACATATGTGCAAGTGCTGTGTGAAAAGCGTGACTATGCATTAAACATCATTTCGATGTTTTATTGAGCATTTAAAAATAAATGCTTGCGCATTTCTATAGTTAATGAACTGCTGGAGATATTACGCAGAGCACAACTAACTAGCTACAATCTCCAATCTTAATCTGCACTCCACTTTCAGTAGGCGATTTTATGCAAATGATCTGCTATTTGATCAAGTGCTCATGATGTTTGTCGATCGCAAATATTTGGTTAATCGTATTACGACAAGAGCTTTGAAGCGATACAATTTTATTTTGTATGCTTTATCATTTATGACGTTGGATTGTATTTTGGACTAAGTGGAGGCGGTTTGCAGCTGTTGATATTATGAGTCTAGATAAAGTAAACAAATATTAACACGTTACGAGGCAAAGAGCAGTCGAGAACACGAAACTTATTTTAAAAAACATATTTAACATTTCAATAGCAATGTTTTTCTTTATCAATTTTATTAAACTATATGTAAATGGCCAAAGATTTTATTAAGTCGCTAAATTTCCTTGAAATTGTTTGTTTTAATGCAAATAAGTTTGTTATTCTTAAAGCGATTAACCCATTTCCGTTAATTTCTTATCAAATCGTGTAAATGTGCATAACAAAACGCATCAGACTTGTCTCAAATACGGAAGATAAGGTTAGCAAGAAATAAAACCATTTCAGACGAGAATAAAAGCGATTGAAAGCAAGCTCTCAATTTGCACAAATTGAACAAATTAAAATACCAATGTAGTCTATATATATATATGATATACTCTTAAGTTCTCATAAGCACATTCCACGAATGTGGCATGTATATGCATATGTTTTATATTAAATATATTCAATGAGTGTTCGCCATGGCGTCACAGCCACAATAATAATAGTACAATAATTTCCATATATAAAGCTGAATTACTGTACGCCCCAAACATAACTACATATATACATATAAAATAAGTATATACACTCGTATTCATATTTGTTTGGGTGTGTGTGTGTGTGTGTGCATTTTGTAAGCCGGATGGAAATTTCAGTATTACAAAGCCCTTGCCGCATCGGCGGGACAGCTGGCAATGCTTCATTCAACTCAGCTCAGTCGACAGCTATGCAACAGGAAACAAACTTGACAGAATTTATCATTTACTTTTTATATAGCAAGTCTCCAATGGGGGCTTTTGATATTATTGCATTATTATTATATATATATATATATATATATATATATATATATATATATATATATATATATATATATATATATATCTATATATATATATATACATAGACAGATAGTCAAGAGTGTTCGGTGTCGGCAATTGAAAATGATTTGCGTCTTAATATGGACTTTGCTCGAATAGAGCAGCTGACGAAAATGGAATTGAATAAAATAGAATAGAATTCTTATCAGCTGCTGGGAGACGAATGAGCAAATGTCACAGATTCGTTTCATCAATTTGCTAAGTATGTATATCTCTATATATATTTATTTATAACAAAAAATTATGTTGATTTGCATATATAATCTAGCTAGACAGACAGAGAGAGCAAGCTCAGTTTTCAAAGTGAGTCAATATATATATATACATATATATTTATATATATATGTAGCATATTATGCGAGGCATGCGAGCTCGAGAATAATGACGAATGCCAGCTCTCCTCTCATCCACTGCTTTGTTTGTGTAGGCAGAAGAATTCAGTGAGGAATTTTCATAATGCGACCTGAACAAAACAGAAAATATTATAATTAAATGCGAAATGTTTCGATTTACATACACTATGCATACATGTATTTAGGTTGCAGGCACAGTTACCTTATAAAAATTCATTAACGACGTTTTCTTAGCAGGCTTAGGCATTCTAACCCATATTTGTAGTTATAAATCAGTTAATACAGACTAGTTTACTCTACGCAACACAAATGTAATATATTTCTCCTCTGTTATCATCTCAGTATTAAATTATTAAGTATTGTATTGCACTTTGCAAATTTACCGTGAGCTTCGTCGACAATGGTTAATGCTCCGTTGGCCCGAGATGTTTTGGATAATCCAATTTTGGTGGCACCGCTGCCCTATATCAACTTTTTACGTTACTTTAAGCGCAAGCATCCAACATATGGAGTACGGCGCCTGCTGCAGGAGGCGCCCGCCCACTGGGATGCCATGACCAAAGGACAAAAGAATCTATTCCAGAAAAAGGTGAGCAACAACACAGCACAACACACACACGGCTATAATCTGCTATAATCGATCATCTTTACTCATCATTTCAAGCGCATCCTGGCGAGAGTAGCACGCTCCCCACAAATTCGACTCTGTCGCGTCCTGCATCGCAATGAATGCAAATCAATTGCAAACTACATGCGCAGGACGTTTAGACGCAAGCAAAATAATCGAGCTAAATAATTGACTTAGCTGATTTAGCTATTCCATGTGTTAATATGTTCGCTTCGTCACAAAGTACATGTGTAACAGATCAAAATTTACTGTGAGACAATATCAGAGGTCTAATAACGAAGTCGGATTAATTGTAAAACGACAACACCATTTTAATATGTGAATATTAATAAACAAAACGTATTACTAGGGACGACATAAACATATGCGAACTTCACTTCCTCGTTACAAGCATCGATAATCCTTTTCCTGTTTTGCTGCTCACCTGGGCTGCAGTTATTACAAACAAGAAACGCATAATTTGTTTCGCCTGAATGACAACTGACTAAGCGGAACAGAATATCATAATGTAGGCTTGGATCCCTCAGCCAAAGGCGATATGCAAACACCTGACGATGACTTTCACTTTCGCTTGCTTTATGCGTTTCTTCTTCCAGTTGTTGTGGCATGTGCGAGAGAAAGACCAAGAAAGGGAGGTCCCTTTATATCGTTGGTTGTCACACTAATGGGAGTCTGTTTTCAAGAGACTTGTTCTAATATATCTTGCAAAGTTTGATATATATTTACAAGGGGTTTTTGTTTGGTTTGACCTGAGAAACTATCGCAAAAACATTCTAAACAAGAAATAGAAAATAGTTATTCCTTGTTTAGAATATTTTTTATGGCTTGCTCAACTTATATTAAACCAGTTCTAGTTCAAACCCTCAGAGATCACAACAAATTTGCATCGGTTCTTGGAGGTTGGAAACAGTTTTATATTAAATCAGCTTAGATATATACACATTTTGATTGTGATTGAGAGCAGACTGGCTTTTAATAAGCCTTATATACTTATTCTTATTCTTCTTATCAAAAGGATGAAACGCATATATTTTATAGTTTATTCCGGCCAGATTAATGTAGACCTCAGATGGACTGAATAAGCCTTTGCACAAACAACTTTTTTACATTTTCAATATACTTGTTGGAGTCACATTTTTGAAGTCAAATGATGTGAAATTTTTGTTCAGTTCTGTTCTGGTCAAAACAATGGCTGTCGCTTGTTTGGTTATTGCCCGCACATGTGCGGCACAGAAATTCTCTACATAGGAATTTGATCCCCAACCTCGTCGCTCATTTTATCGCCTCATAAACAATCTTTTCTCTGCCTGACTGACTACTTTGAGTACAATGGAAAAACAACAGCAATAAATGGATGAAATGCATTGGGTGCGTAATCAAGTAAAAATGCGGGAAGGGACAGCACACAGACTCCCATTGCAGCAGAAGTACAAATGAAGCGAACCATTCGGTTGCTTGCAACATGGCGCAGTCTTTAACAATATGCATCATTAGGAATAGGAAAGTGAGAAAGTAAAAAGTGTACACTTTAAAAAATAGTTTATGGTTTTAAATTTACAATTTAATTAGTTTGTATTCTAAATTAAATTTTAACTTCTCACACACAATGCTCTGTCAGCTCTTCTCTTCATTCAATTTTATTTCAAACTGCTCTTTAGCTTGACTTAAATGCAACTGTTATATAATTATATAATGTGAAATCACTGTGCAACGTTCGACGAGCCATTTCCTCAAATCTTTACCTATTTAATTAGATTATGGCAATAATGACTTTATGACTGTCCTGTGTTGTATTTGTGTTTGTGTTTGTGGCTCAGCAACTGCCATTCAGCTAAAAAAGTATACAGTTTCTTTCATTCATGACGTCCATTTCAGCCAAACATCTTATGTCAACAACACAATTGGCCAAACTATGTGGCAAGCTTGGCATATGGTAAAGAGTGTATTTATTAGTCGGCACCCAATGGGGCTCTCCTCTCTATTGTTTTCTTCGAAATCAGACATTTGAGTGGCCAATGAATAAAATGGAATTCGTATTTAAACAGGTGGAGACTCTGAGAGCGACAGGTTTCCAGCACTCCAATGTCGGAAATCATTAGTTGAAATACCAAACTGGTTCGCTTTGGCTTTGGCTCTGGCTCTGGCTTTGTAACGTCTTTCGCCGTGGACAACAAACAAAATTTGCTCGCTTCGCATGTTTAACTCTCTGTCTGTGGCAGTTAAGCAACAATTTGTTTGAAGTGTTGGTCAATTTTGACTAAAGGGGAGACTAAGACGGTTTCAGTGATTATGTCACTCACCTATTTCGTATTGCTCATCTTTACTTTTTACTGTTTTCAGAGAAACAAATCTGTTTTCGTTTAAGCTCCGCTACGTTATGCAATGGCAAAAAATATCCGTAAAAAAGAGAAATACTAATAGAACGAAACGAATTAGAAGCAAATCAAGTAATCATGAATGCTCAACCAGAAGATACCTCGCAAAAATATATATATATATATTTTTGCTCAAAACGAAATGAATTTACAGCTAAAACCAAACCAACGCGTCAAAGAGCAATCTCAACAAATACCAAATGAAAACACAGAGAAACGAAGCTTCGACGACAACGCTTCGGAAAGCCGAGCTTTGGCTTATGACGCAGTCGCTTTGTATGAACAAACGAACCAGCGAACGAACGAGCGTGTGCTGTGAGACAACGGTAAAGTTTTGTATACAACATATGCACTTAATTTTGTTTTGCACCTCGTCGGTATTTTCGTACTCACAGTTTGTTATGCTGTAGCTGTTGTTGTTGCTTTGATTTTGCTGTTGCTGTTGTGCTTGAAAGAGTTCAACGACATAACCGCTCTCTGTGACTGCTGTAAGGTCGCCGCTGAATTTTACATTACATATTAACTTACGTTCGGCAAACAAAACAAAAAAAAAACAAAGTTTCACTTTCGTAAAGCTCTTAAAACCCAATACAGCTAGAGGGCGAATACAGAGAGACAGAGCGAGAGAGAGAAAGAGAGTGAGCGAAAAGCTTAGATAAATGAACGGGAATAACAGCTCGATAAATACGATCACAATAAGGGTGCGAGCAGAATGATTGCAACTGGCTTGAGGTCGGGCGTACTCTCTACACATACAGCAGCCAATAAATACATATGCACACACTCACATACATGTATATATATGTGAATGTCTCGATAAGCGGTCAATAGCCAGCAATTAAACCAGGAAACAAGAAATTCGCCTTCTAGACAACATAAACAACAATTGCTTAAATGTCACATATCAGTGAGTGCGTGTATGCCTAGCGGCACGTGGCAACATCATTGAGCAAGTACAGTGAAACTGTTCAAACGAACAACTCGCTCAGCTAGCTTTTCTTTTGATTTCCATTCCACCCCACCCCCCTTGCTTTTTTCCGAACAATGTGCCTTTGTTGTCTACAAGAGCTCGATGTAAGCAGATGCAGAAAACAGAAAAAATTATTAGAAATTTCTTTAAGCAACTGACTTGTAAAAGACATTTTAAATATTTTTTATATGAATATGTAAAATCACTTATTACTTTCTTACTGTACTCTTTACGAAGCTTAATTAATCGAATTTTCATTTTACAATCTGGGTAAACAATTTTTTACGTCAATTACTAAAAATCATACATTCACAATACACAAATGATACATTCTCGATCAACATCAACATCAAGAGTCGAGTCGACTTATCCAATTCGGACTGTGTATGACGACACAACGACCTCACAGACTATAAAAGCAAAAGATTTCAAATTTAAGATATGCAGAAGCTATCGCCGAACAAGACAGATAAAGTTTATTTGAATTTACTGATAACTAAATCAATTTTAGAACAGCAATAATTATATAGTTTTTTATGATCGGGGATTTTGTTTTAAATTTCGGGTTTGTAGCATGCACTAATTAATGATCATGTGCAGTAATATACAAATCATATTTGAGGCTTGCAAATTTTTTAATGTTCAGATGACGTCAGCAATAACGGAGCAGATTGGAAAGAAAAATTAGTTTAAGTGTTATTTTTTAAACGGGTACAGGGTATCTTATAGTCGGGCACGCATGCTTATTATTCACCAACATATTTAACGACCGATTGGCAGGCATGAGAGACAAACGCGACAGCACAAAAAACTTGTGCGAAAGAAGAGCCGAAACAAGCGCTTGCAGGTGCATGTGCGTGTGTTTGTGAATGTGTGTATGTATATATGTATGTATGCATGTATGTATGTCTGTATGTCTATATACGTATTAATACAGTTGTGTTGTGATTACCTTTATATTTGCAACAGTTGCAAGCAACGAGTATTAATTCCTGGTTGTGCAGGGTAATCCAAAGTTTGTGCAATATTTAAACAGTTGTTTATGATTTTCCTCTTTTGCAGTTTGCAGTTTCAGGCGCTATTAACTGTAAATTTTTCATCAAATAGCGTTTGTTGTAACTTTTACACTTTCACTTGATGTTGGGCATTGTTATTAGAAATCACAAACAAACGAGGCGAAAATATTTCAATTTTTATGTTTCGCTCTCTTACACACGCATTCACAACACACACCCACAATTGCACAATTGCAGGGACAGTGTGCAATACGAAACGAAAACAAGCTGCAACTGAAATATATGCGGTCACACTAAATATTTGCTTATTTAAAGTGCCAAATGCGTAGAAATACGGCTCACTGTTAAGTTGCTTACTGGTGTTTCTTTTGTTGTTGCAAAACAAACACACAAGCTCAAACAGCGACAACAAGAGCACAACGTACATATGTATATATGTATGTATACAGCCCACTAAGCACACACACATACAAGCACAAATTGCGGCTTGCAAAAATCTCGTTTTGCCTTTCGTTGTGTGTATCAGCGAGCTCAATTCTACTTAAACCGACATTTGACAACAGCGGGCACCACTTGTTTCAATACATGAAATGCTACACTCTTTATTAATCAAAGCTTTATTTTGATTGCATTCAAATATTTGTTTAATTGGTCTCGCGCATTCTTTTCCTTTTGTTTACCATGCATGTTAATATATATCTACTTACATACAGGCACTTACACATTCACATAAAATCAAACAAGACGCGCACGTACACTCATTCCTTTCTGTATATGTATTTGCAACTATACTGCATACGTCAACGAATTTTTATATTTGTCATAGCGCATATTTTTGTTAATTTGCGCGATAAAAGCTTTTGTTTTTATATTGCTTTGGTTTTCCACTGCACGAACAAATTACGTGAACCAGCTAGACACCGACGCACACACCCAATTCGTTCAATTATTTTGTTGCTACTGAACGATAGAGATGATACTTTACGCATCTTCCGATATTTCATATTAGCGATGTCACACTATCGCATGTGTTATCGATAAATACACGATGACGCCCGTTTGCAAGATTTTGAATTACTTTCGTGGATTATTATTCATTTTTGGAAACTTTTAAGTCTATGCGAAATTGATTTGACATTATATATAATTTCAATATTATTTACAATAAAAAGGCTTTTAAAATTCTACTAAGTTAAACAAATAAGTAGTGGAATAGTTCTTAACGGTCCGTTCAGGGTTCAACCAACCCTTGGTATGTATATGTATATCTATGTGTATTTATACATATATGATTGTATTTATATTGTTTTCGGCTATCAGAGAAAGCGCTGACTGTCGACTGTCCCATTGACGAGATTTGCGAGACATTTATCTTTGCAATGCCCTTCATTGATTAAAATAGCATGCACAAGGAATAGCAACAGTGAAAGAAACCACCCAAAGCATTGAACCGCAATGAGTCATCCAATGCGGAAAGCCAAACTGATTTCCGACTCTTTAAGGGGACGTTCTCGTGTTATAATTGCTTAAGGATGTTCTATTTATAATGATTTCACCAGAAAATGAATATTGCAACTATTTAAGTACATACAAATACACATACACACACATTTCATTTGTTAGTTTGCATCTCAACAATTTCTTTGAATTGAATAATGCGTTTTTAAGTGACGCTTAGAGAAGCATTCTTCAGTAAATTGTGCAATTGTCAAAGTGGCCGTCAACTATGCGGGATTAAGACAGCCCAAATTAGACATGAACTCCAAGTGTGTCACAAAGCGTTGCAGTCGCACACAATTTATCCATATACAGATACATAAGTTACAAACATAGAAATATAAAAAATAAGATAAGATGCTCTGCCGCCGATTATGCCCGTCAAGTGGTCCAGCTGCCAATGATGAGTGGCCATGGCGACAGTTCAACAATCTGTCTGTGCAAAGGGGCCAATTAGCTGTTCCGCACTTCATGTTACATTCCACTATTTGGCATATGCATGTATATGTAGTTATACATATGGTTAAACATATGTGTACATACATAAATATATGGATACAGTGGCTCAGTTCTCAAACTAAAAGATTTACATAAAGTACAAATTGGTATGCTGAAAACATCAAATTATTGTACAGTTTTTTAAGATTCTTAGCTAACGTAACTAAAGCTGAAATATTCTTACTGTCTTGTTCCGATTTTACATATTGTGTTTGACCAACCCAGGCAGGACAACTTGACAAATTCCAAGTTTTGTCATGTCTGTGAAAAGAATTGTGTAAGAAATTTCTGAACATATATTATTTATAAATATATACATTTTCATTTATACATGAATAGATATGCTGAACTAATATACTTATAGCAAATATAAATATAGAAAATTACTAAACAATAAGTCTGATAATAGATTAACTCAGTAATAACTATAAACTAAATTTTAAGTAATTAAAAATTCACTTACAACAAAAACAAATATCTATTATTCATTTAGCGCTATATTTTATAGCAAAGGAACTTGTATGAACTTGTGAACAATAGATTCATGCCTATCGCTATACGCTCACCTATAGCCTGAAGAGTTCTCAGCGGCTGCTGATTGTAAACATGTGGACAAATGTACCGTTGCACACCAAATAGCCAATGAAAGTAAGAGAGGGAGAGTTGCTCTGGCAGCGAGCAGCCACTTGAGAAATTAATAATATTGCGATTACATCTGTTGTGTTTCATTGAAGACTACAGCAGCAGAAGTCAGAGACATGAAAATGCAACGTCGAACAAACAATTTCATTGTTTTCACAGTCTTGCATTTTTTACAAGGGGGAAAAATCATAAATTTGTTGACTAATTTATTAATGTAGGCCAGGCGCCAGATTCTTTTGGCTAAGGAAAGACAGAGGGAGGGAGGAGGAGGATAGAGGCGATTGCTTCTGTTTATAGAGAGACATGCACATTCCATAGACTGATTGTATCTGTTCTGTAGTAGTGTTGCTCCAGGGTATATTGAGATGCCAATTGTGGGACCATTTAGCTGCGACAAATGTTGAGTAAAAGTAAAGCAAAGGGGAAGCAACTTTGATGTAAAGGCGCGCACATAAACCAAGAACTACTTCCCGTTGCCCCACAAACAAAAGAGAAAAAAAAAACAGAAGAAATAATTGTGAACAGCGCGATAAAAGGCTAACGGCAAAGCACTTGCACAGCAGGAATTTCATGCCTTTTGGATGGGGAACATCCCCCAATGCGTGTATTTTTAGTCGCTAAAGTTCCCCAACTTAAGAAGATGCTCCAAATCGAAGAGGGGCGACATTTGGCTGCCTGCAACGCCCAAATTGAACTTCTTTGTGTTCCACTTTAAGTTCTCAAAATATGTTTATGGCATGCAAGACGCATTTAAAAGTCGATCTATATATATATATATATCTTTTTTTTATATATGTGTGCACATTAAAAAGAGAGACAGTATTTATTCCGTCCATAGATTTCGTCCAGGTATTTAGGTGTATCCAAACACTGACGACCCCTCAGGGTGCGCCCTGTTGTTTCCCCAGTCTATGACTTGTTATTGGAGCAATATCTTTAATTGTGTATTAATCTATTTCGTTCTGAAGACATTGCGAAATGGCTGCATTGAGGGAATAAACATAAAACACTACATTATAGCGCGAGACTGAATATATTGTACTATAAAATATATATACTTCGATGTTTCACAAAAGTTTCTAAAAGACAAACACATGTGAGCCAATACCGGAGCGCCTTGTTTGCTTTGGACGTTCGATTATTCATGGCACTCCTATTAAAGAGAATGAAGTCTTCTTAGTGGGAGTGAGGAGTGTGGAGTGTGGAGTGCAGAGTGCAGAGTGAAGTGTTTCGAGTCCAACAGCATGAAATATGAGTGACACAAACTGTGTCAGAGGGTTGCTGCATATTGATGTTTGTCAAGCACTCACACACACAGACACAGCCACAGACACAAACACAGACAACAGCTAGCAGCATGTGACCCTGGCTTGCATTGAATATCTCCGACAAACACCCCCATCTAGAGCAATCAGTACAGTCATGCATGAGCCGGGCCTAAGGGTGGGCAGCGCAACAGTGGGCTCATTCAAATTGTGGCTTGTGCTCTGCGTGACTTTGACACCATCTGCTGCTGGTAATGCGGGCTGAAGTCTTCGAGTCAATGATCTATTAGATGAAGATGAGTGATCTGACAGCGGGTTGATTTTCCTTAATATATTAAAAAAAAGAACGACTTCTAAACCAAAAGTAATTACTAATGTTTTGCAGGGATGCGCACACGCATAAGTTTGCATTTGCCCTAGTCCTCGCACTGAATGTGCGTGTCATTTGGTCAGAGTTTGGGTTTGGAGTTCGACTCTAGGTGTGGCCGAAGTAACGCACCCTAACAATCGGCTTTCCTGGAATGGTTAAATTGTGTTGTATTCCTACACACACACACGTAGGCACGCAGGCTCACGTACAGCAACAAGCAAACGTTCGTCACACGCGCACTGGGCCATTGTCTAAATGCTCATTTAGGTCATGTTTCGGACAGGGATACAACGGGCTTGTCGCTCGCTTGTTTAACCTGGGGTCAGAGCTTTTCAGTTAATTGTGGGTGTTAGCCAGATTGCCAAAAGACATTCAAAAAAATATATATAATTCTTTGCTGGTAAATTGAAGAAGCGAAAGGAAGCGCTTGTTGTATTCCTTTCCTCATTTATTTTGTTTTCACTCTGCTTTCACAGTTTATAAATTACTTAAGGAGTTCTGGGTTGACGCACGTCTGCCAGGTTTTCAACTTATCAACCCTCAGCTTACTTACGACAGACACTGTGTAAATTGTTGTGCTATGAAAATCACTTATGTATCTCACGCTTTCTATTCTTTTCTAGTTACGTTCCCTGAAATATGGAAAACGTTTCCCAACACCCGCTAATTGTTTGACTTGACAGACAAAGGCTCCGTCACAGGCACTTCAAGTAAAACGCAAACGGATGGGCATCTGTGTTTAAATTAGTTATAGACCAGGCGTACATCTGGAGGCCAGCTCACCAGCATATATTTATAGCTGCTGTTTGGGTGCCGGAAGTGCTGGAAACTAATTATTTTATGGTAACAATGATCGCTAGGCCATGTAGATACAAGTATAGTCTTTATTTTATGTACAGCTATCAGATTATTAAAAAACATTTGCATTTCGTGTTCATCTAGTTTATTTGCGCTTCTTGGTGCCACCAGATTTTTTCTGTGGCGCTGCTTTGGGCCTCTGATTTTTGCGCATACTCCGCTTACGATTTTCTTCCTTCTTGGTCGTGTTTTCTTCTTGACGCCTCTTAATAAACTCTAGACGCATTCGCGACTTTACAATCTGTTCCGGCCTGCGCAGCTCCTTGTCATTGCCGCTAATGCGTTTCTTCAACTCGAGTTTGGCATTGTAGCGAGCATGTCGGCCCACAGGATACCGTTGCGCATGAGACAGCGGCTTGAAGTTGTCGTCGTCGCTGCCTGCATTTTCGCGCTGTAGTTGCTCCTCGATTTTGGATTTCTCTTTCCACTCGTTGTAGCGACCTGTCTTGAACGAAGCGGGTATCCAAGCGCCGGATTCTGTGCGTATTTTGTTTGCGCGCGGATCTTGAACGGAGACCATTTTCTTTTTTATACGATCCCATTTCTTGAGTCCAGGCTTGTGCTTCATCTCCTGTGCTGCGTTCCGTTCGACAACAGAGAACTCGGCATTCCGCGCTTGGCGTTCGAATGAGTTGATAGCGAGACCATCTTCGGTGTGTTTATCTGCCGACTGATAAGGCACATAGTTCTCTTCATCCTTGACTTGCATCTTGCGTTTCTTCTTTTTATGTTTGTCTGCGTATAGAGCATCCATGTTCTGTCGCTTTTTCGGAGCAACCACCTTTTTAAATGTGGTGCTAATCGATTCATCATCAGCACTTGTAATGGTGCTTGGCTTCTGGGCATCCACAACCTTTTGCACCTCATCAATATCCTCCTTAGCGCGTTGTTGGCGAAACTTTTGAATGACTTCTGTGTGGTGCGAACGTTTGTCTTTCATAACAACAAAAGGCACCGACTTTTGGGTCGTATTCAATTCAAAAATGGTCTATAAAAATACATATTATAAATTATTAAGATCTTCTAAGCGGTCATAAAAACAACTTACTCCGCTTGGCCGAAAGTTCCGCATCTTGACCAATATATCATGTTTTTCATTCTCCAATTTACGCTCACATTCTGCAACATCAGCCCTGGATTCTTCATTAAGTATTTTGCCAGATATCTTAGCAGCTTGCTCGAGTACAGGCGCAGCGTTAAAGAAATCCTCGAGGGTCTTTAAAGCAAAGAATTTGATCTTCTTGGCCCGAGCATTCGCATCTGTGGACGCAGTAGGACGCGAGCTCAAGTACTTCTTGTACGCATTTTCACTTGTCCGCAATACGCCTGCCTATATATCAAACAAAATATTTTTATGTTCAATTATTCCAAATGCTATAGACAATAACTTACTATATGATGACTCTTCTTGATCTCGGTTACGCCCAGATACTCCTCTTCTAGCAAGTCCTGTGGTATGGTGCCAATAGATGAGTTATCATTGATATTAAAAGGCCGATTTAAAAACAAGTGCAAATCCAGCAGATGAGCTGTGTCATCTGTGGAAAATATAGAGTAGGCTGTGCCAGTGCGTCCCGCACGAGCACAACGTCCCACGCGATGCACAAATAGCTTCGGAACGCCTGGGAAGTGTAAGTTTACAACATAGTCCAAGTTTGGTATGTCAATACCACGTGCAGCCACATCTGTGACGATTAGAGCCGAAACCTTTTTGCTAGCAAATTTTGCAGTATTGATTTTACGAGCAGCTGGATCCAAACTGGAATACACTGAGGTATTTGATATGCCCGCTTGAGTAAGTATCTAAAATTAAACTAATATAAGCGAGTGCACTGAAAGCTGAATAACATTTTCCTCACATATGAAATAAGTTCGACGTGATGTTGTGTGCCGGCAAAGACAACTGTCTGCGCTTGTTGGGGTATCACATATTTCAGCAGTACTACCAATGCAGTGTAGCGATCATCAGGTCGACAATACAGAAATTTAAGGGACAGCGTATCTGGCAGCTTAGATTCTACATCTAAACGAATCAGCACAGGATCACTGAGTCCAGCCCGTGCAAATTCAACAAGAAGCTTTGGCAGCGTTGCTGAGAACATGACCATTTGCCTTGAGGATGGCAAGCGATGCAGCGTTTCGTTTAACTGCTCACCAAATCCCATTTCGAAAAGTCTGTCAGCCTCGTCGAAGACAACGTACTCTGTAAATTGATCGGGGACAAATTATAATCGGTATATTTAAAGTCTCTATGATAGGGCTACCTATGGAGTTCAGTTTCAAGTCCATTTCCACACACAAATGCAGAAAGCGGCCAGGCGTTGCAACAATGACATCTGGACATGTGTGTATGGCTGAGAATTGTGAGTCCATCGAATCACCGCCCAGCACAAGGATCGTCTTCAGTTCCATAAAACGACCCAGATCCTTAATGAATTTATATGTTTGCACTGCCAACTCACGCGTCGGCGATAGGATCAAGGCACGTGCACCTTTTGTGGGCTCGCGGCGTTGCAGCTTTTCGAACATAGGAATTAGAAAACAGGCTGTTTTGCCGGAGCCTGTTTTGGCCATGGCAACAACATCGCGTCCCTCCAAAATCAATGGAATGGTTTTTCGCTGAATGGGCGTGGGTACCTTGTAGCCACGTTTGGTTATACCCTTCAGTAAGTCGAATCCCAGACCCAATGATTGGAAGCCACCGCTTTTTTTCGATTTAGGTTTGGTTTTGAGAATATCATCGTTGCCGCCACTGGTGCCGCTTTGCTCCAATGACGGAAAGCCAGGTATTTCATCATGCTGCTTTTTACGCTAAAATTCAATAACATTTTAATATACATTTTTATATTGCAGCACATATTTGCTTACCATTTCAGCAGAATTCAAGTAAACTTATTTACACGTGCATATGCAACAGTGTGCCCGTTAATGATATAGTAGATTTTAAAATGTATCGATAGTATAAATATCGTTAAGGCCCGTGTACTTATATATATCGATAGGCTACATATTCATTTCAAATCTATAGTGCCGATACAGGGCTTTGGTGCTTGAGAGGTTACCCATTACTGTGCTACATATTTGAGAGAAGTTCTAATTCGTGACGTCATGCGTTACGCTGCCTTATTCCAGTGTACGATTATTATCTTTTTTACGAAAAGCAATCTAATATAATGTAATTTCATATGATATTTATTTAAAATAATGCATTAATAAATTTATTGAATTATATAAATAGCGAATTCGACTTCAGATCTGGTTTCGATGTGATTGTTTCTTCTCTCTGCTGTTTATTTTTTATAGACGTTCCTGTCGATTAGCTTATAAAAAAAACACATTGATTAAAGTAATTGAATAATTTGAATTGTTCTACATACTGAATGAGAGTGTTATATCTTGGCGAGTGGCATCTGTTAAATTAATAGCTGCTGTAGTTAGTAAATCGATCTCAGCTGAAATACAATTCAACATATCGATTCGTTGATTTTCTGTGAAGGATGCAAATAAATTCAGTTTCGGATCCCAGAAAGATAAGAGCTTTGCACTCGTTGCCAAGCAATTTTCCAGCTCTCTAAACATCTGCACAAAAATAACATTTAACAAAATATATAAACAAATGACTTATCTTTTCTTACATCGATCAATATTTCGTGGAGTTGTTTGGTTTTCCAATAGTTCTTTGGCCTGGCGGCTATTTGCCAGAGCAGTAGGGTCTTGATGTAATAGCTCTTCAAGATGCTAATATTTTGCTTTGAGTCGCGAAATTTTTTCATCAGTCTAATGACATCCTTTAGCTTATAGTTATCCTTCAGCATGGCGTACTCGGCCTCAGAGTAGGACGCCCTGAAGGACACATTGTTAGGTTTGAACGGCTTCAAGGGCTTTGGAATCGCGCTCCAATAGGGACTATTTCGAAAGTACTCCAGTTTCTCCCGAACCACAACACTTTGCTTTGCATTCAGCCTGATGGCTGGGACGAAGTCCACAGAGTACTTCATGTTGGGCTCGTCGATAAATATTGTGTGTGCCGGTCCACATCTTCTGTAATCGAGTGGCGTCACCTTGCCATCGACTTCGATTTGGTTATTCATTTTATTTAGGGCTCGCGTCACAGCGCCCTTTATCAGGTCCTGCAACTTGTCCTCGAGCAGCAAATTCTGCGCAGTTACGATTTTCCTCAAGTTCGCCAATGTGTTATGCTGATGCTGATTTTGAAGAGCTTTGAGCACATGCGTCATGTCTAAGATCACATTGCCCGCATTTCTATGATCCCTGCTCACAACAATTCTGTCGTTCTCCGGAAACCTCAGGTGTATTACCAAGTCGAACTCATCGGGCTTGGCTACTTTTAGGTTGTCTGCATAACTTCCTGCCAAGAAAGTTGGTATTAGTGAAGTACTCTTGATCTACTACTGATCAGGCTTAGTGAGTCGAGATACTTGGGCTCGAATGCCATTGGAGTTGACTTCTTCGTGCCACTTACCACCTAGTTTGTGTCCGCATAGCCATTTGCCTAGTGGCTGCTCCTGCTTCAGTGTGGAATAGAGCTTGTCGCGCAGCCTGCCATAGTGATTAGTGTAGGACCTTCGATCTGCATCAATATTTATAAATTGGGCGATCGTTAACTGAAGAAGTTCTTCCAGATTGGACATTGCTCAAGTCGATCTTCAACTGAACGCAGCGAGCAGCATACTAAGCGCGCCTGATAAACAAAACGAGAAGTGAAACGCACAAAACGACTCAAGTAGAGCTCATGCCCAATACTGCCAGAGGGGCAAGACACATAGAGTATACAGAAGAAACAGTTGTACACAAGTAAGCAGAGGAGTCACTGAGAACATTGTGTTGAATACACACACACATTTGTTTATAATTAATTAGCTTGCGACTCTTTGGGATACTCCAGGAAACATTTCAGAAACAAAAATCCTAATTTTGTTTATATGAGAACAAACAGTGGATGGGCCGTCCACAGCGAGCATTCGTCGAATCAGTTGATTATTAAATTGGGAAATTATGATCGAGCCGTACAGTTTAATTATGCTCGCTCACGAAGTGAAGAGAGTATATTGGTTATGTCCGTCAGCCTGCTTCAGAAATTTGACAACAAAGTGGACGGACTTGAGTCCCATTGAGTTCTCTTGATTTATTGACACTTGACACCACTTGGCACAAAATTTACTGTTGATCCAATCTTAAGTCCTGCTAAGGGCTTAGCACAGCACAATATTAAATATATCTTCTTCAGCTTTGCTTCAGTTTTAGTGTCTCCTACACAGATGGAAGTTGAGAAAACTCTTGAAAACTTGATCTTGATATTGAGAGTTCAAAGGGAAAGTCAAACCGCATCGAAAGATGCAAGCAAGAGTTGAGCAACAATTTCTAAATTCTCTAATCGTTGACAAACAAGAAACTTTCCTGGAATATGCATTCAAGCTGCTGGCTTTCCAAGAACAAGTACAAATTGAATTCCTTTAATATGAACTTGAAGATATTTGACCAGCTTCAATTGGCCAAGCTGTCAGTTAGCCAATCACTCGTTCATTCAATTGACCGAGTCAGCTGCGTCCTTCACTTTGTTGACTTTAAGTTTTGTTGATCGGAAATGTCGGGAGCTGCCACGCAGAGTTCATTCACAAGAAAAGTGGAAGCCAATGCAAATAGAAATCAGATAATTGGCAATGCTGATAAGCACATGAGTAAAACAACAGATATAGCTGCAGGTAGATTATATTTAATATATAAATAACTGCGATAAGCCAGTAGCTTGATCTGCTGGAACCAACACAAAGTGCTTCAAGATGTTTATAAATGAAAATGTTTCAAATTCTTTGCATGCAATTGACATTTTATGGGCATCTTTTACGAGCCAATTTGAAATAGACTCCCCTGGTAGTGGTCCCGGTATAAACAAATTAATGCCATTATTATTTGCGTATACATGAGCTGCGAGTTGCCCTCGAATTGATAACATTGGGTGGCAGCTGAAGAGCTGTCGTAAAACTCTCCATTCGATAATCGGGATCCAGATAATGGCTCGGCCTGGGAAATATAAGGCCTGCACACGGTCTGGGGCGGACATAGTGAAAGTGAAATTGGTAAAATCATGAAGTACCTGCTCAGCGCGGCGCTCCTCCTGGCCATTGGCCTGCAGCAGATCGATGCGCACGGCATGATGCTGAACCCGCCGAGCCGATCCTCGCGCTGGCGCTTCGACGGATCAGCTCCACAGAACTATAATGACAACGAGCTTTTCTGCGGTGGCTTATATGTGGGTGGCGGATAGCCGGACGGCTGTGTAGCATCTTTTCAAAACTGACATTCTATCATTTCAATCCATGCAGACCCAGGCCAATAATGGCGGAAGATGCGGCTTGTGCGGCGACAACTTCTCGTCTGGCCAGCCACGGGCCAACGAGATCGGCGGCCAGATTGGCGGCGATGGTGTGATCACCAAGAGCTACCCAGCCGCAAATGCCATCACAGTCGGCGTCAAGATCACCACGAACCATCTGGGCCACTTTGAGTTCCATCTGTGCAACTTGGATGCCTTTGGAGGCGAGTCCGAGGAGTGCTTCGATCAGCATCGCCTGCGCTTCCCCGACGGCAGCGATCGACTTGAGATTGGCACCAAGGCTGGGGAGTTCGATGTGACCGTGATACTGCCCGAGGGCCTCACCTGCCAGCACTGCGTGCTCCGCTGGACCTATGTGGGCGGTAAGTGTGCTCCTTCTCCTCGTGTCCCTTAAGCTCTGTCTATTGCCATGATATTTGTGCAGCCAACAACTGGGGCAACTGTGATAATGGCACTGGTGCCTTGGGCTGTGGTCCCCAGGAGACCTTCAAGAACTGCGCCGACGTGAGCATCTACTGGGGCCGCAACATGCTGAAGGAAATGGCACGTGCCGCGCCTATTCCCGCTGTGCCAGAGGAGATTGAATCCGAAGAAGCATGACTGAAAGTAAATGCCTGAACATTTTGTACAGAATCGAAACCAAATATTAAACCAAAGTTTTGTATTGCTTATCTTTATCTTTAAATAAATTGATTAAATTAAAAACTCATCAGGAATTCCGAATTTGTTTGATCCTTTATGCCTTTCTGTTAGCTATGGTGGCCTGCTTGGTTGAACTACTTACTTTTCTAACCCAAGACACAATATCATGAATTTTATTATACCTGAAAGAGTGGCTTGCATTGAACTGCTTTCTTATATTATCGGAGACACTTACCAGAGAGCAGGTTTCACTTCGACCTATTGAAATTTCTTATACCTAAAATTTCGCTTAGATAGAAAAATGCTTTCTTTACTTACCCAAGACGCACACCTAAATATAAATTTGTTTTTCTACCTTTTCGGTTAATATGGTGACATTTTATATGCAACTAATATAATGTCAGCTGCTTGATCGTAGTCAAGACACCCACCACAAGATCAATTCGAGCCATGACTAAATTTATATAAACTTCGCAATTTATTTATATAGACTTATTGAAGGTAGTGAAATGGTCTCTGGATTACTACTCTGCACTTCATATACCTATTAAGCCTTAGACAGATATGGGATACGCCAGAAAAGCCAATAGACGTACTTCATTAATACTCGACTAGAAGATTTTTAAACACAGTTCCAGATGCTACTTCCCTTTTGGCAAATCAATACTTACATTGATCTTATAGATTATATATATGGGATAAAGCGCTAAGGTAGATCTCTCCTGGATTTACTTGATTTTTGTTGTATTTTTTTATTGAAACAGAAATTTGTATATTAGAAACCATAAACTGTTGTGCTCACAGAAATCAACTACAAGAAAAGGTCGACGTCATAACAGGTTTAGCTCAGACTCCGAAACTAAATCCCATCGAAAATTTATTGGGTGATGTTAAGAGGGCTGTGGCTACTGTAAAGCCATCGACTGTTGCCAGAATTTCAAGAGGCTTGGCACCAAATTGCTCTAAAGCGGTGCCAGGACCTGACTGATTCCAAGGCGAATCAAGGCCAAGGCGCAATAAAAAATATTGCGCCTCCTAAGTATTAGACCGTAACAAATGTGTAAAACATATTTTTCATATTTTTAGTAGCCACTACTATTTTTATGAACAACTAAATTTTGAGAACTTTCTTTTCTCAAGCCCTAAGTGCACATGTTCCTACGTTCGGAACCAAACAAACATCTAAATTGATACAAAATAGGCTCGTCTTAATATATATTTAAAAATATTGTGTTCAACACTTAATTGTGTTGCCCAATATTTGGCACTCAATCGCACTACTATTTTTGTGAACACTGCTGATGTGGATGGCTCTAGTGCTGGAGACATAACATAATGAGATCATCTGAACTAGGGAGATCTTTAAAAAAGACCTTCAAGGCATAGACGTTGCTATAAGGGTGACATACATTTTGAAATCAGAGTTTTATGCTGCTTATCAACATTGTCGGCAGTTAACCGAGAATATTGTGCCAAAACACCAATAAACCGTAATAAACGAGACTCTTATCTCAGGGTTGGTTATATCACTTTGTGAACTCTCGCTTAAGCCTTGAACCAAAGACAATAATGCCATGCAGTAAAGCCAAATTCGTAGCCAAGGCTGTAAAATAGTTATAAAGTGAACACTCGCATAATATGCTTGCAATTAGCTGAGTTGCAGGAATTCTGAAAGAATATTTGTATTGAGATCGCATATCAATTTGAGTTTTCTTTAAATTCTAGCGAATACGCACTGTAGTTCATAGAAACCCAATTTCTTTTATATTTTAACAGCTCAATAATATGAAATAATGTCGCAAATATTTGTTTTGTTTCTATGTGTCATCGCTGTTTTGGTAAATATTGATTGGTTCCCGTGGCCAGATATAACGATTCTGCAAAATTTTGGCAATTGTAAAAAGCGATAGAAGACAAAGATAAGCGGCCAATAAGGCTTATACGATCGCTTTGACGGTTGATAACAGCAGTGCCAGAAAGAAATCAGAAATCTTCCCAGAAGATAAGACCTGGAAATGGGCAGATATATAAGACTTGGCCACTGGGACTCGGAGAGCAGTGAAAAGAAAAGTTGAAAGTGTAACAATATGATGATCCTCAGCAAGATTTCAATTGCCGTGTGGATGGTGCTGCTCAGTTGCCTAATGAGGCAGGCCGAGGGACACGGCATGATGCTGAGTCCAGTGGGTCGATCCTCGCGCTGGCGCTACGACTCTTCGGCGCCCAGTAACTATGATGACAGTGGCTTGTACTGTGGCGGCTTTTGGGTAAGCGTCGGCCACAGCGCCTAGACATTGCTTCAACTGCAGCTACAGATTCGACTTTGCAGAAACAAACCGAGAACAATGGCAACTGCGGCCTGTGCGGCGACGACTACAGCTTAGACACGCCACGGCCCAACGAGCTCGGCGGCAAGTTTGGCGCTGGGGTTATAGTCAAGAGCTACATCGGTGGCAGCTCGATTGAGATTAACGTGCTCATAACGGCCAACCATATGGGCTACTTTAGCTTTCATCTCTGCAACCTGGATGCGTTTGGCAGTGAGTCGGAGCGCTGCTTCGACAAGTATCCGCTGCAGTTCCCCGATGGCAGCTTCAAGTACTTCATTGGCTCAAATACCGGCAGCTACGATGTGCGCGTCCAGCTGCCCAGTGGCGTCAGCTGCAAGCACTGCGTGCTTCGCTGGACCTATACGGCGGGTAAGAGCTAACATTAAGCTAGATGTATAGATGTCAAGTCTAACTCGTCTTCAACTCAGGCAACAACTGGGGCATCTGCGAGGACGGCAGCGGCGCCATGGGCTGCGGTGCCCAAGAGAACTTCAAGAACTGCGCTGACATCAGCATTTTAAGCTCTGCCAGAGGCCTCATCGAGGACTTGGCACTGCCTGAGCCAGTGCCAGAGCCTGTTGAATAGACTGCCCCAGCTGTCAACTGTCAACCAAATGTTAATCTCAGGAATTGTTAAGTTTGCTATAGATAGAGAGTGAGAGGCGTTTGTTATGAATGCATTTTTCATTTTATTCAATAAATCTTTTTATAATATATGTATGTGTATATATATATACTATGTATAAACTTTGTTGCATGTGAATTTGTTTCTGTTCCTTTGCTTGTGTGAGTGTGTGTGTGTGAGTGGCTTGTGTGAGCTGTTCTTCAATTTTGTTTCTCAGCTGGCACATCTAATGACTGCAGCCTGTTCCTTGATCGACTTGTTGTACATGAGAAGTGTGAATGGGATTTTGAAAAATATGCTAAGCTCGGCCGGCGCACCTGCCGCACTCGGCTGACTCTCAGCATTAAATATCCTATATGAAATATCTGTATGTATGCTAATGCACAAATGTATAATGTATATATATGTATATATGTATATGTATTTGTATATGTATATGTATATGTATATGTGTGTATGCAATATTTGTAATTTGTAATTTGTTTGTCCACTTAAAACTAGGTTCACAATAACTGCTTAGTAATTAGGCTCACAAATAAGTTTTGTAAATGTTAATTCTTTCTTACAAAGCGTTCAGGTCGTTGGCAAATCAAAGAATCAATTATCCATTAAATCGATTAATTCAATTAAGTAATTTCGCTACTGTCGCACCCTCGACTCGGGTGTCTCTCAGCTAAAGACTTGTGCAATCGTTCACTTAATATAAGCACGTCCCGCCCTCCGTCCGTGTGGCTAAGTACATATATTTGTTTAACAATTAACCAAACAAATTGTGTAAAGGTGACGTTTCTGCTTGCCTTGGGTCTATTCACTATTATTTAAATTGTATTTTATCGTTTAAGGATTGCCACTAGTAATGTCGTCAAATCGTTAGCTCTATGTAGATTTATTAATGTTTAATGTTCATTAAAAACTCTGGTAACCCCAAAAACTACTTAAGTACATATACATTTCCAGATTTAAAAACTATCAAAACAGCTCGGCTCGTATTTTGCTCAATCTTCATATTTGCATTGAAACTGTGCGATTTGTTCACAACTGAATTGTTGGTTACGAGTGTTCTTAAAAGCCTTTTAAAATACAGTTTTGGTTTTTGAAAAAATATAATACATATACAGACGTATGATTTATACACTTCCAAATCTGGTTTCTACAATAATTTGTTGTTGTAAAAGCACGTTGTAAATTTTGAACAAGCTTATGTAAAGTTTACACACTTCTTCTTTTTTTATTCTTTTTTTTTTGTTTTTGTTTTTATAAATAGTTAAATATTTTATCTTGTTTTTTTAAAAATGTAACATTATACAACACTATTTGTTTTTATACCTGAATTTTAGAATTTTGTATCCGAAACGCCATTTTTGGTTTGAGTTTGTCTCTGTGTGTGCGTGTGTGTGTGTGTGTGTTCGTGTGTCATCTTCGAGTTTTGTTACTTAGTGTTTCTTCTGGTAAATTTACTTCTTAAAAAATTTTGTCAGGTCGAAATTGTTTGTTGCCAAAAAGTTGCTGCTTCGCCCTTGTATACTATATGCCTTGTATTGTATAAGTTCTCTTCTTGTTGCTGCCAACGAGAACGTGTCAAAAGTTTTTCTGCAGTGATTTATTTAATTTATTTCATTTTTTCGGTTTTCATATTTGTTTTTTTTTGCGATTTGCCAAAATATTTGCGGCTTGCACTTATCTTAATTGACTAATTTCAATGCCGACAGAGTTCTGGAAGGATGTTGATTGGTTTATCCATTGGTTGCTTACTTTTTCTGGATTGGGTCTATTAACTAACTTCTTTGTGTTTTACGTATTAAGTTTAAAGTTGTATTTGTATTTGTATATATATATATATATATATATATATATATATATGTATATATATATATATATATATATATATATATATGTATATATATATATATATATATTCATATATATTCGCATATATTTAATCATTGGCACAAATTCGCTTTCTGGATTGCTGTTTAGCAATTGCTTGTTTTTTAGGCTGGGATTATGTATATTTCGAGGTTTGAATCAAATTATTTAAATATAATTTTTGTTTTTGCTAATGCGAAACACAAAGTTTAAGAAACATTGCTTGCTGTTGTTATTGTTTAACTATAATAATTTCACACGTATCTTTCGATAAAAACTTTGTTTTATTTTTTGTTTTTTTTTTTTTTTTTTATATAAACATTAACACACTAAAATGTAGTTATTTTTATCATATAAAATTTTGTTTTCATATTCATAAAAAACATAAAAGCTAAACGAAACTAGTTTGTAAATTATAAGTAAGTGCGGCTTTAAAAAGTTGTAATTCAATTGATTTTTACCTCTCTTTTCTTTCTTTTTTAATAACTAACTATTACACAAATAAAAGGTGTGTGTATGTGAGTGTGTGTGTGTGTGTATTGTAAGTTGGCTGTCATTTGCAGCAACTAATGGAACAACTGAAGAAAAAGACTTTCATTTAAGTTTTCAATCGCAAACTAACGCGACAGGTGCAACGGACACAGCACTTTAAGTTTAATGCACACACACGTGATAATACAAAGTTGCTGACATAAAGTTGGGCCACTCGAATTGTAATTTGTTTAAAGCTTGTTTACGAGCTACTTTTACAAACTAAACAGAAGTTGGTATTGGATGTTGGTGTTGTGTCTGTGTTTGTTGAAAGCCAGATGCAGTCACACACTCTATTTATGAAATAATATTAAATAAACGACACTACACGGACAACTAAAGTTAAACATATTATTAATAGTAATAATAATCATAAAAACAATTAAAACATTCATAATTCGTATATATGTATATTGCAGCAACAGTGGAAGACAGTTTTCTCTTTCATTTTTAAGTTTATCAATTTTTTAATTGCATTGTTTATAGATTTCATTATTGCTTTTACTGTTGTTGTTTTTGTTGTTGTTTTGTTGTTGTTGTTGTGGTTGTTGTTCTTCAATATTTATTTGCTGGATACAATTGAAATATATAAGTTTAATGTAAATAATTAAGAAACAACGATCTAAACTAAACTAATTAATTATATAAATTAGATTTGTTTATTCAAATTAAATAGACAACAGTATAAAAAAATAAGGCCAGATTAATAGTAGAATAATGTACATACAATTTAAAAAATGTTTTCTCTCTTCGTTAAATGTTTCAAAAAAGAAAAACAGCTGACAATTTAAAAGCATTTTTACGTGCGGTTTTCGTTTCTTTCGAAAACCTTTAAGACTAATTAAATATATATATATATGTATATATATATTGTATAAATATATAAGTATGGTACAATACAACTACAATTTCGCCACATCGCTTACAAATTGTGTGTTTCTTATCGCTTTGTGTGTTTTGAGTTCATTTTTACAATTCTTTGTTGACTTGTGCTAGATACACTTCAAAATAATGTGCAATTCGTTTTAAGTTTTGATCTTAATATTACTTATTCTTCTTCTTTTTCATCTTGTATTCATTGTGTTTGCTTGTTTATTGTTGCGGTTGTTGTAGTTGTCTGTTGCTTGTTACATGTTTGCCTGTAAATTAATAACTAAGCCATTATACAATAATGTTTCCATACGGTATGTACTTCATATATTCTTCAAAAAGTTCTATCTTCCAACTGGTAACTCCTTCAATTCTCCATTTATTAAGCTGCTTAATAAATTCTCTCTTTCTCTTGCTCTACTGTCTCTCTGTCTCTGTTACGCTTGTAGTAAAAATGCCTATTGCAATTAAAAATTTTAATATTTTTTGTTTTTTTTTTTCATCTCTTCGATTTTGCTTTGTTTCAATATAAACTATTTCTATTGTTTTTTCTTTTACATGTATCTTATACATGCGCTGTATCTATATATGTGTATGTGTGTGTGTGTGTGTGTGTCTGTGTGTTTGGATTATTTGTGTGTGCGTTGCTGCAATTATAAATTTTGTTATCCTTATTTCGTTTACTAATTTCAAGTAATTTGTCACTCGCAGCACATCCAATTCAGATCCTGTTTTCCTGCCAAGCTCCGGCTTCCTTTTGCTCCACCTGCAGCTGTTGTCATTTTGCCTGAGCTCCTTTAGATGTTTGCTGCTGCTGTTGCTGTGTTGCAGTTGCTATTAATGTGGCTGGTGCATACCTGTCGTATAATAATACGAAAAAACATCTATACAATGTTTTCAGAATAGAAAAGGGGAATTCAAATTAAAAGTTTTCAACGAAAATGGCAAATGAAAAGTTAGTTAAGACACAAAATTTGTTTTGCACTCAAATAGTAACGTACGAAAAATTCTATAAATGTTTGTTAATGTGCACAGAAAATCTATCTATGCATCTTTGATCTATCTTTGAGGCTTGTGCTCTTCAATTTATAATTTTCTTATCTCGAATAAAGACTCTCAAAGTTAAATAAATTAAATTTGATTTTAGGATAGATAATCTCTACAACTACATATTATATTCTCCACATCTAGCAGGTCTCTATGTTAGCTCTTGAGCTGCATTGTGCCAATTACCTGACGCCGATCCAACATTTGTTTGGCTGTTCAGATTGGCGCTCAGCGTGGCCGATGACGGATTGGAGTCGGAAGGCGTGTTGGGACCGGCCGAGTGCGGTGTTCTGGGCGGATGGCCCATGTTCTTCTGGCGCACCTCGCGTATCTTCAGCTGCAGATCCTGCTTGCGTGGGAACACATCAATGTGCTTGGTCTGTGGTAGATTTGGATAACGGATAAGTAATTGCTTGCATTTCGTATAGAAATTGTTTTCTGCTTCGTGCACACCTGAAAAGCAATGGTTGCCTGAGCGGATGGGAAGACGCCGTGCTCGTTGAACAGCTGCATAACTAAATTGCGACGCGTTTCGAGGACCTTGCGGTGCCCCTTTTCGCTGACATCGGAGCGCGCGCTCTGCAACGGCGTTTTGGGTGTGCGCGGAGAACGGCCCGTTTGATCACCGGTCTCCAGTTCTGCGGCAAATTGAGGATTAGTTCCAGTAGCGTTTGTGTAAATTTGCGGACTACTTGGTCTTAGTTTACCTCTCAGATCATTGTTGAAGTCGGCGCCAAAGAAACGTTGTGTGGTGGTTGGCGGCGCCGATGCAGGTTCATCAATCGAATCATCTTCGCCCACTGAACAATGCAAAGTGTAATTAGGATCGGCTTTGACTGAACTGAGATTATGGATACATACGTTGCTTCTGCACCGGCTGCTGCACTGCATTCTTTTTGCGGTAGTTGGTGCCATAGACACGCGGCGGCGAGGGCACTGCAATGGCGCTGGGCGATTGGCAATCCTCCGGCTTGAACTGTGGCAGCGCCTTGTACTTCTTCTCAAAGTCCACTTGCCGCAGCACACTGCAAACGAAATCAGACTTAGTCTCTGCAGGCAATGCAATAGTTTTGACCAACTTACTTGTTAATTTCCTCGTTCTTCTTCTTGCGCGACACCACAGCCGGGGCAGAGGCCGGCACGCACCTTATCGGCGACTTGGAGGCCTGACTGCTCAACGTGTTGCCAATGGCCGTGGGCGATAGCGGCTGCTGCTCATCGCTGTTGGGCGTTGTCGTTGACGAGGTGGGCGTGGGCAGGGCGGAGGTAAGGCTGCTGCTGTTTACGTGGCCAATGATGGGCGACGAGGTGGCCACCTCCATCATCGTGGGCGAGTGCAGCTTGCGTCCAAGGTGCTGGCCATTGCTGACTCCACCGTAGCCGCCCGTGCTGCTAACCACGTTATCCGACTTGCTTTGAGCTGCAAATGGATTCAAATTGGTTTACTGCAAATGGCGACGGCGTTGGCGATGGCGCTAAGACTTACATAAATTCTTGCGCCGCTGCAGCGGAGCACGTCCCAGTTGCGCTGGCGTCGGCGCCAGCACAAATTGCTGACCATCAGTGTCCACCTCGACATCCACGTCGGCCTCTTCGGCAGCCTCAGTGCTGTGTTTGCCCGACGAGTCCGGCGGCGCACTAATGTGGTATGTCGCCGACTTGGGCGTCGAAGGCATCGATTTGAATGAGGGTGAGCTGGCCGGTTGCTGCTCCTGGCCATGGCCGCTTGGCGCATAGCCATGCAGGCGTAGAGTCGTCTGCGTGACAACCGGAGGCAGTGGCGGCGGCGGCGCACCCTGCACCCCAAGGCCGCTGTTGTGCTTCTTGAAGATATAACCGGGCGCGAATACATCCAACTGCGGATGCTCCAGACCTGTCGAGCTCTGCTGATGGGGCGGTGGCAGCAGTGGGTACTGTGCGGAAATACGCAAAGTTAGTCCAGGCAGAGTTCAGGGTATTTTAGACGAACTTGTTGCACTTACCGGATGACCCATGGCAAAGAACATTTTCTGAGTTGGCGCCGGACCACCTGAGCCCAGAATTTGCGCTGGCGCCGAGGCGGGCGGCGTGGCAATGCTAGCTGCATGCCCCAAGCTGACGGCTGCCGGGGAGTTGGGCACACAGGCCTGATGGGCTGCGGATGAGTTGGAGTTGATCATAAGAATGGTGGTGGCATCGTTGTTAATGCTGCTATTATTATTGTTGTTGTTGTTAATGCGTTTACAGTTATTATTATTGTTGTTGCTGCTGTTGTTGTTAGTGCCGCTGTCAACAGAGGCTGTTATGGTTAGTTCATTGGCTTTATTAGTGCTATGATTTGCTGCTGCTGCTGCTGCTGCCCCCGCCTTGGTTAGTACGGTCAGCGTGGGCGTGGTCGTGGTGGCCGTCGTGGTCAGAATGCGCGTATTGGCCGGCAGGGTGATCTTATTGCAGGCATTGATGCTGATGAAGGACAACGGACGCAATGTTGCGCCCGACGTTGGCGTCGCAACATGTGTCTGATTGTAGCTGTTGACATCGGTGATTAGCAACATTGTTGCTGGCTGCTGCACAGTGGACGCCTTTATCGATAATGTTTCGTTCAATTGTTGTGCCTGCTGCTGCTGCTGATGCTGCTGTTGTTGTTTGTGGTGCTCAGCACTGTTGTCCTCCTCGTCATCGTTGCCGTGCAGCGTGTCCAGCACCAGGGCGTCGTAGAGTATGGCTGCTCGTCCCGTGGCCTTGTTGCCATCTTGCAGCGTCAATAGTTTGCGTATTATCGACGTTGTTGTTGTTGTTGTTGTCGTTGGAGGAGGATTGGTGTTTGTATTGTTTGTTGTTGTTGTAGTTGTCGCAGCGTTATTGAAATTATTGGGAAATTGAATAAGTTGCTCGTTACAGTGACTAGTTGTTGTTGTTGTTGCTGTTGTTGTTGTTGTTGTTGTGGTAATGGTGGTGGTGTTGGTGGTGGTGGTGGTGGTTGTCATTGAATTTGCTGTTGTTGTTGATGAGGTTGTTAATGCTGCTGATGTCTGAGCTTTGGCGCTCTTGAAAAACAATGGCGGCGGTGTGTTGTGTTGTGGTGTAACGGTTCTTTGGTGTGTGCGGATGATGGTAAAATGATTTCGCGGCAGCGACGAAGCCGTCGCAATGATCGTTGACGTTGGCGTCGGCGTTGGCGTCAGCGTCGGTGTTGGCACGCGCGTTATAACTGTTGGCGGAGTTTCGACGCGTCGCTGATGCAGATGCTTCAGCTGCTGGTGTGGTGAGTTACTCGGCTGCAGTGGCGTCAGCGAGCGCACTATGGTGAATTGCTTGCGCTTAAAGCTGGCGGGCAATGCCGTGGGCAAGGGCGTCACTGGCTTCGGAGGCGTGCACTGCGAAATGTCAACGAGATCTGTGGACACGCAGGCCAGCTCGGCCATGAACTGCTCGTCGTCTTCATCATCGTCGTCGTCGTCATCTTCGTCGTCGTCGTCGTCGTCGTCGTCGATGTCGTCTTCGTCGATCGCTTCATCGGCTGCTGCAGCGTCCTCGTCCGTGGCTAGATCGGTGCTGGGATTGATTATGTCTTGTTCTTGTTTTGGTTCGAGTTCAGTGGCTTTTCGAGTTTCTTTTTCTTTTTTTTTTTTTGATGAAAGTTGTGCGACGCATGGAAATGGACAAGGTAGAAGCGCGCGATTTGTATAAGTGACGAGGTGTGTGTGTGTGTGTGAGAGTGTGAGGATTATGCAAGCGTTTGGAGAAATAGAGAGAAAGATGTTATGCATAAGGCTTTCGTTATAAAACAAAAACAAAAACCTCTCAAGATGAGCGTCAGTTATGTACATACGTCAGATGCAAATGGACGAGGCGAAGGGCGGCGGGTGGTTGGGTGGTTGGGTTTAATTTTGTCTTTGGTATACAATATTCAAAATGCATTTCAAATCATATCAAATAATTAGCTAAAATCATAGTCACAAATAAAGCCAATTCGTTTTGGTTATTACGAAACTAAGCAGAAACAACAACAAAAGGGCAGCGCGGATTTAAATAATAATAAAATTAATGATAATAATAATAATAATAATAATAGTAATAATAATAATAATAATGTTTTTTTTTTCTTTTCGTATTTCGTCATCTAACACTTGCTATGGCTGGAAGCTCACCTCTCACATCGGTCGGACTGCACAGCGTATGCGGCACGGGATAATGGTATTGCTTCTGGCTGAGGGCCGTCGCTATTGGCACATTGAAGTTGAAGATGGCGCTGCTGGGCGGCGGTGCGCTAATCACGCCGCCGGTGGGCACTCCGACGCCGGCGCCATTTAGCTTGTATGGCGATGGCGGCTCCTGCTTGATGTCCTCCTGCTTAATGTGCGCCTGCAGCTGCTGCTCGTCCGACTTGCAACCGGTAGAGCTGCTGCCCTTGGGACTGATGGGCATCGATTTGAAGGCGCCGCCTGCTGAATTGCAAACACAAAAAAGAAAAGTGGAGAACAATGAGCAACTGTTGCTTGGCCAAGGGATTAGTCTTTGTGCTTGCTCGCCTGTGGGTTGGAATGGTGTTACACCGATTGGATTCTTGGGACTCGTGTAGTGCGTGTACATGGGCATCTGTGGGTACGGCAGCATGGTGCTCTCCAGTCCCGGGTGCGCCTTGATGGCCTTCGGCTTCAATGTGATCTCGCGCTCAGCGCTAGACGTCGGAGCGGCCATTGCCTGGCCATTGCAGAGGCTCGCATGGTCTTCCTGAGTGCGCTGCGAAGAGAGATTTAGGATAATAATTTGGTTAGCTACTGTGAGCTAGTCGCCGATGACGCACCTGTTCCGCGTCCGTCTGGAGCTGTTGCTGCGGTTGCTTGCGGTAGTCGTAGGGCGCTTCATCCATGTCCAAGTCGTTGACACGCTCGAGGCACTGCAGATCCAATTTCTTGGCCGGCTGCTCATCCTCGACGACGACCATGTGCTCGTCCTCATCGGAGTGCAGCTCGTTCTTGAGCTGCTTAGCCTTGCAGTTGCCCTGAGACTGGCCAGCAATGGTTGTGGGCGTCTCGTCGCACGCAATGTTGTAGGTGTCAATGGTCAGTGGGATGATGTCGCCCTGCAGCTCGACGGCTTGGGCGCCGCCGCTGCCGCTGCCACCGGGTGTGGAGGGGCACATGTCATCCAGCGAATCGGAGCCATCCACGGAGACAAGTCGCTGCTTGGCATCGGCTGTGCTGGCATTGCCCGCAGCAGCTGCGTTGCCCTTGCCGCCAGATGTTGAGGACTTGCGTCGGTCCTTGGAGCACCATTTCCAATCGGGATGCTGCTGGAAGTGCTCATCCTTCATCGCTTTGGCCAGCTCATGATACTGGGCCTTCTCGTCCTGCTTCAGCGCATACCACCATTCGCCCAGTATTTTGCTAACCGTTCGATTGTCCTGGTTGGGATGCTTCTTGTGCACCACTTTGCGATGCTTCTTGGAGAATATCATAAAAGCGTTCATCGGTCTTCGTATCTTCTTGCCAGCTGCGGCTGCTGGCTGCTGCGGCTGCTGCTGCTGCTGTTGTTGTTGCTGCTGTTGCTGTTGCTGCTGCTGCTGCTGCAGCGCACTGAGCGACTGACTGCGTCGCTTAGCCGCAGACGTCGTCGCACCATCGCTGGCATCGTGGCACTCATCCAATTTGCGTATGTTGCTGTTGTATGTGGGCAGTCGCATGGCTGCCGTCGCTGCCTTCTTGCCATTCGAAATGCCTGGCGCACTGGGCGTCGTCTCGAAGACATCGTCATCCAGTTGGTCTTCGTGCTCCTCAGCCTCGTCCGTCGCACTGGTCCCAGCAGCTGCTGCGGCTGCCGCTGCCGCTGCCACCTTGGCGTCGTTGATGGAACAGTTCAGTGGCTTGCCAGGCGAAGACAGTGGTGCGGGCACAATCAAATGATTGTTGTTGTGATTCAGCGGCGAATGCTGCTGCTGCGCTGCAGACGTTGTCGACAACGCCTGCTGCTGCTGCTGCTGCTGCTGATGGTGCAACATGGCCACGCTGTAGTTGCTGTTTGTGGTTGTCGTTGTCACCGCCGTCGCTGGCGGTGCTTTGGTCACGGCTGGCATTTGCGGCAGTAGCTTTTGCCATGGATAGCTAGCCGCATTGTAGCCTGCAAGGAAGGACACCAAGTAAAGGAAGTTAAGTAGAGAAAGCAAACAACATTCAACTGCGTAGTCATGTCCGTGGTCTCTAGGCTTACATTATCTAAGAAATAACTGAAGATCAAGCGGAAATCCTTTAGGTTTATTGCGTTACTCAATGCCGCAGCTTTTATTGATTTGAAAAGTTGTTATCAATTTGTCTTTGCTTAAATTAAATTTAAATCCAAGCAAATTCAATCAACAACTTCGAATCGGTTATCAAGGGAAAAGCAACTTCCTTATCAGCTTATTTGTGCCAGGTCAATGCAATCAGTCGGAAAATTCTAGTCAACAGTCTATGGGGCACTCACCGTTTTTTGGCAATGACTTGTCCTGTGCTGTCGTCCCGGCCACTGCTACGGATGTGGGCGTGGTTGGCGGATGTGGGTGAAATGCGACCGACGTAGGCGGCGGTGGCTGCGGTTGCTGTTGCTGCTGTTGGTGCTGCTGTTGCTGTTGCTGCTGCTGCTGTTGGTGCTGTTGGCCAACGGAAACAGCCAATGAATTCTGCGAATGAATGTGCGACTGTTGGCCAGCATTCACAATGACAGGATGAAATGTTTGATGGCTGGCTGTGGACACTACAACATGTTGTTGTTGCTGCTGCTGCTGCTGCTGTTGCTGGTGTTGTTGCTGGCTGCTGGAGATGCGTATAACACTAGTCGCATGGCCGAGACTGCTGCTGGGCGGCACGGGGGGCGCTGGCAGCGCATTGAGATGAGCGGCAGGTGGTTGTTGTTGCTGTGGCGGCGGTGCATGCATCACCAGCGAAACGGCCGCCGTTTGTGGCGGTGGCGGCGGCGGCTGTTGCTGCATATTTTGACTGCTCTCCCAGCCATTGTTGTTGTTGTTGCTGTTGTTGCCATTGTTGTTGGTGTTGTACAATACCGGACTGGGTGTTGTCTTCCATTTGCTATCCAGCGGCACAGCAGCAACTGTTGTCACATGCTGCTGTTGCTGCTGCTGCTGCGACTGGTTAGCAATGGGCGTAAAGAAATTTTGCCTATGATTGGACACATTGACCGGGGAGTGGGCGATGGCGTTCAGCGGCGAGGCGCCGGCATGATTCACGGGTGATGTATACGATGGCGTAGCAGAGCGCGAGCTGCTCAGTGACACTGCAGAGTGAGAGAGAGTAGTAGCAGAAACCGAGAGAGAGAGAGAGAGAGAGAGGGAAAGAGAGAAGGGAACTGTTAGATATTTGTTGCAAGCACAAATTGTTTTCATTTCAGTTATTATTACATAAGCACTGTAAATACAATTTAGCGCCCAGCTCAAAATCCTGGAACGCATTCATATTTGCTGTTGCTGCTGCTGCTTGTTGTTGCTGCTTTTTTGTTGCTGTCTACTCGACTGCCGCCTGCTGCTCAGTTAGGAACAAACACTTTGATTGGCATCACTTTCGGCACATATTTTCATTTTCGTATTTAATTTGCTTGAAAACTTTTTTGTCGTCGTTGTCACATTCGTTTTGTCTGCTGCATTCGCATCGGTATTCACTTTTTTTTATTTGATTTTATTTTATTTTTTGCTTTTGCGCCGCGTTCTGTCTTCTTGCCTTGCCTTTGACAGTTTTCAACATTAAATGCGACGACGGCGACGGCGACGACGACGACGACGTCAAAAGAACAGCCAGCAAGCACTTCTACTGAGCGGCCAGCGACGGCGGCAGCGGCAGCATAAACTGAGCGCCGCTCTCTCGCTATCGCCAGTTGTTCGTTTGCTTCGCTCTCTCATGCGCTCGCTCTTTGGGTTCACGCTCACGCTCACGACGTCCATGTTTGTTTACCTGTTGTGTCGGTTGGTGCTTTGGCTGTGTGGGTGCTGCTGCATGTCTGTGTGTCTCTCTTTGTGTGCGTACGTTTGCCTGTGTGTGTGTGTGTGTGTGCGTGTGAGCACGCTCTCTCAAGTGCATTTTTGTTTAGGTAAAAACGAATCAAAGGCAGGGCAAATAACGAGAAAAGAAGAATCTGTTGCGATCCGCACGCAGCGCGCTTTTGTTTCGGCTGCGCAGCATTGTTCGTTTCAAGTGGCGGCGTCGCTGACGTCGCTGCATTGATCGCATGCAGGTGCATTGGAATGCGTGCGCGTCGCTGTCGTTGCCGGCGTCGACGTTGACGTCGCTGCGTCTGCATTTTACTTTTGCGTGTAAATCACGCTGCGGTCACACTTTCAAGTGGCTAGCTAACGTTGTTGTTATTATTGTTGCTGCTGCACGCACACCTCAAACAATAGCACCCCTCATCGACTACGGCCCCGAGAACACCTTAACAAAACCAACGACCTTTGTCCAGAGCGCTGTGCGTGTGTGTGTGGGTTTATGTACATATATGAAATGGTCAGCAGCGGCGCTGCCATAATAAAACTTTATGATAGGCATTTTTATAGAGAATTGGAAATGCATTCAAAGCAGTGTGAAAGTCTCAGCAATACCGAACACTCAGCTGCGCTACATGCTATTTTGTATGTATACCAAAATTTTGTAATCTTCGAATCAAGATTTTTTGGGAGTTCAAGTTCCACTCGAATTCGATGAAATTAGATTGATTGAAATCAGATTGAGCCTAAACAATGAACTAATTAAAAGATTTTACAGATATCAAAAAATCAAGTATTTGAACTCCATTCAGAGCTGTGGTGTGCAGCGCATTTGGCAGTCGTTCGTGCCGAAGCTAAATGCATATCTGTAGAAGCGCCGTCAAGCTGCCTGGATGCAGTCGAGAGGCTGCGCTGCAGAGCGATCTTAACTGTTTTGCAGCTGTGTGGGTAATTGCGTGAACAGAGGCAGATTAACAGCTAAAGCTGGCGCTCATTTGGGCATTGAGAAGCAAGTCCAGCCCAGGTCAACGTTAGCTGGGAAAGCCAGCCTTGAAAATGAATGCGAGCTAACTATGAATAAATAAACGTTTTGCTTTTATGATTCGAGTGGTGGAGGAGGAGGATCGACAGCAACGGCGCAGCGGTGTCATAAAAAGTCAAGAGGTGTGAGTTGCACGTACCTAACATGGCGGCCACATCGGTCTCTTCCTGATCATAGCGACCCGTGACCCGATAGTTGGGCGATGTTTCCGAATCGCGAGAGTTGTCCTCATCGTTTTGTGTTTTGCTGCTCGAACGGCTATCACTAAAGTAGGCAGAGAGAATAAAAAGAGAGAGAGAGAGAGAGAGAGAGAGGGGAAGAGAGATGTGTGATAAGTAGAGAGCGTTAGAACAGCAGCATTGACTGGCAAAGCTGTTAGGTTTATAGCCGCACCTGAGAAAACGACCCGGCCCCGTTGATGAGGGCAGCGCATTGTTGCCCTTCTGATTCAAATGTCTGGAACAATAGCCACGCCGCTGAGATTCTTTCATGCACATCATGCAGAGACGTCGCCATTGCTTGCCATTGTACTTCTTGCGCACTCCGGATTCCGATTCCACAATGTCGCCCTTCTTGAAGCGATGCGGCGTCGTTGCCTGAGATCTGTCAACGAAAATACACTCCTTAATACACAAGACACAGGCACACATACACCTCGCATATGTCTATGTATGCAATTCATGAAATTTAGTTAAGGCACTGCTCAAAATACTTGAGCCAACGGGTTACAGCCGCTGGCAGCGCAGCTGACGCCAGCAGCGCCTGTTAACATAGTTCTCTTGATAACAAGTCTCAAGAGAACATTGGCAAAAATTCTAAATATAACTGAAGTAAATATATATATTTATATATATATATTTGTTGTAGACTTAAGAAGTTTGAAATAAAACTGAATTTAAACAATCTAAAATTGTTAATATTCAACTGCCTTACTACCTTTAAAAGCAAATATTATAGCTAACATTGAATCCATTGAAAATGGAGCAAGAATCTTTAAGAAAGAGTTAGGAAAGCGTTTTCTAATGTTTTTCAAGCAGTTTTGGCCTTAAAATATCTATGATAAAGCAAAATATGTTAATCATTGCTTGTTATCAAAATCAATTTCTTATCTTTAAACATTCTTCAACTATAAAATTACTGTTGGCAGTTCAAGTATGGCCTTACCTTGGTGTTGCTGGATGAGATCGTGGTGTCAGCCTCTGATCGATTAGGCTGGATGTGCTGCCTCGACTTTGCATGCTGCTGCGCTTGCTGCAGGCGCTCATCTTCTCGGCATCCACGTCCCCAGCAGCCGGGGAGTAGTCGATGCCGACGCGCTTCAGCTCATCATCGGAGTCGTAGTCGTCGTAGCCGCGATGCTGTTGCTGCTGCTGTTGTTGCGCTGGCGATGGCACGTGCATTTTTAGTTGCTGGTGGTGGTGCTGCTGCTGCTGGCCATTGCTGCCCGGCGAGATCACGATGTCCGGCAGCCCATTGGTCTGCTGGTGCTCCACATGGGTCAATGGCGGCGGCGGCGGCACTGCGCCGCCCTGGAACGGCGACGTGGCAGCCGCTCGATAATACTCATGTTTCTGCAGTCCTGCATGCCCGGCCAGCGGCGTGCTCGTGGGCAACTTGCCATCGTAACGTGTAGCCACAAAGGCCTTCGGATAAACGCCACTGCTGCTGCTGCCCAGCTCCGATTTGCGTTTACCGCCTACGGCTGCTGTGGCCGCTGGCGCCAGCTCGTTCAGCTCATCCCACCAGGGCGGCAGCAGCAGGCGCAAGTCCGCTCGACGCACAACTTTTGTATTGGGCTGCAGGAGAAAAGAAGCAAAGCACATCAAACAACAAGCTAACGAAATGCCTATAAACTGTATGCTGAACGAGCCATCCAGAGTCGGCTTAAACTTTCCCTAGCTTTATATATTAAGCTTACCAATTCTTCATTGACCAATTGCACGGTGTATTGCTTGGTGCCCTGGTTGATGTCCATAATGATGCCCTCCACATACACGAAGTCGGCGGTGCGACCCTCGCGACTCTGGCGCACACAGACCCGGGCAGCTATCGTGATCTGCGGGAGTTGAAGGTGATGCATTAGCAGCTGGACATCAGCTGTGAGTGGAGGCATTTGGTACTTACATCAGCCATGGGTGGACTGGCGTCCAGTATCACATTGTAGCGTCCCTGCTGCAGCACATCCTGATACAGTTGCTGGCCGAATTCAGAGGCATCAAATTTCACGAGTATTGAGGGTGGCGTTGTCGTGGGCGTGGCTGCTGCCTCATGCACTTGCAGTATTTTGCCAGGTGCATAACACTTGCCAACTTTGGCCAGGACACGCGTATTAGTCCAATCGCTGAGATCAAGTAGAGCAACAGGCTCATGTTGTTGCGGTTGCGGCGGCGACTGCAGCTGCTGTTGCTGTTGCTGCTGTTCCTGTACATGTTGCTGATTGTGTGAGTTAAAGCTAAAACGATGTTGTTGCTGCTGGTGGTGCTGCTGCTGCTGCTGATAGTAGACGGGCGTATGCGTGCGCGAATGGTTGATTGTGGCATGGCTGTTGATGTTGCTGCTGCTGTTGTTGCTGCTGTTGTTGCCACTGGCAACATGTTGCTTGTAAGTACTGGTCGCATGTTGCAGCGGTGATGCGATTATAATACGTTGCTGCTGCTGCTGCGGCTGCTGCCTGATTTCGTTGCTGTTGCCGGCGCCTGCACCTGCACCTGCACAATTCATATGGCGCAAAGCTAATGTATTTTGCTGCACGGCAGCAATATTGCCATTGGATAGCGCATCGCTGTTGCCATTTGTCTCGGCGGGTTTCTGTTGCTTGTACAGCGTATGCTGTTGTTGATGCAATTGTTGTTGCTCGGCTTTGTCCAGCTCAGCTGGATCAAATTTGCGCTTCTTGGGATGTTGGCGCGGCTGTGTTGGCAGCTGAGGTGTTGCTGTTGCTGGCTGTAACTGTAATTGTGGCTGAAACAACACATGTTGCTGCTGCTGCTGATGCTGCTGCTGATGCTGCTGTTGTGTATCAACTGTTGCTGCTGTAGTTGTTGCTGTTGCTGTTGTTGTTGTTGCTGTTGGTATACCGGCGGCTGCAGTTGTTGGTATAACCATTGTATTGGCGGCAGCAACAAAATGTTGCTGCTGCTGCTGATGGAGGTGTTTATTTGTTATGACATAAGTTTCGCCAGCAGCAACTGCTGTTGCTGCTGCTCCAGTGTGTGTTGCTGTTGCTGCTGTTCCATTGGCAGCGCTGAGCATCTTAGTTGCTGTTGCTCTCCTCGTTGTGGTCGTTCCAATTGTAGCAGCAACATGTGTGTGGCTTCTTGTTGCTGTTGTGTCGTTGCTTCTGTTCCTAATATTGGCTAGTGTTGGTCGGCTTATTGCTCTGGCTAATACAATAGTTGCTGTTGCTATTGCTGTCGTGCAACAATATCGCTCGCAGCATCAGCAACATCATTTGGCATCGCCGTCTGCAAATGGAAAATACAAATTGTTCATTAATCATGTGAAGTACTGTAGCATTCACCAACATGGGCAAAAATCCATTTCATAATTAGTGCAATTCACATCCTGACACTGCTCCGACATCCTTTGACCATTGGCGCCTGTTGCCGGGCCAATAAATTTCAATCACTGGCCAAAAATACTCTGCCCCACTGAAAACATATATATCTTGAATGTGGGAGTGTGTGTGTGTGTGTGTGTGTGCGTGTGCGAGGACGACAGCGGAAACATTTTAATTTACACAGCCGTCCAGAGGCGTGGCTGGGATCCTGGCGTAGGAGGCCTTATTTTCTCTCTCTCGAAAAGAGTAAAAATAAAATGCTCGTATAAATGATACTTGAAACATTTTATACCAATGCCCATCAAAACGCCCACACAAATACACCTACACACACACCCACATTCAACCACACAACAGCTCAGTACAGTTGCATACAAAGTCCAAATCTGGCAACCCCGTATAGAAAGAAGCAAACAGCTAAAAAGCTCGACAAGCGACGCGTCGCGACGTCAAGTACAATGGGCAATTTGAATTAAATGTTAAAAAAAACCATGTGTACTTTTTGACTACAATTAATATATTATTTAAGAATGTTTTATGCAGCCATAAATCACATATATTCCTGTTCCGTAGATAGTCAAAAAAAAAATTCAATCGAACTTTAAAGATATACTATCTAAAGTAAAATAGAGTTTCATGTTTATAAATAAATTTTATTTTTGTTATATATAAATTTTAAATTATATTTTTTAAATTATATTATTTCTCAAACTCTTAAGCAAAAAAGATTATTTTGTATTTTTTTATTTATAATTTTTCAACTCTTCTTTTTACAATTTGTTATAAATTTTGATATTTAAATTTTGGTCATAATTCTTATAATCGACCCCACTGTGCTTCGCTGCTGCAGCCTCGACTTTGACGAACTTGCGCGTCAGACCTTCGACAAACCGCCACCCATCGACCACCGCCCACCGCCCACCGCCCACCGCCCACCTGCTGAGTAAAGAGTGGGTCGGCAGAGGTCGGTCGACTTATATTTAGATTATTCGGTTGCACACGCCGAGAACTGCGAGTCGACGAATCAACGCTGAGGCACATAGTTACCAAGGAAGAAAAACGAATTGTGGTTTCCAGATAAATTGGTTCAATAGAAACGAAAAGCTAGTAATCAGTGTGCTGATAAGAAATAGTTATTGAAGAATGAATCGAAAAGGCAGCTGCGGAATTAATTGATTGACTCTATCCCATTATTGTCTGATTTATACAGAAACTAGACGATTCCAAGATACTCTATAAAAGACAGCTTATTTAGAGCGTGGGTTTTATTCTTTAAATTCATTTAAGCTGATTTTATTGAATAATTCATTTATATCCCTCGTTTCTATCTGCCTTTGCAATACGCTCACACTTTAAGAACGAAAATCTGTTGCATACTCCCAGGCTGTACGTAAATACCTCTCGCGTGTGCGTGTCTGTGTGTGTGCCTGTGTGCATTTACGTAAGCTGTTCGTTAGACTGCTGCAGCGTTGCCGTATTTTCTCAAACCAGTGCAAATCGGTTTATCATTCACTTCACACAAAACATAAAATCGTTCTTGCTCCATCTCTTTCGCTGCTGAGCTGTGTGTAGGCGTAATTGCGGGAAATAACTGCCACGCCCATTGTGGGCTAAGCGACAGCACAGCAGCAGCATGAGAAAAAACAATTTGAAAAAAAATATAGATGGCAGATGTAACATAGCAACAGGATCTAGCTAAATATAGAACCGTAAGATGTTGTTGTTTTTTGCTGCAGCAACTCATCTGCTGCCACTGCTGCTGCTGCGGCTGCTGCTGTGAGGGACAAGTGCAATGATTGCTTTATTTTTATTTCATTTCTCTCTTTGCTTTTTTACAACTTTTCTTTTCATTACTGCTGGTTGCCAGGCTCAATCGCCTTGCAGCTGTGTGTGCTGTTCTGTGTGTATAAGAGCGAGAGAAAGACACAGAGAGACAGATAGACAGAGAGAGAGAGAGAAGAGTTTCTTATGCTGCGACTGCTTTTCATTCTCTCTTTATTATTGTGTTTTGCATCAGACAGCGCTATGAAGAAGCTTCTCCATTTTATTGGTCAGCTTTTATACATAGAACAGCAACCTCTGTATATTTTCTATGCCTATCTCTGAGCAGGAGTGAGTGTGGGTGTGAGGAGTTTGCTCTGCTTTGCACTGCTACCGATGCGTGCTTAAGTAAATCTACCGTACGCCCGACTGGCTATTTGGTGTGACCTCCAGAGCCACACTTCACCAGCTCCTTTTGCCTGCCAATCATTCCAGCCCAGCTTCTGATACACTGGTGTCCCGACAGAGATGACCCGCTCAATAACTGTTTGCATAGGAGGAAAGACTGCATTGTGTTTAAAAAACAATTAAGCGAGCCAATGTGTGGCCTGCATACATACAGTTCTCATACTGCCCCAGGTTATATAAATTCGTGAATGATGTATGCGTATGCACTTATGTTTGCTCATTTATTTGGCCACTTCTGTTTCTGTTTGTGGTTGTGGGTCACTCACATTGCGCTATTCATTTCAAGTTTTGACCACAGACCAAATTCTGATTATGACTGTGTGCATTATTACAATTATCTATTCATTGTACTTGGCGTTATTCCAAAAACCTGTGTTTGTCAGTTTAAATCGTTGTTATACTCTGTAATTATTAAGTTGGCTAAATGGAGTATTGTGAGATATCCAGAATTGTAGAAGGAAAAGATGGCAGCTCTGGCATCTTCTACTATTAATTGATTAAGAGTAAGGTAGAGCGAATATCGAGTTTACAGGGCATCTCTCAGTCTGGCACACCAGTTGTTTGTTATTATTCTTGGTTATTATACAACTGCATGTGCTCTTTGTTGCTCTTCTTCTTCTTGTTCTTGCTGTTGTCTATTTCAGATTTATGATATATAAATTCACTTAGGCTCGTTACATATGTGCGATTGATCTCAATGCAGTCATGATAAATTCTAATCAAGGCAATTGCAAACGAAGCACACATTTACACATTCACACTTATTCATGCATATACACATTGGGCGTGATATTAATTTGTTATGATGTGCCGTATGAGTCGTAATTAGACTAGAGAGTTCTTTGAACCTTAACGGTAGTTGTTTTCGCAGCGTGTTTTGGCGCCAAACGAAAGCGAAGCAAAGAGCAAAAGTGTAAATTGCACTCAGACAGACGCAGCGACGCACAGACGAACAGACGAACAGACGCAATCGCTGCGCAAAAGAAAAGCAAAGCAAAGCAAAGCCAAAAATGCGAGCCACAAACTTAATGCAGACGAAGCGGAGCGTACGTTGTTGGCGCTGCTATCGCTCCTTGCATCCATCCTCCACACTTACACATTGCATTCGCTGCTAACGGCGCTGCGCGCACGCACTTACATTGACACACACTAGCACATGCACGCAAACGTGCACACGTACATACTGGCAGAGCAACGGTAGCAGTCTGGCTGCGCTTGGCTGCTGCAAAGTCAGTAACCCCACTCGTTGACAGCGGCAGCAAACAACAGCTACAACAACAACAACAAAAACAATGGCAATGGGCTCAGCAGCACTAGCCGAAAGCGCGAGAGTGGGCCAGACAATAGTAGAAGCGGGAGGAAACCAGAGAGCGCGAGCGAGTGCAAGAGCAAGAGCGAACGCTCAGTTAGCATGCGAATTTGTGTGCTGTGATTTTTATGTTGTTGCCAACTCGTCAGAAGTCCACCCATTCTCCTTACAACGGACTGACGTAGCAACAAAACTCTTAGTCATTCAAAGCATAGCTAAATGGAAAAACTGCAGCGCAGCATCATCAACTGAGAGTGAGATGCTGTGCGCAAATGCTTTGGATGGGCGGCAAAGAGGAGATCTTTTACAGGCGCCCCCTCGCCCACACCATCAGAGCACACCCCACCCTTGAAAACAGAAAAGCGACAACAGCGACGCCGCTCATTTGCGTAGAGTAAATGCAAACAAGTCGTGTATTATTCGTTCCATACGAGAGTCACACATACACACGTGCACGCATGAATGCAATTCGCGGCGAGGGCAGAAAGAAAGAGAAAGACAGAGCGAGAGAGAGGGAAAGGAGTTACTTTGGCGCGTGTAACAGCATGGTTACAAACAGTAGCTGTAAAAAAATAGTGTATATGTAAAATTTCAATGTACTGGCTATCAATGTTCAGTTTGTTCACAAGCTTAAGTGGTGGACGTCCAAAATGTTATGGAGCTCGTCAACATTTCATATTTTGTGATTGTAACACAATTAAGTTGTCATATCTGATGCAAATATGCTTACGCACTTTATTAGCCATCAGTGTAGGTCAACTCGTTGCCTGTGAGCATGCAGTTTTATTATTTCTGCTGCAGCAGCCTTTACTCATTTTTAGCTTATTGCCATTGCATAGCGTAAATTATTCGTATGGGCTGCGTTTGAGCTTATGCTGTAGTTGTTGTTGTTGGCAAGTGCGGGGCGTACGAGTCGAAAAAAAATATAAAATATAGAAGAATGAAGACTGCCAGGGTTGGGCCAGGGATGCGACGTTGATTAGAGCAGCAGTTTGGGGGTCGCACTGCACTAAGCGAGCATGCGAGTGTATGTGTGCGTATGCATGTATGTATGTACATAAATAAAAGCACATATACATGTATAACTGTGAGGGCTATTTCGTCTGCCTGGTAACGAGAATCGCGAGAAAAGCTGAGCAAAACTTGACGACAAGGAATATGGCTGTATGAAGCGATTTGTACAACCAGCCAAGGCTTGTGCATGGACAGAACAAGGGACGGGCTGCTGGAGATGGCATTTGTAGGTGTGCTGATTGCAATGGCTAAAGACGAGATGATAAAGCGAAAAATGCAAAAGAAAATAGCATATCAGGAATGCTATACAGTTGAGCGCAGTCGACGAGGGATACCTCTTCTGTTTGACTACA